ATTTAATCTGACCTCCATTTCACTACAAGGACCATTACGATAATTATATCAGAAAATGTCTTTCTTAAAAGGCTGAATAGCTAAATAGGCCAGACATTTAGTTAAAGAACAGACGGCTTACCTTATTATGTAAATGTTTTTGTTAAATAAATGATTTACAGTATCCCGATGTTAAGGAAAGCCCGTTAACCTGAATCATTATTAAATAGTTACAAATAAGTGGTGCGTTCACTTATTATCAAAACGTCATACTCAAAACCGATACCTACACAGTGAGAACTAAGACAACACCGGCCATGCATACCCCTTATAAATTTATACATATCTGCATAAGCGTTGGATGAATATACTTAACGAAACAAAAAAGGCATATCGTATTGATTGTCACTTGTAGAATGTTCATCAACACAGACGATATCATGTCATGGAGAGATTGGACAAATGACGCAATGCTTTATGAAAGGCAAGGGCCGAATCTTGGATATAGTTCCGATTAATAGTTGGTCTCGAAGGGACAATAGTAAGCCATGTGAAAAATCTTCGGTAGAATTCGACAACAAGAGCATCTGGATTGGCGACAGCTGCAGTTCAATTGATGTCAAGGCTTGCATTGGGGAAGGTAATTATGTAGTCCATTGATGTACTTATCAACTTTATTCTAGATTAAGTCAATGTTTCTCAGTTACTTTCAGGGAAACACAGGATGATTATATCTGAATCTGTATCATTATTGAAGCATAGCACAGATGATATCAATATATTTTAACTGAAGACAACTGTGATCTAGTCATACACAAAGAAGACGCTTAGAACAAAAGTTCAGACAGTTTCTCCTTTCTTCTCTTTTGATGCTAACGGTACAGATATGTACTGGAAATATGTATTGAAATATGAACTATTTCTCCATGACGGTAAGGAGATACCTTTTCAAATTCTGTTGTACATTTTGATGACTTCACTGTTTTATTCATTAGGCAAATGACCAGTTAAGCGTATGTGTACTGAAGTGTGAGATATTGTAATACAATCGAAAGCACTATCTGACTGAAATTTATTCTAACAAAGAGTAATGTTTGAAATAATATTATAGATGCCGATAGACTGTAAGTCCGAGGTTGGTCTTCTTGGTACATGTATATAAAGTATTGACACATTCTTATAGGATATAGACTAATCACTGCTAGGTCAAGGATGTTATCTGGATACACGGTAGCGGGTGGGTTCATAACCAGCATTATGGATACCGAGGGCTCTCTGATATATATGACAATGTTTAAAACTAAGCATTCAAAGCGTTACTGTGATTATGCCATACGCAGAATTCACTGATACATATACTGTAGTGTGATGAAAAATGGATATTTTTTTATTTTTCCAGCTGTTTGTAAACCAACATGTGGTCTAAACGCTGTATGTGATGATGGACAATGTAAATGTAACGACAGAATGATTGGAAACCCCCGTACAGGATGTTTCGGTAAGAACCAAAGACAGTTATTTGGTTTTTAAAATAATACAGTGCTTAACGTTTTGTTCACAAAGCATTGTTTAAGTGTTAGATTTTCTACTTTTCGCACAAAAATTAACTAACTATACAACTTACTTCGTGTTTCATTTTTCCTTTTCACATCAATTTGTTTCACTTCATATACTTGTATCTCAATAACCATTTGATGAAATTTTTGTACTAGTTTTTATTAACTTGTAAACAGCGAAAGCCATTTCGGACTGTCGGCGTCGCTTAAATGTTATAACTTGCCATATTGCATTTCAATTTTACCTCAGCTATGCTTACGTTTATCTACTTAACCTGCACTACTTACTTAACCTACACTATCTACTTAACCTAAATTACTTAGCCTACATTAATGAAGTATAAGCATAATATTACAACAGATAAGTAGTTTGGTATTCCAGTTAGGCACATTTCAAAATCATCTGCATTTTCATCTCGTCTCTAAATTAATTCTCGTTATAATATTTTGCTCATTCAATATTATTTTGTAATTTAGATGAAGTATAGATTCCTTTTGCAGAAATGTGTTCCTGTGGAGTGTACGGTAACCAACATTACAGACAGTTTGACGGGGAGATTATGGATTTCGGTGGTGTGTGTAAGTACGTGATGTCTGAACTAAACGACCCAGCAAATCAATGCTCTTATGATGTTGAAGTTGCCAACAAACAAATTTCACGACGAAAAGGCGGTACTTTCACAGACTATGTGACAGTGAAAATGTACGGCCATACATTTGATCTCATGCAGGGGAAGAAAGTAAAGGTAAGAAATGATTTCATCATCTATCAGCAAATGTCATATCCGTTTATGTATTTTAGAACAATTTCTCATTCTTAAATATATGTAAGGTTTTAAACAAAAATTTGGAGAGAGAGAGAGAGAGAGAGAGAGAGGACGATAAAACATCCTAAAGCATGTGTTTTACATATACCACAGGTCGATGGTCAGCCAGTTACACTTCCGTATCGCATTGCCTCTGGGAAAATTTACATTACAAAGAGGGGAAGTTACATCAAGGTTATAGCATCAGAGTGCAACATTGAAATCTCATTCAATGGTCGGAAGAGGGCTGTCGTTAAGGTTCCTAAAAACAAAGCAAACAGTTTAACTGGAATATGCGGCAACTGCAACGGCAAACGAAATGATGATTACATGGTGCGAAATGGTGCTAAAATTCCAAGCAGTGACCCAAATAAGGCTCGAAAATTCATCAATGAATATCGTGTTCCTGACAGTTTGACAAACACCCTGTAAGTATTTTTTTTAGAAATTAAGGTAAGTGATTAATATTGTCTATGTAATAAGAATGTTAAGGTATTGTGGTTATTCAGAACCATTTAAGATTTAAATGCAAGGAGAAGAAAAGGACAAAATAATTACATAAGAAAAATACCGTAACTGAAAAGTCAACAGTTCATCGATGCACAAAAATGAACTTATCCAACGGTAAACTAGCACAAAAACCAATTCCAAATAATCTATATGAATGAAGCAGGACAAACAAGCTTTACTAAAAAATCACGAACCTAAATTTCGAACTGAATTGATCGTGATAAATGCAATGCATGTGCATAATAATTTTTAATAATTCCTCTGTAAGAATACCAGGATCCAGTTTCCATTTGTTTCGAAGCATCCTTTGATTTCGTGTAAAATGTAGGTCTTACCTTCCTGCGGACTGAGGGGCTAGCTAAACTGATCAAGAAGATGTAATCCCTGAAACCCATCTGTTGCAATGAAATGATATTGGGTGAAGGAGGCTCTTCGCAAGTTAAAGCACTCCACAGGTGCAGGAACTGATAGTTCTTTTGTTCTCTTTGGATGGAGATTTTTTGCGACGCTTTAAATTTGATTAGAAAGGTTTTGAGGTAAATCTGAAATCCGGGCGGTCCACGGTTCATTTTGTGAGGTGAGGCGGTGTGTAATGTATCAGAAATATGTCACTTTGATGTTTGGTCTAGATTAAGAAAGTTTATCCGAGATCCATTTCCTATATATCTTGTCTATAAAACATTACAATATGGACATGAGTCGACCTAGGTAAGGTGGTGTGCCATATACCAAAATGAGGTCGTTTTGACCTACATTTAGATCGTAGACCTACATCTAAGAAAATGTTTGTTCCTTCATCGCACCGCGAAAGGTATATCATGTCAATGCAATTTTTATTATTTCCAGATGTTCGAAACCAACTCCACAGCCGACCTGTCCATTTAGGTTCCAAAGGATCCTCAAACGAATAGCCTGCAGATTGATAGATGTTTCCAACAGAGTTACAAGTCCGTTTGCTACCTGTATTAATGCTAATAGTGCAGAGGCCACCGAATTTTCACGTTCTTGTCTCAGTGATGCTTTCTTATTCCATCAAACCCCACAGAAAATGCGACAAGCTGCTTGTGGTGTCTATAAGGCATACACAGAAGTTTGCAAAGACGTATACGGCATTACCGTGAAAGGCTGGAGATCAAGGGCCAATTGTCGTAAGTTTTGTTCCATTATATAGTGCCAGCAACGGAAAATGTATGAAATAGCATATATAGCTTTCGTCTATTAGCATTCCCTTCTTAACCTTAACAGCACAGGATTATTACGATAATACTTACCAAATTTGATTGGTAGAGATTTCTGTAAGAGTCTCAGGTGTGCATTAACAACAATTATGCCGTTACAATCCTTCATTCTTGCAGTTGAAATGGGAACAATGTATACCTATTCTTGATCATCCTTAAAGTACACGGGTCTCATTATTGCAAAATGAGATCAATTAAGATAACAGTAATTAGCATTAGCAAATAAAGGGGGAACACAATCTATTTGTGAAAAAAGATACTAACACGAATCCCTGATAAAACACTTTAGGAGAGCAGGGGTAAGCATCTACTGATCATCAGTTTAGATCTAAAACATGAAATATCATGTAAAGATCAAGTTATTGATAACGAAATCATCAGGTATACCAGTTCAGCGTCAATAACAACCACCTTTCATGTCGAACAATTTAAATCAGAGGTCTATTGCAACTAGTTTACTTCTGAAAAATATGATGAAAAACTAATTGCAAAACATGTTTGAACAATGCATTTAATTAAGATATTTACAAGAGATTCGATTCCATTCGAACAGTCTAGTATACAACTTTGCCGCAGACAATCGTTTTAACTTAGAACGTAGCTAAAACAGAATAGCATACCCAGGGAAAGACACTGTACAAGGAAAATGTCAATAATGCTATGATTACTGTGAATAGTTAGTTTTAATGGTATGCATTTTATGAGTTTTATTTTTAGTAAGACGCGACTGAAAATTATCACACATGCAGGTAAAAATACCCCCTATAAATATGATTAAAATTAAGACTATTTTGGGGGGATGGCTCCATTCATTAGTAATATTTCATTTCGATTGATATTCAAACGCGTTAACCTGGGCAAAGCAAGGAAATAATATTAAATTATATACAGGTAAAAGGTGTGGGGAAAACATGGAATACAAAGAATCAGCTGTTGGTTGTCAGCCTACATGTGGAAGCCCACCCCCAGAGATGGCATGCTCATTACCGTACGACGGGTGTGTCTGTAAAACTGGATATCTCCTTAGTGGTGACAAGTGTGTAAGAGAATCAGAGTGTGGCTGTCTCACCCCTCTTGGCATATATATGCAGGTAGAACGAAAATACGTCTCATCAATATGCAAATATACTTGTATTTAGATATTTTGTTGTACTGTTGATACTGATGTACTTAGTTGGACTGTTAATACTGATATACTTAGTTGGACTGTTAATACTGACATGCTAAGTTGTACTGTTAATACTGATATACTTAGTTGACCTGTTGATACTGATATACTTAGTTGGACTGTTAATACTGATATACTTAGTTGTACTGTTGATACTGAGATACTTAGTTGTACTGTTAATACTGATATACTTAGTTGAACTGTTGATACTGATATACTTAGTTGGACTGTTGATACTGATATACTTAGTTGTACTGTTGATACTGATATACTTAGTTGGACTGTCGATACTGAGATACTTTGTTGCACTGATGATGATGAGGTACTTTTTGATGTTTACAGTACTGAGGTACTTAGTTTTATTGATCTAAACGAGATATTAATTGTATTAATGATGGTGAAATGCGTAGTTGTATTATGATTTTGCGTTTTTTTGGAATTTTTCGTTTGAAAAATTTAATGTTTGTTAATTGGAGTATGGATATTTCTATTTAGATCAGATAAACTCAGAATAGTTAGGCAGGCAAATACAATTTATTTTAACAAATGAATTTAATGGTTAATATAGAAGAAAGATCCTTTTGACTTTAACAGTTGCTTAAAAAGCTTCAGGAGAATCAGAAATGTTTACAGTAGGTAGGTATACTCGGAACAGGAAATATTTTGCTTGACCTGAACGTTATTATGTATGCATCGCTGTTGGATTACTATATTCAAAATAAGAAGCATACGTTCCTGTACTTATTTCGTAACATATAACTATAGATTGGCGATCCCAAAGTTCAAGACTGTTCGGGTTCTTACGAGTGTATAGACGACAATAGCAAGCCTTCACTAAGATATACCCCTGGTGGCTCTGCTTGCGTCACCTCTGCAGAGTGCGTGAAGTCGAACGGCAAATTCAAGTGTCAGTGTCCCGACGGGTTCTCAGGTGATGGTATCACATCGTGTGATGGTAAGTGTTTGCATACGACTCCGAGTTTGTCATTTTTACATGTTCATGATGCATATTAAATCAGCAAGATAGATTTATTTCGTAATCGAACACTTTGTATGTCTGCTGGTAGTTAAATAAGGTCATGAACATGAAGTGACATTAGGTCATGTGATGATAAGTGAATGACACGAAATGATGTATTGATGTGTCTAGCGCGAAACGGCCAATGTCATCAGCTTTTCCAATGAGATCATTATGACGACCTTACAACTTGCTAGGAGGCGACTGAATAAAATCCAAACTTGTCGAAACTATTGTCAAGAATCAGATAGTCAAGTGTACTGATCCAAAAATTACAGCAAATCATTTTCTCAATTGCATGCTTCGGAAAGAAGGCCAAGTTATTGACTGTATGTAAATTTAAGCCTTGGAGACTTATACCAAAGACACACAAATGGATGGCATCCATCAATACAAATGAAGAATTAGATACATTAGATTCAATAATGAATGAAACTATATTATGTAGCCGTTTTAGTCTTCTTGGACTTGTCAGAAGATCATGTTTTATCTAATAAGGGTGGCGGGCTATATGGTGAGGGAAAACGAACACAGAATGGTTAAATATAAATACCTAGACTACCTGTGATTACACTTATTTTTGTTGCTTGTTAAATCATTTGTGCTTTAGTATTCGGCAGCATTACATAATTTTACATATATATAACATTACTAATGTTTTAACCTGCAGATATCGACGAATGCCTCTTGAACATCGATACGTGTTCTACTGAAACGTCAGAGTGTGTCAATATGCCTGGAAGTTATATATGTGAATGTTTGAATGGGTTTGAAATGGTTGAGGACACTTGCGAAGGTATGAAGATGAGAACGATATCACACATTTAAACATAGATATATATAGATTTATACTTCTTTCTGAGTGCGTCATTACTAAAGACCTCTTCACCAATTCATTAGTAGCACTTTTTCACGTCAAGTGAATTCAGATTAATCATCATATATCAATGCATTTGTGAAGCAGTTTATATAAAACGCCTTCGATGTAAAAATGTCAAGTTTTAATATGTTTGTTCAAATTCCAGATATCAATGAATGTGAAAGGAATGTCGATAACTGTTTTGCTCTCAGTGCTGAGTGTATAAACATACCTGGAAGTTTTAGATGCGAATGTTTTGATGGATATAAAATGGTTGATAGCAAATGTGAAGGTTCGTACATAATTCCACAAATCTCTCTCTCTCTTTATACAGATACCCTCAATATATGAATAGATTAAATTGTTTATACAGGTAACCTCGATATATACATAGACTAGACTGTTTATAGAGGTACCCTCAATATTTTAATAAACTAAATTGTTTAAACAGGTACCCTCAAAATATACATAGCCTAGACTGTTTATACAGGTACCCTCAATATATTGATAAACTAAATTGTTTATACAGGTACCCTCATTATATTAATTGACTAAATTGTTTATAAAGGTACCCTCAGTATATACATATACTAGACTTTTTATAGAGGTACCCTCAACATATCAATAAACTAAATTGTTTAAGCAGGTACCCGCAATATATACATAGCCTAGACTGTTTATAGAGGTACCCTCAATATATAAATAGACTTAATTGTTTAAACAGGTACCCTAAATATATACATAGACTAGACTGTTTATACAGGAACCCTTAATATATACATAGACTAGACTGTTTATACAGACACCCTCAATATATTAATAGACTAAATTGTTTATACAGGTACCCTCAATATATTAATAGACTAAATTGTTTATACAGGTACCCTCGATATATACAGAGACTAGACTGTTTATAGAGGTACCCTCAATATACTAATAGACTAACTTGTTTATACAGGAACCCTTAATATATACATAGACTAGACTGTTTATAGAGGTACCCTCAATATATTAATAGACTAAATTGTTTATACAGGTACCCTTAAAATATACATAGACTAGACTGTTTATACAGGTATCCTCAATATATTAATAAACTAAATTGTTTATACAGGCACCCTCAATATGTGAATAGACTAAATTGTTTATACATGTACCCTCAATATATACATAGCCTCGACTGTTCATACATTAACAAGCAGCATGTACATAGATCAGACTGTTATACATGTGTCTTCAACACAACGATAGACTAGATTTTATACATTCGATCTCTCTACAAATACATACACTAGACTGTTTATACATGTACCCACTAGTTTTCATTAAATTTAAGATTTTCCTTTGACCTGTCGGTTTTTCTTTGTTGTTTCTATAAATAACGCCTATCGACTTTCTGTATGCGTGATGGGCTGCCAATGCATTGTTAATACATGTACTCTCAAAATATACATATATGCTGTTAATACAAGTACTCTCATACTATGAGTATACTACTACACTCACAAGTACGTGTACCTTTAACAAAGACACATGTTACAGAATTTAAACACAGCCAATCAATATCTTTATATCCATGTAATGGTTTTTCAATACAGTTACTCTCATAATATATACCTAATCGGCTGTCAACGGAGACATCCTCAATATCTTAATACTGAGTTTTGATAAACATCAATTTTATTCATAGCCTTCGGCTGCAGTCAGCCAAAGTTATTTATGCTCAAAAATTTTACAGTTGTTCTTCCGTCATAATTTCGTTTCCACTCAATTAATCGTTACATGGCACAGTAATAAAGATGTTATTATTTGGTATTGGCTTGTGTTATGATAATGTCGAGACAAAATGTTTGATAGTGTGTTTTTCTACAGTTATGGTCATTATTCATACACAAAACCAAAATGGGTGAGCCTTTCCTTACTCCTATAGGAATTTGAATTCAATTATAAATACTCCAAAGTCGTTCAAATTAATGTCGCTCCGAAACCTCTAGTTGTGTTGTAACTTTCAATGTTATCGTCCTTTACAATTCTCCAGAGCTGCTTCCGGTTTTTGGACCAACATCAGGAGGTTTAATACGTAAGTGTAAATTATTATCATCTCAAACATAAAGCCATGTAATATAATAAGCACAAATGCGGTTTCCAGGTGCTCCTCTACATATCCTTCGTAATTGTTCCACAATTTTGTAATTGTCGTGTATAGATTTATTCAAATTGTACAACAATAATCTAATTTGTTGTAATTGTCTTGCATTTATTCGGCTTTCACAGAAATCAAATAAAGTACAATACTATATGCATCTGTAAAGTGCTGTTAGCTTCATATAGTGAAAAATGTTTGAGTCTGGCAAAAGACAAATACCAAAGCGATATATGTAGTAAATGTATCAATTCTGTATATTCTCCACAGCAAGTCATTTAGAGAAACTATGTTGATTATGATAACAGTTATCTATCATTATGAAATTGTCACATTAGTATAATAGGTTGTATTTATAAGTATGTTATAATAGTTTTCTATAAGCATAATTATATAATTTGTCTCTATCACCATGATATTACATTGTGTCTCTAGAAATATAATAACATAACATATTTCTATAAGTATAAAAGGTGAAGATTCACGAGTGTATAAACACATTTCAAAATTAATTCAGAATTAGATACAGTGTAGCTAAATAACAATTCAATTGCATAATACAGTTGTTTCATCCGTTTTTGTTAATACAAGAGATAAATTCACTTGACTATTTCTGAATATTGATTATGATTATACTTAAACAGATACTTATACTATATTATCAGGGTGCATGCATGCATCCATGTTTGCATCCTATATTCATGCAAATATGTATCTGCATGTGTGAGTGTGTAATTATGCGTCAATACATGTTTGTAATATGTAAAAAGAAATTATTATACATGCATTTTGCACCTGAGGCAAACTTTGCCGTTTTCCATATGATCAATAGATTTTAAACATTACAGTTAAGCGCATCTCTCCTGTTCGTATAGTCCAAGAATGAAAATATTAATACCAAATATTCCTAGCCTAATACCTGAACATAAAGCTCTGTCATTACAATATATTAAGTGTCTTGTTTTGTTTTTGCACCAGCACCAACGGATGAACCTTTCAAGATTCCGGTGGATGGTGAGTAGCTTTTGCGTCGCAATACATTATTACTGCAACATTTCGTTTCTGTCACGCTAATTGCACATAGATTTTGTGAATCCATTTCCACCTTGCAGTATCATTAAACATCGCATATATATACATATCAGGAGATTTCATACATGATTTTGTAAAACTAATTTTTATAAGGCGGGAAAAAATCAAACTGCGAGATGAGTTCAATAAAAGCTGAGATACTTTTTATCACATATCAGAAAATAAAATTGCAGGGGACAAAATCAAACGGAGGCAGCTATTTTGCTTGACCATCTTCAATTCATAACGAACCGTCATTGTTCATATTTTGACATCATCATCAATTTCTGACTAGTGAAGCCATGAAAAAAGATCATTAATACCAAGTTGTCATAAAATAATCTCCCCTTGAATACAGGACGCAAAATTGGATATGAGTTTGCCAAGAAAAAGTAAAAGAAAAAAGGGATATTCCTTATTTTACCCCCATAATGATTATGATATAAAAATATCATTACTACTATTCCAAGCATAATCTCAAAGAGATCGCTGGCTGACTGAGGGTACAATACACACAAATGAATAGCACATTTTAATACAATTTTAAATGAGATACAGTAGAGTCAAACAATGAATTAAACTGCATCATACAGCTGTTTGTCCTTCTGGAACTCGTCAGTGATGCTAAGAACCTAAATTTAAAGCCTAGGAGGCGACTGAGGAAAAATCTTTGATCGAAAGAAATCGCGAGATTGGAAGGTGCACTAGCCCCAGATTTCAGTAAATTTCATCAATTTCGTATTTCTGATTATATTTAGAAGAATGTCAATTACATGTGTATATTCTGAATCGTGCCACTATTCGACTGAATAAAAACGTAGCATGCAGGTGACGGCAAAGCAGCACGGATTTAATGCAAAGATATTGCATAGCCGGAATTTCATACCCAGGTTTCGTGTGTTCTTGACAGTAGCACATTTTAGGGTTACTGCCTTTGGAATTAATCAGACTGGTTTCGGCTGATCTACTTAAACGGTTTAACACAATTGTGAGATTTGTTTTTTTCTCGGCTCTAATCAAATTTATTTTGAATGTTGCACACATAAATAAAAGGACATGGATTGTTTTTTTTTAATAATAATAATAATACGATTTTCCTGAAATATCTATCTTTGACTACAAAGTCACGAAGGAAATTGAAAATGTGCATTTCTTGCGTATTTCTTACGCAATTTATATCTTTTGTTGTAGAGTTAAGCCGATTTGTATTCATTTTCATATGTATTTGAGTTGAGTTTAGCAACAAAGATAACAACTTAAACATATTTTTTTATTTCATCACTTCAATTTGATGTCCGATATATGTAATCCTAATATGAGAAATATTGTTATCGAAGTTTATGTTTCTTATAAAGCACTGAGTTACAAATACAGTCAGCTTCGGTTCTAGCTTTACTAAGCTTGTTTTATACCAAAAAAAAGAAACATTCTTTATCTGAAATCTCTAATTGTATATTTTATGTCCTTCAGATGAAAATGAATGTCTAACAGGACAAAATAATTGTTCAGTCAATGCTGATTGTACAGACGAAACTCCTGGATTTTCCTGTTCATGCAAAATCGGGTTTTCTGGGAACGGTACAGATTGTCAAGGTGAGTATTTTTATTGACATTACTCCGGGCAAAATTAGATGATGTTATTGTGATATGCCCTCTGTCAAATTAGACGTGACGTTATAGTCTTAATTAAGAAGAAGAAGAAGAAAGGATAACAAAAATCGACAGCGACACTGCATCTTGCACTTTAAACATATGTAAATTGGCAGTTTTTTCTTTCTATAGAAATAAAGTTGCTGAAACAGCAATTACAACAGTCAATTCATACCCCATTTGTGGGTGGAAAATATGGCTAAAAAAGAAAATACCAACCTGTGAACATAATCAAACATACTCAAAAACAAATTCAATAAAACTAGTTCAAAATAGGAAGCAAAAACGGATGCTCAAGAAAAAAGTACAAGGAGGAAAAGACTAAGTGTTCCAAAAGAGTTAGTGTCTTCTGCTTCATCAACGACACTCGCCATGTAAGTCTTGGTCAATCCGAGTAAGTAATGTGACATTCTCAGATAAGAACAATGTATGCAACAAGGGAACTAACAGGCAAACTAACCAGCTTTAAACACCTCTAGATTACTTTCTCACTAAGAAAAAGAATAATGCTCAATATCACTTTGACTGTGCTTATTTGTTTAAACCAGGTTTTTGTATAATTATTTTGGAAAGATAAAGTGGTATCAAACTAAGATCAAACGATATTTGAAAATATAACAGAATGCAACGAAAATCAGAAATAAAATGCTAAAATGTAAGCCATGCAAGTATTTGTCAATCCAAGCAAACAATGTCAAAAACGAGGACGATGTACACTACAACCGAAACAACAGTAAAACTAACGAGCATCTTACATGTCCAGCTGCATATCGCACAAAGAATAAGAATATTTCTCGATCAGATCATTACCATTAATCTTCCTCATCACATATTTGTTGGTTTTTTTCGAGGGGAGGGGGCTGTTATTTTTTCCAACATGCAATTTTCCTTTGTCGACATTACTTAAGTGGTAATACCACCAAATTTGTCAACATTTCAGTATTAATGTCGCATATAATTTTCCTTTCTGTCAACACTATATCACCATCACCTATCTTTCTGCCAACACTACACTGTCACATTTCTCTCTGTCAATACCTGAGTGTCACCTTCAAACCCTCTTTGTCAACAATAGAACGTCACATTTATCCCCTGTCAACATCAGAATACCAAATTATCTACCATTTTTCTTAACAATGCAGTGTTATCTCCCTCCATGACGACACTAACTAAATAGTCACCATCATCTCTCTCTCCTACGACACTAACTAAACGATCACCATTATCCACCTCTCGGACGACACTAACTAAACAGTTACCATCATCTACCTCTCGGACGACACTAGCTGTTACATGATATTTACATGACGAGGCAAAAAAGCAAAAAAGCAATAAGGATTTTTCAGAATCAGCTTCTGTTTTTCATTTTTATTGAATCATAACAATAAAAAGGTATATACTCTGAACTAACCGCGAAGAGGTTCATAACATAATAACACTTTTACATCGCAGACATCATTGAGCAATATATTAAGGCAAAATAATTTCAAATGCTTTTAAAACGTCTATTTCAATTCTAAATTTGCAATTCAAACTTCTGCTTATTGAAGATATCAACGAATGTTTGACTGGACAACACAACTGTTCCGAAAAAGCTGATTGCAACAACCAAAGTCCCGAATTCTCATGTGTATGCAAGCCCGGATACTCTGGAAATGGTGAAGTTTGTGATGGTGAGCTACGTAATATAATTATACAATACACTAACTCTAAGTCGATCACAGTGGATATCAATAAAACAATTTTCGTCAGTAAATAATTGCAATACAAATATCTGAAAGAGTATAATTTGGGATTGGAATGAAGGAACAACATTTATGGTAATTTATAAAGACGTACACCAGACAGCTAAAATCAACTGTAAAACTATGATCGGGTTCGTATCCTTGATATCCTGTCTGTAGACGATGCGTTCGTAAATTTTATGAATGTCCATAATTACAATTTACCCCGCTTACAAAATGAACTAGAGTCACTTTATCATCAAAGATTTTCTGCAAAATGCTTTCAGCGTTCCTTTAATAGTTTTGTTACGTCCAATTTTCTAGCTAGATCTGTTTACATTGGCAACTTCAATACTTTGTCCGTTGGTGTGACTTGTTGTTCTATCAAACATTTCTCGAATCACAAAAAGATCTTCTACTTATCATTACATGACAGTTATCGTGGCATTGTAAAGCTTAACCAAACGTTAGTCTAATTCATCATTCAATCAAGAGAGCATCAAAAGTCATATTGTGAAACTCTCTTAAGAGATTTTTCAAACTTCTGAAAAGATCCAAATCATTTCTCCCTTGGACATGGGTAATATCGGAAAGGACTGTCTATCAATACTTCAGTCTAAATCTTAGTAGTCATCTCCTTAACCGTCAACGCTGCATTGATAATACCAGATGTCAACTGCCTGTCTGGCAACATTTCGGTGTTAACTACCACTTCCCTCTTTGTAAATATTGTGCTTTAAATGTTACATATCATCCTCTCTATCAACATGTTCATGTCACATATAACTTCCTCTCCTCCAACACTATAATATTAAAATCACTTATCTCTTTAACAACACTACACTGTCACCGTTCTGTCTGTCAATACTGGAACGTTACCTTCGACCCTTCTTTGTCAACAATAGAACATCACATTTATCGCCTGTCAACATCAGAATGCCACATTCTCTACCCTTTCTGTTAACAATGCAGCGTTAGCAATGTTATCTCCCTCTCTGACGACACTAGCTAAACAGTCACCATCATCTTCCTCTCTGACGACACTAACTAAACAGTCACCATCATCTTCCCCTCAGACGGAACTACCTAAACAATCATCATCATCTCACACTCCAACGACACTAAATAAACTGTCATCATCATCTCCATCTCTGACGACACCTTCACCTGTCAATGTATGGAGGGTTTTTTCATGGTGGACGACCAGTGCGAAGGCACTGAGAGTGATTAATATGGGTATTTAGCATGTTACTCATATTTCGATTCATATAAGATTGACACGACGAGGCGTAAAAAAGCAATACGAAATTTTTCTGAATCAGCTACTTTTTTCATTTTTTATTGAATCATAACACAATATAAAAGTGTATGGTATGAACTAACCGCGAAACACTAGTTGTAACCATCATCTACCTCTCTGACGACACAAACTAAACAGTCACCATTATCTCCCTCTGTATCAGCACTATTATATCAATTTCAATATCCAACCATCATCGAAACTGTGGTATAACAATAGAGTTTGCAGACAAATATCATTCCTTCTGTCAAACTTTGATCGTTACGGCCATATTCATTTTTTTCCATCATAGATATCAACGAATGTATGTACGGAAACACCTGTCCAGCTTCATCAAATTGTTTAAACAGTCCGCAGGGAAGCTACACCTGTCAATGTTTGGAGGGTTATACCATGGTGAACGACCAGTGCGAAGGTATTGAGAGTGATTAATATGAATATTTAGTATGTTACTCTTATTTCTATTCATATAAGATATACACGACGAGGCGCAAAAAGCAATAAGGATTTTTCAGAATCAGCTTCTTTCTTTCCTTTCTTTTATTGAATCATAACACAATAAAAAGGTGTATACTCTGAATTAACCGCGAAGTGGTTCATGACATAAAAACACTTTTACATCGTAGACATCATTGAGCAATATATTAAGGCAAAATAATTTCAAATGCTTTTAAAACGTCTATTTCAATTCTAAATTTGCAATTCAAACTCCTGCTTATTGAAGATATCAACGAATGTTTGACTGGACAACACAACTGTTCCGTAAACGCTGATTGCAGCAACGGAAGTCCCGGATTCTCATGTGTATGCAAGCCCGGATACTCTGGAAATGGTGAAGTTTGTGATGGTGAGCTACGTAATATAATTATACAATACACTAACTCTAAATCGATCACAGTGGATATCAATAAAACAATTTTCGTCAGTAAATAATTGCAATACAAATATCTGAAAGAGTATAATTTGAGATTAGATTGAAGTAACAATATTTATGGTAATTTATAAAGACGTACACCAGACAGCTAAAATCAAATGTAAAACTATGATCGGGTTTGTATCCTTGATATCCTGTCTGTAGACGATGCGTTCGTAAATTTTATGAATGTCCATAATTACAATTTACCCCGCTTACAAAATGAACTAGAGTCACTTTATCATCAAAGATTTTCTGCAAAATGCTTTCAGCGTTCCTTTAATAGTTTTGTTACGTCCAATTTTCTAGCTAGATCTGTTTACATTGGCAACTTCAATACTTTGTCCGTTGGTGTGACTTGTTGTTCTATCAAACATTTCTCGAATCACAAAAAGATCTTCTACTTATCATTACATGACAGTTATCGTGGCATTGTAAAGCTTAACCAAACGTTAGTCTAATTCATCATTCAATCAAGAGAGCATCAAAAGTCATATTGTGAAACTCTCTTAAGAGATTTTTCAAACTTCTGAAAAGATCCAAATCATTTCTCCCTTGGACATGGGTAATATCGGAAAGGACTGTCTATCAATACTTCAGTCTAAATCTTAGTAGTCATCTCCTTAACCGTCAACGCTGCATTGATAATACCAGATGTCAACTGCCTGTCTGGCAACATTTCGGTGTTAACTACCACTTCCCTCTTTGTAAATATTGTGCTTTAAATGTTACATATCATCATCCTCTCTAAGTCGACACTAAAGTGTTACTTTCACACGGCATCAACCTTTTCATCAACATGTTCATGTCACGTATAACTTCCTCTCCTCCAACACTATAATATTAAAATCACTTATCTCTTTAACAACACTACACTGTCACCGTTCTGTCTGTCAATACTGGAACGTTATCTTCAACCCTTCTTTGTCAACAATAGAACATCACATTTATCGCCCGTCAACATCAGAATTATGCCACATTCTCTACCCTTTCTGTTAACAATGCAGCGTTAGCAATGTCATCTCCCTCTCTGACGACACTAACTAAACAGTCACCATCATCTTCCTCTCTGATGGCACTAACAAAACAGTCACCATCATCTACCTCTCTGACGACACTAGTTGTAACCATCATCTACCTCTCTAACGACACTAACTAAGCAGTCACCATCATCTCCGTTTCAGACGACACTAGTTGTAACCATCATCTACCTCTCAGACGACACTAACTGAGATATCACTATCAAATACCTCTCTGATGAACCTAACTACCCAGTCAACATCATCTCCCTCTCTGACGACACTAACTGTAACCATCATCTCCCTTTCAGACGACACTAACTGTAACAATCATCTACCTCTCAGACGACACTAACTGAAATATCACTATCAAATACCTCTATGATGAACCTAACTACACAGTCAACATCATCTCCCTCTCTGACGACACTAACTGTAACCATCATCTCCCTTTCAGACGACACTAACTGTAACCATCATCTACCTCTCAGACGACACTAACTGAAATATCACCATCATATACCTCTCTGATGAAGCTAACTACACAGTCAACATCATCTCCCTCTCTGACGACACTAACTGTAACCATCATCTCCCTCTCTGATGACAGTAACTAAACAATCATCATTATCTACCTCTCTGACGACACTTGTTGTTAGCATCATATACCTCTCTGATGGCACTTACTAAACAGTCACCATCATCTCCCACTCCGACGACACTACCTTAACAATCATCATTATCTACCTCTCTGACGACACTAGTTGTAACCATCATCTACCTCTCTGACGACACTAACTGTCACCATCATTTCCCTCTCTGACGACACTAGTTGTAACCATCATATACCTCTATGACGACACTAATGTCACCATCTTCTCTATCTCTGACGACACTTTCACCTGTCCATGTATGGAGGGTTATACCATGGTGGACGACCAGTGCGAAGGCACTGAGAGTGATTAATATGGGTATTTAGTATGTTACTCATATTTCGATTCATATAAGATTGATACGACGAGGCGCAACAAGCAATAAGGATTGTTTAGAATCAGCTTCTTTCTTTCCTTTTTTTTTTTATTGAATCATAACACAATAAATAGGTGTATACTCTGAATTAACCGCGAAGTGGTTCATGACATAATAACACTTTACATCGTAGACATCATTGAGCAATATATTAAGGCAAAATAATTTCAAATGCTTTTAAAACGTCTATTTCAATTCTAAATTTGCAATTCAAACTCCTGCTTATTGAAGATATCAACGAATGTTTGACTGGACAACACAACTGTTCCGTAAACGCTGATTGCAGCAACGGAAGTCCCGGATTCTCATGTGTATGCAAGTCCGGATACTCTGGAAATGGTGAAGTTTGTGATGGTGAGCTACGTAATATAATTATACAATACACTAACCCTAAATCGATCACAGTGGATATCAAGAAAACAATTTTCGTCAGTAAATAATTGCAATACAAATATCTGAAAGAGTATAATTTGAGATTAGATTGAAGTAACAATATTTATGGTAATTTATAAAGACGTACACCAGACAGCTAAAATCAAATGTAAAACTATGATCGGGTTTGTATCCTCGATATCCTGTCTGTAGACGATGCGTTCGTAAATTTTATGAATGTCCATAATTACAATTTACCCCGCTTACAAAATGAACTAGAGTCACTTTATCATCAAAGATTTTCTGCAAAATGCTTTCAGCGTTCCTTTAATAGTTTTGTTACGTCCAATTTTCTAGCTAGATCTGTTTACATTGGCAACTTCAATACTTTGTCCGTTGGTGTGACTTGTTGTTCTATCAAACATTTCTCGAATCACAAAAAGATCTTCTACTTATCATTACATGACAGTTATCGTGGCATTGTAAAGCTTAACCAAACGTTAGTCTAATTCATCATTCAATCAAGAGAGCATCAAAAGTCATATTGTGAAACTCTCTTAAGAGATTTTTCAAACTTCTGAAAAGATCCAAATCATTTCTCCCTTGGACATGGGTAATATCGGAAAGGACTGTCTATCAATACTTCAGTCTAAATCTTAGTAGTCATCTCCTTAACCGTCAACGCTGCATTGATAATACCAGATGTCAACTGCCTGTCTGGCAACATTTCGGTGTTAACTACCACTTCCCTCTTTGTAAATATTGTGCTTTAATTGTTACATATCATCATCCTCTCTAAGTCGACACTAAAGTGTTACTTTCACACGGCATCAACCTTTTCATCAACATGTTCATGTCACATATAACTTCCTCTCCTCCAACACTATAATATTAAAATCACTTATGTCTTTAACAACACTACACTGTCACCGTTCTGTCTGTCAATACTGGAACGTTACCTTCAACCCTTCTTTGTCAACAATAGAACATCACATTTATCGCCTGTCAACATCAGAATGCCACATTCTCTACCCTTTCTGTTAACAATGCAGCGTTAGCAATGTCATCTCCCTCTCTGACGACACTAACTAAACAGTCACCATCATCTTCCTCTCTGATGGCACTAACTAAACAATCATCATCATCTACCTCTCTGACGACACTAGTTGTAACCATCATCTACCTCTCTAACGACACTAACTAAGCAGTCACCATCATCTCCGTTTCAGACGACACTAGTTGTAACCATCATCTACCTCTCAGACGACACTAACTGAGATATCACTATCAAATACCTCTCTGATGAACCTAACTACCCAGTCAACATCATCTCCCTCTCTGACGACACTAACTGTAACCATCATCTCCCTTTCAGACGACACTAACTGTAACAATCATCTACCTCTCAGACGACACTAACTGAAATATCACTATCAAATACCTCTATGATGAACCTAACTACACAGTCAACATCATCTCCCTCTCTGACGACACTAACTGTAACCATCATCTCCCTTTCAGACGACACTAACTGTAACCATCATCTACCTCTCAGACGACACTAACTGAAATATCACCATCATATACCTCTCTGATGAAGCTAACTACACAGTCAACATCATCTCCCTCTCTGACGACACTAACTGTAACCATCATCTCCCTCTCTGATGACAGTAACTAAACAATCATCATTATCTACCTCTCTGACGACACTTGTTGTTAGCATCATATACCTCTCTGATGGCACTTACTAAACAGTCACCATCATCTCCCACTCCGACGACACTACCTTAACAATCATCATTATCTACCTCTCTGACGACACTAGTTGTAACCATCATCTACCTCTCTGACGACACTAACTGTCACCATCATTTCCCTCTCTGACGACACTAGTTGTAACCATCATATACCTCTATGACGACACTAATGTCACCATCTTCTCTATCTCTGACGACACTTTCACCTGTCCATGTATGGAGGGTTATACCATGGTGGACGACCAGTGCGAAGGCACTGAGAGTGATTAATATGGGTATTTAGTATGTTACTCATATTTCGATTCATATAAGATTGATACGACGAGGCGCAACAAGCAATAAGGATTGTTTAGAATCAGCTTCTTTCTTTCCTTTTTTTTTATTGAATCATAACACAATAAATAGGTGTATCTGAATTAACCGCGAAGTGGTTCATGACATAATAACACTTTACATCGTAGACATCATTGAGCAATATATTAAGGCAAAATAATTTCAAATGCTTTTAAAACGTCTATTTCAATTCTAAATTTGCAATTCAAACTCCTGCTTATTGAAGATATCAACGAATGTTTGACTGGACAACACAACTGTTCCGTAAACGCTGATTGCAGCAACGGAAGTCCCGGATTCTCATGTGTATGCAAGTCCGGATACTCTGGAAATGGTGAAGTTTGTGATGGTGAGCTACGTAATATAATTATACAATACACTAACCCTAAATCGATCACAGTGGATATCAAGAAAACAATTTTCGTCAGTAAATAATTGCAATACAAATATCTGAAAGAGTATAATTTGAGATTAGATTGAAGTAACAATATTTATGGTAATTTATAAAGACGTACACCAGACAGCTAAAATCAAATGTAAAACTATGATCGGGTTTGTATCCTCGATATCCTGTCTGTAGACGATGCGTTCGTAAATTTTATGAATGTCCATAATTACAATTTACCCCGCTTACAAAATGAACTAGAGTCACTTTATCATCAAAGATTTTCTGCAAAATGCTTTCAGCGTTCCTTTAATAGTTTTGTTACGTCCAATTTTCTAGCTAGATCTGTTTACATTGGCAACTTCAATACTTTGTCCGTTGGTGTGACTTGTTGTTCTATCAAACATTTCTCGAATCACAAAAAGATCTTCTACTTATCATTACATGACAGTTATCGTGGCATTGTAAAGCTTAACCAAACGTTAGTCTAATTCATCATTCAATCAAGAGAGCATCAAAAGTCATATTGTGAAACTCTCTTAAGAGATTTTTCAAACTTCTGAAAAGATCCAAATCATTTCTCCCTTGGACATGGGTAATATCGGAAAGGACTGTCTATCAATACTTCAGTCTAAATCTTAGTAGTCATCTCCTTAACCGTCAACGCTGCATTGATAATACCAGATGTCAACTGCCTGTCTGGCAACATTTCGGTGTTAACTACCACTTCCCTCTTTGTAAATATTGTGCTTTAATTGTTACATATCATCATCCTCTCTAAGTCGACACTAAAGTGTTACTTTCACACGGCATCAACCTTTTCATCAACATGTTCATGTCACATATAACTTCCTCTCCTCCAACACTATAATATTAAAATCACTTATGTCTTTAACAACACTACACTGTCACCGTTCTGTCTGTCAATACTGGAACGTTACCTTCAACCCTTCTTTGTCAACAATAGAACATCACATTTATCGCCTGTCAACATCAGAATGCCACATTCTCTACCCTTTCTGTTAACAATGCAGCGTTAGCAATGTCATCTCCCTCTCTGACGACACTAACTAAACAGTCACCATCATCTTCCTCTCTGATGGCACTAACTAAACAATCATCATCATCTACCTCTCTGACGACACTAGTTGTAACCATCATCTACCTCTCTGACGACACTAGTTGTAACCATCATCTACCTCTCTAACGACACTAACTAAGCAGTCACCATCATCTCCGTTTCAGACGACACTAGTTGTAACCATCATCTACCTCTCAGACGACACTAACTGAGATATCACTATCAAATACCTCTCTGATGAACCTAACTACCCAGTCAACATCATCTCCCTCTCTGACGACACTAACTGTAACCATCATCTCCCTTTCAGACGACACTAACTGTAACAATCATCTACCTCTCAGACGACACTAACTGAAATATCACTATCAAATACCTCTATGATGAACCTAACTACACAGTCAACATCATCTCCCTCTCTGACGACACTAACTGTAACCATCATCTCCCTTTCAGACGACACTAACTGTAACCATCATCTACCTCTCAGACGACACTAACTGAAATATCACCATCATATACCTCTCTGATGAAGCTAACTACACAGTCAACATCATCTCCCTCTCTGACGACACTAACTGTAACCATCATCTCCCTCTCTGATGACAGTACTAACTAAACAATCATCATCATCTTCCCTCTCTGACGACACTGTTGTAAGCATCATTTAAATCTCAGATGGCACTAACTAAACAGTCACCACTAAACAATCATCATTATCTACCTCTCTGACGACACTTGTTGTTAGCATCATATACCTCTCTGATGGCACTTACTAAACAGTCACCATCATCTCCCACTCCGACGACACTACCTTAACAATCATCATTATCTACCTCTCTGACGACACTAGTTGTAACCATCATCTACCTCTCTGACGACACTAACTGTCACCATCATTTCCCTCTCTGACGACACTAGTTGTAACCATCATATACCTCTATGACGACACTAATGTCACCATCTTCTCTATCTCTGACGACACTTTCACCTGTCCATGTATGGAGGGTTATACCATGGTGGACGACCAGTGCGAAGGCACTGAGAGTGATTAATATGGGTATTTAGTATGTTACTCATATTTCGATTCATATAAGATTGATACGACGAGGCGCAACAAGCAATAAGGATTGTTTAGAATCAGCTTCTTTCTTTCCTTTTTTTTTATTGAATCATAACACAATAAATAGGTGTATACTCTGAATTAACCGCGAAGTGGTTCATGACATAATAACACTTTACATCGTAGACATCATTGAGCAATATATTAAGGCAAAATAATTTCAAATGCTTTTAAAACGTCTATTTCAATTCTAAATTTGCAATTCAAACTCCTGCTTATTGAAGATATCAACGAATGTTTGACTGGACAACACAACTGTTCCGTAAACGCTGATTGCAGCAATGGAAGTCCCGGATTCTCATGTGTATGTAAGTCCGGATACTCTGGAAATGGTGAAGTTTGTGATGGTGAGCTACGTAATATAATTATACAATACACTAACCCTAAATCGATCACAGTGGATATCAAGAAAACAATTTTCGTCAGTAAATAATTGCAATACAAATATCTGAAAGAGTATAATTTGAGATTAGATTGAAGTAACAATATTTATGGTAATTTATAAAGACGTACACCAGACAGCTAAAATCAAATGTAAAACTATGATCGGGTTTGTATCCTCGATATCCTGTCTGTAGACGATGCGTTCGTAAATTTTATGAATGTCCATAATTACAATTTACCCCGCTTACAAAATGAACTAGAGTCACTTTATCATCAAAGATTTTCTGCAAAATGCTTTCAGCGTTCCTTTAATAGTTTTGTTACGTCCAATTTTCTAGCTAGATCTGTTTACATTGGCAACTTCAATACTTTGTCCGTTGGTGTGACTTGTTGTTCTATCAAACATTTCTCGAATCACAAAAAGATCTTCTACTTATCATTACATGACAGTTATCGTGGCATTGTAAAGCTTAACCAAACGTTAGTCTAATTCATCATTCAATCAAGAGAGCATCAAAAGTCATATTGTGAAACTCTCTTAAGAGATTTTTCAAACTTCTGAAAAGATCCAAATCATTTCTCCCTTGGACATGGGTAATATCGGAAAGGACTGTCTATCAATACTTCAGTCTAAATCTTAGTAGTCATCTCCTTAACCGTCAACGCTGCATTGATAATACCAGATGTCAACTGCCTGTCTGGCAACATTTCGGTGTTAACTACCACTTCCCTCTTTGTAAATATTGTGCTTTAAATGTTACATATCATCATCCTCTCTAAGTCGACACTAAAGTGTTACTTTCACACGGCATCAACCTTTTCATCAACATGTTCATGTCACATATAACTTCCTCTCCTCCAACACTATAATATTAAAATCACTTATGTCTTTAACAACACTACACTGTCACCGTTCTGTCTGTCAATACTGGAACGTTACCTTCAACCCTTCTTTGTCAACAATAGAACATCACATTTATCGCCTGTCAACATCAGAATGCCACATTCTCTACCCTTTCTGTTAACAATGCAGCGTTAGCAATGTCATCTCCCTCTCTGACGACACTAACTAAACAGTCACCATCATCTTCCTCTCTGACGGCACTACCTAAACAATCATCATCATCTTCCCTCTTTGACGACATTAGTTGTTATCATCATTTACCTCTCTGATGACAGTAACTAAACAATCATCATTATCTTCCTCTCTGACGACACTTGTTGTAACTCATCAAATACCTCTCTGATGAACACTACCCAGTCAACATCATCTCCCTCTCTGACGACACTAACTGTAACAGCATCATCTCTACCTCTATGATGACACTAACTGTAACAATCATCTCCTCTCTGACGACACTAACTGAAACATCACTATCAAATACCTCTCTAATGCCATGAACCTAACTCACATCATCTCGTTCTCTGATGATACTAGTTGTAACCATCATCTACCTCTCTGTCGACACTTGTTGTAACCATCATCTACATCTCTGACGACACTAGTTGTTACCATCATCTCCCTCACTGACGACACTAACTGAAACAGCAGCATCATCTACCTCTATGATGACACTAACTAAACAGTCAACATCATCTCCCTCTCTGACGACACTAACTGAAACATCACCATCATCTCCCTCTCTAATGCCACTAACTCAACGATCATCATCATCTCGTTCTCTGATGATACTAGTTGTAACCATCATCTCCATCTCTGACGACACTAACCAAACAGTCACTATCATCTCCATCTCTGATGACACTAACTAAACAGTCATCATCATCTGACGTCACCTTCACCTGTCAATGTATGGAGGGTTTTTTCATGATGGGCGACCAGTGCGAAGGCACTGAGAGTGATTTATATGGGTATTTAGTATGTTACTCATATTTCGATTCATATAAGATTGACACGACGAGGCGCAAAAAAGCAATACGAAATTTTTCGGAATCAGCTTCTTTTTTCCCCATCTTTATATTGAATCAACACAATATAAAGGTGTATTCTATGAACTAACCGCGAAACACTAGTAGTAACCATCATCTACCTCTCTGACGACACTAATTGTCACCATCATATCTCTCTCCGACGACACTAAACAGTCAACATCATCTTCCTCTCTGACGACACTAATTGTCACCATCATCTTCCTCTCTCACGACACTAACTAAACAGTCACCATCATCCCCCTCTGTATCAGCACTATTATATCAATTTCAACATCCAACCATCATCGAAACTGTGGTATAACAATAGAGTTTGCAGACAAATATCATTCCTTCTGTCAAACTTTGATCGTTACGGCCATATTCATTTTTTTCCATCATAGATATCAACGAATGTATGTACGGAAACACCTGTCCAGCTTCATCAAATTGTTTAAACAGTCCGCAGGGAAGCTACACCTGTCAATGTTTGGAGGGTTATACCATGGTGAACGACCAGTGCGAAGGTATTGAGAGTGATTAATATGAATATTTAGTATGTTACTCTTATTTCTATTCATATAAGATATACACGACGAGGCGCAAAAAGCAATAAGGATTTTTTTTCAGAATCAGCTTCTTTTTTCCCTTTTTTATTAATCATGACACAATGAAAAAGTGTATACTCTGAATTAACAACGAAGCGAGCAATAAATAAAGGCAAAATAATTTCAAATGCTTTTAAAACGTCTATTTCAATTCAAAATTTGCAATTCAAACTTCTACTTATTGAAGATATCAACGAATGTTCGACTGGACAACACAACTGTTCCGTAAACGCTGGTTGCAACAACAAAAGTCCCGGATTCTCATGTGTATGCAAGCCCGGATACACGGGAAATGGTGAAGTTTGTGATGGTGAGCTATGAAATATCATCATAGAATTGCATGATTTTCAAAGAAACTCTACAGCTTATTCTATTTCAATTTCAACAAATTTTATTTACAAATGTCAAAAGGAATTGGGCATCAGGCATTGTCTATTTAAGGCCTCTCCTTCAGGTGACAACCTGTGGTAAGCAAACAGACATATATATATATATACTGAGTTTGAGCATTAATCAAGATGATTCTGTTTGGAATTAAAACCAAATTTCGACAAATACATGTACATAGATTGTAAGTAAGGTTACAACAAGTGCTATGTATAATATGAAGATTGCTTATTTAAATAAGAAGGAGTTTCTTCATATAGTAACATAAGTGAAATCTTTGCTGCCAAGACCAGACTTACATTGTATTTAATTCATTCTAGTATAGGAGGGAAAATGTAAGAGATGATAATTCATAATAATACATCAGGTATATGTAGTACTGCTATAGTAGTAGTCAATCTGGGGGTTTAATTGATAAATAGGAATTTCTTAAAGTATATATAGGATGTTTACAATACTACATTCAATGAGATAATTCTTCGTCGTGCAAATAAAGTCATGCATCATTAGAATGATTGTAAATTGGGCATTGAAAAGTGGGAATCTCATAGAACATGAAATAAAATCTGAAACATAAGATAGGATGACTCTATTTTGTATATCATTTCAAAGAACACAACCATGTAATAAGACCTTTACACATAAATGATTATGAGTATCATGATTCAAGTTCTGTCGAAGGGTCTGTCGAATATCGGTATATCTATAGCACTCAAAGAAGAAGTGTAGGGTAGTTTCAGAAGATTGAAACGATCATAGTTAAGACTACAACTACAACTTGTTTTCAACTTTCTTATCATATTTTTAGTTAAGACTAAGGTACTAGCAACAGAGATTCAAATTAACAATTTTAAAACAATGTCCATTGATGTAATTTGTTTATACCTGTCGTAAATCACACAAAAATAAAAAATTCTCGTTAATGTATGAAGCTTAGTCAAAATCTTGTCCCAACGTTGGAAAATAATTCATTTTTCAATCAAAACAGCACTTAAAGTCACAGTGTGACACTCAGTCAAGTGATTTTTCAAACATCCAAAAGACAATGGTATGAACAGGTACTAAATCATCTCTCCCCGGACATAGGTAATGTCGAAAAGGACTACTAGTCCTATACAACATTATGACTCAATGTTGATAGATGATTGTGTTATTATGGTTAACCAACGAACTCTTCGTTTATTAGGATGATATTCTTGGTGAAACAGAAGACGCTAATTCTTGTAACGATCTTTTTTCTTTCGTTCATATTTGCCCTGGTTATTACGATAACACATTTAGGGAAACTGCTATTTTATGCGGTTGAATTTTACTCTGTCGATCCGTAAAAAAGCGCTGACTTGACGCTTAGAATTATATCAATAAATCGATTATCGTTAACTACGAGTCTTTTTTTCGCCAGCGATATTGAATATGCAGGAGAGGCATTTACCAGCGACATCCGTCTTTTGCAATCTTTATATTCTATTCTCGTACCATTGAGTTAGAAATACATATTTCCATCGCAGATATCAACGAATGTACTGATGGTACATATAAATGTCCTGCGTCATCAAGTTGTGTGAACAGTCCACCAGGAAACTACAGCTGCAAGTGTAACGATGGCTATACGATGGAGGCTAACGAATGTAAACGTATGTATATGAATGTTTAAATTCCTACACAGAAAATGTTTCTTGGAACGTTCGGCGCAGCAATGCAGTAAACTTGTGGAGTGAAATGGTGTCAGCTATTGATTTCTCTTTTTTGTTTATCAGTTGTGTGTGGCAAAAGGAAATGTGATGTCAACGCTTCATGTAAAAGAAATCGCTGCATATGTAACAAAGGTTTCTATGGAATCGGTCACATAAAATGTTCAGGTGAGTTCCGGTCAGATTACGTTTAGCAGGTTATTGTACTAAATCAGTAACAAATCGTGGGGCAGTTTACTCGGTGCCAAGTACAATGGTACATGACAACATGTTTTGTGTGTCATGTACCATTGTAATATGAATAAAGATTGCTAGTGAAACAAACAGCTTACATAGTAATACATGCAAACTTATGGAGAAAGATCTTCACATAACTAATATACTATTGCATTTCAGATACCTGCGGGGGACACGAATGCGTCAGGTTTTCGAAGTGTCGGTATAACAAATGCAAGTGCAACAGAGGTTTCTACGGAGATGCAACTGTGAAATGCAAGAGTAAATATATTCTTTTTAATTCTATCATAGCTTCAATTTTTTTTTCTCGAATTTTTCGATAATGTTGTAATTGTTTAGTGAAAGGCTGCGTGTTTGAATACGCGTTCGATTTTATAAGACATGATCACGTCAAGAATATGGACCATACAATGATATCGTAAGTCCAACTTGAGTTTTTCAGCCTGGGATTTAAACGTGTGAATTCATACGGAAGTTAGAAAGCGGAAGTACCATTGAATACAAGGAAAAATACTTATATTGGTATTAAATTCACAGGGCTGTGTGGAAGACCAAAGAGAAAATGTCATGAAAATGCCACCTGCAAACGCAACAAGTGTGTTTGTGATAAGGGTTACATCGGCGACGGATTTAAATGCCACAGTGAGTTGTGTAGTATATGAAACCGAGTTGTTGTTGATATACATCCATTACATTATATGGTTTTACTGAAATGCATAATGCAAATATACATGCAGTGAGCAATAAGTGTAATATTTCCGAAGTTTCTTTACATTTAATGCATTTGATATATGAATATAAACACTGTTTTTGTCCTGTCTGGCATCTCATGTGTTTTACGTTTGTAGAACCTTGCACCTGTTCCGCTTCTGGACACGTACACTACCGGACATTCGATGGCTCTATGATATACTATCCTGGAAACTGCAGTTACTTGCTATCACAGCATAACGACTCAAAGGACGCCTCGTGCAATTATAGGATCATTATCGATAATGAAGCTGGACCGCCCGGGGAACCCGTCATGATCAAGTCTGTGTCGTTCAACATAAGTGGACAAACCGTGTTCTTAAAAGGGAATGATGTTTTCGTAAGTTGTAATTTAAAAAGCCACGAATTCATACCTAAATGTAAATGCTTTTCGACCCTAAGACTTGTGATTCTCCCGCCACGATAGGTGTTTTTCGTAATCTGGAGGAGGTTAAGATAGGGGTTTCGACAGCAATGCCAATTGTATTGCGGTGCGACAATTTGATGACGTCCAAGCAAAATTCAATGGAGCTATGTCACCTATATACCTGTATTCATTCATTAAAAAATGGTGTAGCAAAAAGAAAGCAGTTCATAGTTTTTCAAGTGAAATGCTCGATCGTCACCATTAGGTAAAGGTTCTTGCATAAATTTGTGCTTGGCAAGCCTCGTGTTTGACATTTTCCTCATTATTTCGCCATCCACTTATAATATATAATATGTTAGTATTTCCACCACTTGTATACATCTCGCGCCTCAAACAGATATTTTTCATGCGCTACAGACAGGTATTCTTTCACTACGGTCAAAAACATAGCTGCATGCTGACCGATGTTCTATGTCCCACAGTATCTAGTAAGTAGTATCTAGTGTCTCTTTTATTCTTTCTAGTACGACTTGTCCTTCGCAAAATTGCGTTTTAGATGGGACTGTATCCATTCGTGAAAATAAGTTCAAACAGAAATGATAACAAGTTATCGTATAATATATTGACTCTTTTGATGGCGTCACTTTCGCCCTTCCAGGTTGATGGCTTGCATATGGAGCTGCCGTACTCGTCTATGACCGGCGCCATAAGGATATCTCGTAGTGGGGCCTACACGCGAGTGGAGACGGATTGCCATGTACGTCTTCAGTGGAGCGGAAAGGCTTCTCTGCTGGTAGAGATACCTGTCGTGTACAGCCCCTCACTTAATGGTTTGTGTGGTAACTGCAACGACCAAGAGGACGACTACCGTACCCAAAACGGCGTCGATGTGTCTGCGTTGGCAGATAGGGATAATGCAATCGGAAGCAGTTACGCTTTATCTACTTTGGTGGGCGACGAACAGAAAGCGTAAGTACAGAATCTGATGTTGTGGTCGTAATGTTTCACATCTTACTCATACGAATGAAGGCACGTCCAAATCCGATTTATGATGTTAGTGCAAGTAGGTGTTGTGCATTTCAATAATGATAAGACATCTCAAATACTTCCAGGTCGGAATCTCAGCAGCAAGGTATTTTAATATTTTTAAATATTTCTTTCTATGTAGACGTATGTTTAAGCTTTGCGACGAAAATACTAAAATGTAAAACCATCTGTCAAACTACCACGACGCATTTCCACTTCAATGGCTCTGCTGGCAGTCTAAGGACGGCTAATGTTTAATTTATTCCATTCCATGTTGGATGTTTAAATGAAAAAAGATATTGACAAAAGAGACAAAAGAAAACATAAAGAGCGTGGTTGACTTTATTTCGCGGATCAGAATAACAATTAAATTGGTGAAACCGGACGACGTTTCGATACACCTCTCAAAGGACAGCAAAAGACGATGATACAATGTAAAACAAAGAATACACGAGGAAACGTCGAAAGGATATTAGAAAAAAATGCATCATCCACTTCAGTAGGAGTACAACTCATAACCGAGAAACTTGAAAGTATCATTCTTGACAAGGTAAAAGCTGAATTAGTGAAGACAAAAAAGGACCACCTAAGTCAACTTTATGAACCCAGTTTTACATTCAATAAGGGATGGAATGAGTAGAATATCAAACTTTCATCAAGCTGCGTGCAGTATAATGGTGTTATTGGGACGAAAATGGGTCTTAACGATTTGACAGTTGACATTAATGAAATTTATTGACCACGTCCATCATATATGCACAGCAGAAATGGAAATAAAGGACACTACAGACTCTTCTTCATCAACCGCTTTTCTCGATATTTTCCTTCAACGAAATCAACATGGACAACTTTCCACGATGATAAGCGAGATGATTTCATATTCCCTATTTTGAATTTTCCATTTCTGTATAGCAACTGCCTGCATCGCCAACCTATGGTGTCCACTTGTCGCAGTTAATTCAATATTTAAAGGCCTGTTTCCTTTATCAAGATTTTGGTGCAAAAAGTCGCTAATTGACAAACTCGGAACACAGGGTTTCAAAAGATGCAGAAGTTTTATGGTCGTCATGGTAATCTCATTGAGAAGCTGGACGTGTTTTTTGCTCGTTATTTGGCTTATTGGTTCCGTTATTGTATACCTGGTTATCATTGGAGAACATGTCGTTACATATTTAAACTGACCAAGATTTACGTCGTCGACGAAGCAGAAAATGCTTTATGTTCCGGAACACCTGGACTTATTCACTCTGTACTTTTTCAGGTGTCTCCGTGTAAATCTTTCATTTGTTCATGTGTTGCCCCAGTTTTATTGAATATGAGTTTGGGTAATGAGTATGTTTACAAATTGATATTTTCTTGGTTTTATTACACAATCGTTCATTTGCCTGATAGTGAAGTGTTTCAAATTTCACAAAAATATTTTTTAAGTCGCAGTTCATGTTAAAGATGCACATCTCAGAATATCCTAAAGCGTTTTGCTAATGTACTGTTAAGTATTAAAATAGCGTTAAGGGTTTTCAAATACCGATGCTTATGTCTTGTCTGAGTACCCAACCTTCGATGATAATACGAAACACTCAAAGTCAGGACTTAATTGAGCTAATATCTTATAGTGTTTACTTAGTAATAAGGGTGCTGGTCAAAATATACATTAAAGTTTATCATTGGATATACTGGATATAGGAATCGGATAAAAATCTTAATTACTTTTTGATTAATATTATGAATAATATTAATTTATTTCTGTAGGTGTCATGTGACTACGCCTAAACCCTGTAACGCCCGTAGCATGAAGATAGCCAAGAGAGGAAAAAAATGCGGTCAGCTTCATCCTAACGTGAAACGTTCAAGATTCATGAAGTGTATCAAGGCAAACCCGTTTCTGGCAAGAGCTATGTACGACGTCTGTGTTAAGGATTACTGCCACAGCTTCAAAAAGGGAAAAGTTAGAGAGCGGGTGCTGTGTAACGTGCTAGAGGGATACGCAGCATGGTGTAGCAGAATGAACAAACCAGTTAGGTGGAGAACGCCGTTTTGCAGTGAGTTGAATATTACACAATTCTGTTTAAGGGATATTCTGTTTGTATAAAAGGATTCTTTTTGTAAATTGGAAGATGTGGTAATGTGTATAAATTACCGTCGTATCATTTGAATTCAACGTATTGTCCTCATGACCAGCGTTATGCATCCACCTAGAGACGAAATCACAAATAAAAAATCTATAGATGCCGTTACTTAGGTGTAAGAAAGACGAAAGACAAATTTCTAAAATCAGATGGGGACAGAAGCTTGATCGTGTTCGTGTACGACCAACGGAAATTTAACTGTTTTCATTATCAAACATTTTGAAACCAGGATTTTGTTGAAAATGCAGGAATGGAGCTACATCAATAAAAATGCTTCGTGTGAAAATATATGTAATGTGCTGTTCAAACAAATACGCCCCAATTATGTCGTTCTGAAAAAAATTGCATCTTCGAATAATTTCAAAACTCATCTAACCTGATTAACCTCGTGACGATTTTTACATGGCTACGAATAAGAAATATATTTTTAAGCACTCATCCACATACAGGTACATTAAAGGTATAATACATGTTCATATTTGATATCTTTGCAGCAAACGTTATCTTCAACGCGTAAAATACAAATGTGACTAGCATTTATTTGATATAATACTACATGACCAACAATCATACGTAATAAAAGGTAACATGTTTCGATTTCAGGGAAGCGTTTGAATTGTCCCAAAAATTCTGTGTACCGAGCCATTACCAAGGGATGTGCAAACTCGTGCGTCAACAAGAGAGCAGCACGAAGATGTACGAGACCAAAGGTAGACGGATGTGTGTGCAAGGCTGGGTTTTTCGCAAGTGGGGACACATGTGTGCGCAAGACAGATTGTGGGTGTCAAGAAAATGGCAGATATTACAAGGTAATGGCGTCCTCTTTTACTTATCAATCTTCATCATATTCTTCTGCCATTTTACGTCTACAACATCGCAGTACCTATTGCTCTTTTTTGTAGCTGGGTTCCATTCGTCGTACTAGTGACTGCACTACTTTGGAGAAATGTGTCAAAAAGGGTAGAAAGGCCCGCTTTGAAGTCATCGAATCAGGAGAAAGATGTAATCAGTGGGCAACATGTAAAGTGGCGGATGGCTTTTACAACTGTGTCTGTGAACCTGGTTTCATTGGAGATGGATACCAAACATGCACACGTAAGAAACGTTTTCTATACGTCACAAATATTGGACATACAAATCATAGATGTCCACAAGGCAGTTTTCCTACGGGAGAATGGAATGGATAAAATTAGCAACTCTAGCGCAAATGTGGCTTTTGGCAACAATAACTTGTTTTGGGTCCAATGACTCCAATTTGTAAATAGTATAAAGGTAACACAGGAAACAATGATTTTTTTTTTCTGAAATTTTTGGTCATGTTTGAGATATACAAGTATAGCAGCTTGGTTATGAAAAATACGTCCTTTCATCTATATATATTTATAAACTACATAATAATTACTTATTATAGCAGAGGAAGAAAAAGTTCCTCTTATTTCTAAATGTGACTCCTATGGCTACCTAATCGCAAAATGCTAAAATTGCAAAAATACTACTAATTCCAACCTAACACCACAACTTTATAGAAGGGATTTATTTCTGAGCACCTGCCTTAAAATCAATAACATTGTCATTGGTAAAAACACTACTTACGTTTCAGCAAATTCCAACTCGGAAATCCTTCAAAACATGACCACGTGTAAACATTAGGAAAATGTCACTGCATGAAAAGCTAGTTTTTGGTGTGTAGACACAGATTCGAGAATGCCCACTTTGTGTACAATATATACGATAGCAGGTGATAGACACTGCTTGTGGACTTGAAGTCCCCGAGGTTTGCCGTAACCTGCTTGCCACGTTTAAATGGGGTTTTATCGAGGTAGACTGGAATCTTATCTGTTCTTAACGAAATGGCTTAAATGTGCTGTGAGCTTTGAATTAGGCTTGTTCACAGTTTATCTTTATCATACTTTTCTTCTTTACTTAAGTTTTCTGCTTTTCAAGAAATTTTAATTTTACCTGCTACAGTGTGTTATTAACTATTTAAGAACTTAGAGAGCTATTACGTCTAAATCCTTCTGCATGTTTACCCGCTTCTTACAGATTTGCTGCCCAAAAAATGTGGCATGTGCGTAATTTATCGTTGTCTATAGTTTTTACATGGATTAAGTTCCCACACTGCGACATAGTGGCATATTTCCTCTAATATCACGCACTTTTCTAATTCATCCTTGATACTGTCGGCGGGGTACATATTTTCCCCCTGAAGTATACCATAGTTCATGCTAGATTATTACATATGCTAGATACTTTTTCTAATGACTTACATCTGGGCTGTCTGCTGAATATACAGAATAGTTTTTTTTATTTCCCTCTAACTGGTGATATCAGTGGTATGATATATATTGCTTTTTCATCCCCCAAATTACATTGATATTACCCCGAAGGCAAATAAAGGTTACCATTCTCCAAGCACCTCATACTGAAGTTGCTCTCATGGATAGATATTTTACTGTCCCCAACCTCTGTCTTATATTGATATGCCCATAGGTAAACATATGTTACTATTCCCCTTCCGCCGACTAACACATTTCCATGGTTACAAAACACTTTATACGTGTTTAACCTATTACATATATTGATCTTTTTCACAGGCATATATAAATATATACAAATTTATCATTTGGTTATTTCTGTTCCGGATGGGTTTCCACTGTAATATTAAATACGTACTTCACTGTGTTTTACAGCTGAGAAAACATGTAACGTAGTAGAAACCACTAAAGACTGTGAGGCGACTGTGAAGCTGACAGGACGATGCATGTTCAAATCCAGACATAACAACGACTGTAATTATCTAGTGTACACCATGAAGGATCGATCCTACATCCATTTCACGGGAAAATCTAGTCACGTGACATTGATGGAGGGCAAAGAAACTTACGAGGATTGTGCATCGTTTTCACTGAATCACCACAACGCTACTGTCACTATCAAGGAGCGCGTGTGTAATTGTCCCGGTCACTAAATTGTAAAATACTAATAGCAGAAAGGTATGAAATAAAGTATTTAAGTGTGACAATGTTCATGGTGTTAAATTACTTAGTATGACATACTTGGATAACACTGAAATCAACAATAGAATAGAATAGTTTATCATAACTGCAACACGCAGTTCATGGAAGCGCAAATAACGACTCCATTTCTTTAAAGACAAACAACAACAAAATGATACCATCAACATATGTCATAACATACCCAACAAACCATACTGTCAACATGTGTTATAACATACGCAACAAACCATACTGTCAACATGTGTCATAACATACCCAACAAACCATACTGTCAACATGTGTCATAACATACCCAACAAACCATACTGTCAACATGTGTCATAACATACCCAACAAACCATACTGTCAACATATGTCATAATATACCCAACAAACCATACTGTCAACATGTGTCATAACATACCCAACAAACCATACTGTCAACATGTGTCATAACATACCCAACAAACCATACTGTCAACATATGTCATAACATACCCAACAAACCATACTGTCAACATGTGTCATAACATGCCCAACAAACCATACTGTCAATATATGTCATAACATGCCCAACAAACCTTACTGTCAACATGTGTCATAACATACCCAACAAACCATACTGTCAACATGTGTCATAACATACCCAACAAACCATACTGTCAACATGTGTCATAACATACCCAACAAACCATACTGTCAACATATGTCATAACATACCTAACAAACCATACTGTCAACATATGTCATAACATACCCAACAAACCATACTGTCAACATGTGTCATAACATACCCAACAAACCATACTGTCAACATGTGTCATAACATACCCAACAAACCATACTGTCAACATGTGTCATAACATACCCAACAAACCATACTGTCAACATATGTCATAACATACCCAACAAACCATACTGTCAACATATGTCATAACATACCCAACAAACCATACTATCAACATGTGTCATAACATACCCAACAAACCATACTGTCAATATATGTCATAACATGCCCAACAAACCTTACTGTCAACATGTGTCAATACATACGCAACAAACCATACTGTCAACATATGTCATAACATACCCAACAAACCATACTGTCAACATATGTCATAACATACCCAACAAACCATACTGTCAACATGTGTCATAACATACCCAACAAACCATACTGTCAACATGTGTGTGTCATAACATACCCAACAAACCATACTGTCAACATGTGTCATAACATACCCAACAAACCATACTGTCAACATGTGTCATAACATACCCAACAAACCATACTGTCAACATGTGTCATAACATACCCAACAAACCATACTGTCAACATGTGTCATAACATACCCAACAAACCATACTGTCAACATATGTCATAACATACCCAACAAACCATACTGTCAACATGTGTCATAACATACCCAACAAACCATACTGTCAACATGTGTCAACATGTCAACATGTGTCATAACATACCCAACAAACCATACTGTCAACATGTGTCATAACATACCCAACAAACCATACTGTCAACATATGTCATAACATACCCAACAAACCATACTGTCAACATATGTCATAACATACCCAACAAACCATACTGTCAACATGTGTCATAACATACCCAACAAACCATACTGTCAATATATGTCATAACATGCCCAACAAACCTTACTGTCAACATGTGTCATAACATACGCAACAAACCATACTGTCAACATATGTCATAACATACCCAACAAACCATACTGTCAACATGTGTCATAACATACGCAACAAACCATACTGTCAACATATGTCATAACATACCCAACAAACCATACTGTCAACATGTGTCATAACATACCCAACAAACCATACTGTCAACATGTGTCATAACATACCCAACAAACCATACTGTCAACATGTGTCATAACATACCCAACAAACCATACTGTCAACATGTGTCATAACATACGCAACAAACCATACTGTCAACATATGTCATAACATACCCAACAAACTATACTGTCAACATATGTCATAACATACCCAACAAACCATACTGTCAACATATGTCATAACATACCCAACAAACCATACTGTCAACATGTGTCATAACATACCCAACAAACCATACTGTCAATATATGTCATAACATGCCCAACAAACCTTACTGTCAACATGTGTCAATACATACGCAACAAACCATACTGTCAACATGTGTCATAACATACCCAACAAACCATACTGTCAACATGTGTCATAACATACCCAACAAACCATACTGTCAACATGTGTCATAACATACCCAACAAAGCATAGCTTAACTTTGTTTGATTCAGTACATTTTAGTAATATGTAATTTAATTCTCCAATGACAGCAACACCGGTAGGTTTTTTCTCATTGAATTAAGGATGTACACCTCTGATATTTGACCGGAAGTAGTTCATTATTCAATTGAAGATAAATCTATTTTCTGTATATTACACATTCTTAGTTGCACTTATGAGCTGAAAAAATTTTCATCACGTTTTAAAGAATTTTTACTTGAAGGCTTCAATTTAAGACGTCGTAGTTGATGGCCTGATTCGGTTAATATCGTCATCATTTTCAAAGTTTAGTCGCTGCTAAGGTATTTTTCTTGAATATAAATCTGGAAGTGCTGGGTACCAACAAAATCTTTGCCGAATTAACACTCAAATGATAAATTTCAAATTTGTGAACAACCGACAACTATTAGAGCTCGAAAACATGTACTTCAGCCTGTTTTTCGATCTCCGAACAAGAACTGGCCATGACAATAAATACAGCAAAAATTAATTGAAACAAGCCCCTCCAATTTAATCTTGAAAAATACACTCGAAATTTCTGTATCCAAGCACATTCTTAAAAACAAATTAAAAACATATTGTACTAGAATATGATCAAATAAAGATTTTGTCATTTTTCAAATTTTTCATTTTTTGGTTGCTATCCAGATTAAAGCATTTCACAACCTTATTTTCCAAATATCTAAGTATTAAACTATTAACTTTTAAAGAAAGACGAAAATGTATAGTTGTTGAGAAAATAACAAAAGACCGTAAAATTTCGAATTGCATGGAAACTCTTTTTCTTGCTACACGTATTCTGACGCCTGTGTCCGAAAAAGAAGTGTAGCAACAGATCTACAATGTAGCCTTTCCAAAAATCATCACCTAAACAACAGTTCAGTTCTGAATGTTTCGAATATTTCTCAAACGTGTAGATCCATAAACAAACGTGTATTAATACACACGCACATGATGTGTTATAAGTTGATACTTTTACTACAATTTAAAACGACTTTCTCACAACAGTTATAAACAGTTTTATTTAAATAACCGAGAACTGTATTAACGATTAAAGTAACGACCCATTAAATATAACAGGATTGATATCAATGATCACCAGCCTTTGGTGTAAACTTCTTTGATGTAGAAAATACGTCCAGGCTATTGTCTGACAGGTTGTTTAAGGCCATCTGCATCCAAATAAATAGCTAGTATTTCCGCCTTTTGTCCGTCTGTAAGCAGAAAAAAGTTTCCTCGATACATTATTCCATTACATTAAATGCAACCGAAAACAACTGTAAATCGGCAAACTATAACGTAATATCTGAAGTGAATAACGTTTTGAATCAATATCCATTTAAATCCCCCTACCCATGTTCTATACAATATCTTTACCTATGGTCCTAGTGGAGACCCTGTACAGTATTTTTACTTATGGTCCTAGTAGAGGCTGCTGTAAATGTTCTATACAATTTGTACTTATGGTCCTATTAGAGACTCACTGTTAATGTTCTGTACAATATCTTTACTTATGGTCCTAGTAGAGACTCGCTGTTAATGTTCTGTACAATATCTTTACTTATGGTCCTAATAGAGACTGGCTGTAACAGTTCTATACAACCTTTTTACTTACACTCTTCATAGAGGCTTGCTTTAGAGTGACTGGAAAAGAGAAAGACGGGGTATTTGGCATTGGTATCATAGGGACATTCTCCTTTTGACTCCGCAACAATCAGCCATCCTTCGTCATCTTTACATGAACTTGATGCCTTGTTAATAAACAGACGTCTGTTCACAAGCTCGTCCCTATTACGACAAAACAGTCTAATGTACAATCGGTAGAGCGGAACAACTGTTCAAAGTCTACAGTGTAATAGTTTATGTAAACCTTAAAATATATATAATGTCAGTCGTAGTGATGAATTCTTGGAGACTTTTTCTCTGAGATAGAAAATGTCCATCCATATCAGCGGCATTAACATAATTAATTGCTTAGACAAAGAAATCTAACAGACAATACCTAATGGACAATATCAAACAGCAAGGAAAATATCGAACTGCTAGTAAGCGGTGAAACTGTACAACAATTAAGCGGGCAGAGAAAAAATTTAAAAGCATTCATCAAAACTAAATATCAAGAAGGAAACAAAATAATGACCATGGTGGCGACCCAAAAGGGACTCCTATATTAGATTTCGTTCTTTTTACTGAAGAATTTGACTTCTGAAAAATGTTGAAATACTTTAAATTAACTGCATGTCTTCATCCATTCAAAATTATAACACGATTACGTAATTATGTGAAAAGTCATTGCTAATCGATGTTCTGTATATCGTCATTGGTTCGTTTGATCGGTGATAACCAAGGGTAGTGTTATTTCAGTGATATCATTCATTATTAGCCGATCGAATTAGATTATTACTTATTACATTAGGCTTAACAGTATACAGTGTTACACATGTCCCAAAATATCCGTGATCACGTAAGCTAACGGCTCGTTCGCATCGTGGACAAAAAGGCGGAAATGCAGAAAGAAGAGACAGGAAAATCCTTTTTGACACTGATGAGCTTACAGGGGTTTGTCTTCATTCACATATATAATATACGTATGTAACTTGATCCTGAAATTTAAAAGTTCGTACAGTAATTGTTGTGCCAAAAAAGATGTTCACAAGTGTAACTTTCGACTTCAGAGAGAAAGACACAAGCGTCATTGTCAATCAGAAATCTACACGACGACAACTACGACAACTACGACAGAGAGAAGTTGAGGATGAACTTAAAGTAAAGAACAAATTAAAAACCGAAGAAATCCGAACCAAACATATTATTTGCAACACAAAATCGTGCAAAATACCTAAACATGGCAAACAAATCCATAAACATTAAAATCAGAAAATATGGCTATATACTTATCAAAACATGAACTGGCTTCTCAGCAAGTATTTCTGATCGAGGTTATAGTAACTAACAGTTATTAGAAGACTGATCAGTGATTACACATAAACATCCATCACATTTTTGTTATATCTATCGATGTTCGACGGAGAAGATATGTTTTGTCTAGAATTCCAATTAGGCAGATCGATATCGTCACACCGATCGTACAGCTTATTGAAAGGCTGTTCCTGATGGTTTCGTTTTTGGAAAAGAACGAATTCAACGGGCGAAGAAGATAAAAATGGTGAATAAATATCTTACTTAACATAAACGTAAAATCAAAGAAAATGGCAATGGTCTTATCACATTGTTATGATCAACTATTTTTATACGTTCAATCTTGAATAACAAAACAAGAGGATCATGGCCATTGACGGTCATCGACGAATGGATGGACAAACCAAAGAACTCGTTGACGGTGGTCTGACAAATCTGACGAATTAAAATTAATAACATTCCTTGAAAGTATCAGAAACATCATCATTGGTAGTTTCTGTTCATAAAAATGTTGAATAATCATGTTACAAAATTGCGTCTGTGGTTATCATGATGAAGTTTTAATCAGGCTGAAAAATAACAGCAATTCGTCTCTTTTCTTAAAAAATCAAACTCTAAATAATTTTTCTCATTGGTGCTAATAAAACTTATTGAGCAGTAGTTCTAAATGAGCAATGTTGGATTTTGGAACTAAGCAAATAAATAACAATTGGTCAGTATATTCTCAGGTTCATTTCTTTCATATTTGATATAATTGCCACTCACTGATAATGTTTCAGGCCTAATTTGGTTGAAATCTACCTGGACATTAAAAAGGAGTAGCATTTTGAAGCAAAACATTGTCTGTCTCTTATAGGGCCCTGCTTTCAGGTGCCTAGGGGTCAAATCAACTCTCGTTATTTAAGAAATAATTACCTTCTTTCAAAGACCAAGTTTAGTTCGAATCCATTCAAGCATTCAGAAAGAGTAGCATTTTGAAGCAAAACATTGTCTAACTTGCCCTTTTTGTGCCCTACCTCCATGTCCTTTGACGTCGAATCAACTTTCTGAATTTAAGAAATGATTGCCCACTCTCATTGATGTTTCAGGCCAAATTAGGATAAAAAAATTTCAAGCATTAAGAAAGAGTAGCATTTCGAAGCAAAACTCGTCTAATTTCCCCTTTTTGTGCCTTGCCATCAACTTCCTATGGATCGAATCAATTTTTTTAATTTAAAGAATTAATTGCCTACCCTAACTGATTAATCAGGCCAAAAGTTGTTGAAATCAACCCAGGCAGAAAGGAGGAGCGGGGTTTTACATCTAATTTCAGAACCTCACCCTTTGGGGCCCCGTTATTAGACCCCTAGGAGTCGAATCATAATTCTGAATTTAAGATGTGATAACGTTTACCAAATAATGCATAAACCAAATTTGGTTGGAATACGTCCTGGTATGAAAGAGGAGTAGGTTTTAAAGAAAAAGTTTACGCATGACGAACGACGCACGGCGGACGGCACACAACGACGGACGAAGCACGATTGCTATAGGTCATTTTGACCCTTCGGGTCAAACGATCTAAAAATCTACAACTGTCATTCTGAGAATGGCTAATACCACTGCAGATGCAAAGACCTATATACTATATACTAGATTTGCACAAAAATCAGTTACAATTGAAATTAAATGTTTGATATTTCGTAATACACTAATATACAAAATTAGGTAAAAATCAGTCAATATCTAAATTTCAACCAATAAGAGGCCACAATTATCCTTAGCAAAGCCTACACTGTGATGTTTTCCATCCCCTACTCTCCCTATAAAGCAAATTTGGTCAAGATCGGGCATTATCTAAATGTCAACCAATCAGAGGCCATCAGTTGCCGTAGCATGGTTGTCATGGCAATGAAAACAAAGTGATATTTGTCAGCCACTTATACCCATATATATAAAATTGGTAAAAATCGGATAATATTTAAATTCTAACCAATCAGAGGTCAGTAAAGTGTTGTCATAGCAACTGTTTCTGAAACAGCTAATGTATCCTACTTAGTTATACCATTTAGTCAAATGATAAAATCTGCTGATGTTTTATATCCTGAAAATGAAGCGTTTCTTAATTTGAAATTGGGTTAATGCCCTTAGAATAAACAATGTGTGTAAATATAAACTTTATTTTACAATAAGTGCGAAACAATGTCTTATACTAATCACTCTAGCTGGTCCGGATGTAAGCACTCAAGGGCTTTTATGAAACTGGAGTACCTGGAAAAAACCACTTTGTCGGGCAGGTGCCACTCGACCACCTTCCCTCTTTTACATCGTTATTGTCGTCTTGTAGTTTTCTAATTTGGATATTGGTGCTCTTTTAATGTAAACGCGAACAATAACAGCCTACGAACAAACAAACAGGACAGTATCCGACCACAAACAGTGTCAACATGGTTAGTATGGTATTGGAAACACCTCACATATTACTTACTTGCGGCCAAAAAAACTGAAGAAGTCACCACGAGTCCGTATATCCGTCCAGGAAGACGACAGTACTTTTTTCCTATTGAACCAGTTTGTTGCCTCGGTGTCTTTGCCGTCGAATATTATAAATGCTACCGGTACGCTTCCTTTATATAGCTCTAGTTTCACCTTAGCAAAAATAAAACACTTCGCATACACAGGCGGCTTTGTCATTTTCAATAGATAGATATTAGCCTTATTACATATTTAAACAATCATAATGTTATTAGCAAATTGCAGTAAATCATTGGGTTAGGGTGGCATTTTGATTCGGTAGATAAAACATGGTATCATATCAAGTATCCTTATTAGTGAGTCTTCCAGGAAGTGGATAGATAAGCTTATGACATACCTATAAGTTCTGGCTACCCCGTGTTTACTTATACATTATTACTTTATTGTTCATATATTTTTTCCTGCATTACGCAAACAACGAACATTTGTTTCTTAGGATCCAGTATCAACATTGGACCATATCGTCAATATTACTTACTAGATTCTATCTGTCACACTGAGTAATACGTGTCATATCGAAGTCTTCCTATATTGCGATCCGAATACTTGTGCGTCTGTTATTGCTGTCTAAATGTTTTCTTCACTTTCTTCTGTCTTTACTTTTATTTGATGGAATATTTAAATTTGTCTTAAGAAAGAATGATAATAACCTTTAAAAGCTAAATTCAAAATGAGCGAGTTCTTTACTGTAGTAATAATGAAGATATCGTTTGTATAAAACATGAACAAAAGAAAGATTTGCACGGAGATTTCTGAAAAAGTACTAGGAAAGTAAGACCAAGTGTTCTAGAAGATTAAGTGTCTCCTGCTTTATCGGCGACACGCAGCATGTAAACCGCGGTCAATTCAAGTAAGTAATGTCACGTACTCAAATGAGGACAAGGTACACAACAACGGAATCAACAGGCAATTTAACGAGCATTAAACAAGTCCATCTCATATCACACAAAGAAATATAATATTTCTCAATGAGATAACTATGGCGACCATAAAACTTCCCCAAAAATTTTTCATCAACCTGCATCTTTTCAAACACTATGTTACAAGTTTGTACGTCAGATGTACGAAAATCGTGATAATGCGAACAGTCAATTGAATATCGACTCAACTGTGGCATGCAGGTACCATAGGTTGGAGATGCAATGATATTGCTATCCAGAAATAGAAAGTCTACAAATCATCATGTTTATCATATAGCTTAGTGGAAATCTGTCAAGGTAAGCAGCTGATGTAGAAGTCATAATTTCCAACTCTGGTGGATATATACGATGGACGTGGTCAATAAAATTCTTGTTATTTAAAGGCAAGAGGTCAATATATCTAAAAGTGAAATTAAACGACTTTCAAAGGTCTTTGTGGCCTGATTTGGTAAGCACTTTAATAGATTCAGTCTCGTATGAAAACAATAACAAGTCAGCCAGCAGAGTGGCGCAGTTAATTTCCATATGTGTACGAACAGTCTGTTACCACCAAACTCGACAAAGAAGTCATTTTTATGATATCGTCCTGCATGTATTTCTTCTTTGATTTGAATTTGATTTTTTTTTACGAAATACGCTTCAGTATAGTTCACAGTCATATAATACAATTTGTACCGCCGTTAAATTTTCTTGAAGAGGAGAGCTCTCATAACAAGTGTAAGAACAAGAAAGTAAGTCACCTTACGGTAAGGTATTTATTTTCAAAGTTGATGTTTCGTTCATTTACATCACAGCCAAATTTGCTACCTTATACAATCTAATGATATTGAAGTTTGTGATAGGTTGATAACTCTAACTGATTTCGACATTATTATTTCCAAAGTGAATCTGTTCAAGACTGTGCAATGAATCATTTAGAGGGTTTACTTATACGTATGTTAACAGCACTATTGTGAAAGTAGTTTGGTTTCGACAGGACAAGTTATTTATCAGAGTGAGGTTTTTAGGTAGGTATTTTCGTAGAAGTGATATATAAAGGAGCGGCAGGGAATATCTGCTTCTTTCCGCCGACTTCTGGTACTTACCCTCTGAACACCGAGTGACCTCCATTTGTCTATGGCGGAGTGACGGTAGTTACCATTGCACTTCGATGAGGCACTAGTTGACAAACATCCAGGAAGAGCGTTGAATTCATTGGTGCCAAAGGGATGAACGAACGAGAAAGCCACTTCACGTTCATTCTCTGCTTGAGCCCTATAGACCATAAACCAATCTCCCACTCGTTTCTCCTCTTTGTCAGGCGGGGGTGGCTGAGTTACTAGGATAAAACATTTTGTTTCAGAATATTTCATCTGACACTTTTAAAAATGAATAATGATAGATAATAGAAAAATTGTATAATTTAATAAGTACATCTGCTAGCTAACAAATATACATTAATTCACAATAACAGACCTCGTGTAGTTACTAGTCCTAGTTTGCGTACTTACCATGTTATGCTAAAGAAGTATAATATTTAACTCTAAAAGCATCAATTAATCATTAAAAATGCTGTTTAAGCAAAAGAGTTTATTAACTCTACACGCGTTTTGATTAGCTGAAACGGTGAAAAATTCTTTGACCGGGAATTTTTCGTGCTCGTCGACGTCTTCACGCCGAACGCTAACACAGGTCGTAATGACTGACAGCCTGACACGTTTGAATTCATTTCCATTTCTTTTTCTGATTATGGTGACACATTTGATGTAAACATCCACAACACTAAAACACTACGCCTCCCGAATCCAAAAAACGTCCAAGAGATATTTACTATGGCGACTATGACTGACGTGTGAACTGTGAATGAATGGACAATTTGGCGGGAAGGATGCTTCACACACTAGCAGAAATAACACGTTAACAAATTGTTCATGATTGTGTAATTTCTAATTTTCACAAAAGTGTAAAGAAAGAACTTGTAATTGGTGACACATTATAATACTTTCACATTTTCTGAATTTTTATTTTTTTAATGGTAACTTCATTTCACAAATCATATCATCACGCCCCAATTAAAATTGTAAACAAAATGAATGTGGGTACAGAACAGTTTGATTTCCTCCTCTTTTTTATTGAACTTTTGAAAACTTACTTGAATGTTGTGTAATTATATAATGTTAGTAGTTTAATCATGGAATTAAATGTGTATTATAAAACGGAGGAGTATTTATCACAACTATCCTGTCGGCAGTGTGATAACACTCGTTAAGTAGAATTTTGTTTACGCATGTGTAGTTTGACCTTGCAGGCCTATGATTGGCTAAATTTTTCAATCGTTTTCTTTGGGAGATCAAAGTTTCACGGCGTCAAACTTCGCCACAGACTCAGTAACTGAAACATTTAAAGAATAGTTTATAAATTTCATATGAATAAAGTGTCATGTAAGGTCCTTTTATATACTACAAGTGTGCAGGGTGAAAGGGGCAACACTAACTACACATTGGTGCAATATACTGGACGAGTACTTGTCATCAATACATTTGTATGACTGCTTTGTATATTTTCAAATTAATAGTCATGGCATTTTAAATGGGAATCTCAGAGAACATCTAAAATTATTAGAGTAAAGTGACTTCCCGAACCTCAGGAATACAGTAACGACATAGTGGCCTGTGATCTCAGATTCTAACGAAAGATCATCACTCGAACACACAGGAATACAGTAAGGACAGAGTGGTCTGTGATCTCAGATTCCAATGAAAGATTAATCACCAGAACACACAGGAATACAGTAAGGACAGAGTGGTCTGTGATCTCAGATTCCAATGAAAGATTAATCACCAGAACACACAGGAATACAGTAAGGACATAGTGGCCTGTGATCTCAGATTCCAATGAAAGATTAATCACCAGAACACACAGGAATACAGTAAGGACAAAATGGCTTATGACTTCAGATCCCAATGAAAGATTAATCACCAGAACACACAGGAATACAGTAAGGACAAAATGGCCTGTGATCTCAGATTCCAATGAAAGATTAATCACCAGAACACACAGGAATACAGTAAGGACAAAATGGCCTGTGATCTCAGATTCCAATGAAAGATTAATAACCAGAACACACAGGAATACAGTAAGGACAAAGTGGTCTGTGATTTCAGATTCCAATGAAAGATTAATCACTAGAACAGGGATTTTCGAACCAAATATTTCAGGTCTTCACCTGAATATACAAAGACTGCCGCTGCACTGACTGACCAACAAACGTCAGCAAACCAACAGAACTGTACTAGACATAATAATTTGATTTCACACCACACGAAAACACATCTAAAAATCTAAAACTACATATTATAGAATATATGTTTAAATTACTAGGTTTTTATACAGTGCTGCTAAACGTACCACTTGAGCATTCATGACTCACTACTCTTGAAAGGAAAACTTTCATATGCACATATTGGCATTTTGGGTGATATTTCCTCATGTATTATCTTCATGACGTCATAGTTTTAATCAAGGAGACAGTGATGTGGCTATTCTGTCAACTGACCTCACTTTCAGTAAAGATTGTTTTCCCACGGATTAAAAAAAATGAAAAATCTGTTGGCTTGACTAAATTTGACAGTTTTGCCAACAGACGTATAATATCGCAGTTGTATTGTATGTTTGTCTGTCATGTACAGTGTTTTTATACCTAATATAAATGTCAAATAAAAGAGATGGAATTGACCTTCGGCACAGCCATGTTCCGCTGTGAGCTCTGTTGGAATTACGACATATGCTACAGGCGCTTGCACACAGTTCAATAAGTCCTACAGTATCAAAATGGTACATGTTTCTACAGAGATATAAAGAGAAAGCTCTTTTGAAACCATAAGAGACACATTCCACTTTGAACTCTATATATTTGACAGGTTAACCTGAAGAACATAGACTTATGTTGAGAAATTCTTTAACATAATTACATTTACTTAAACTTGTGTCACATGGCGATACAAAGAACTGCGGAAATTGACATTCTTTAACAATTGTAATAGTCTGGACGTATTAATTGTCATCATTTCATTTAATTATAGTAATTGCATAATTAAGGCTGAAATATTTTCATAATGATCATCATATACTATTCCCGGTATATCACAAAGCTAAATATTGATGTAAAAGTAACATAATCTTTGTAATTATTATATACGCATCTGATTCTAATGAGGAATAAAAGATGATGATGATGATGACGACGACGATGATGATGATGATGATGATGATGATGATGATGATGATGATGATTCGGCTGGCCTACGCTTATCCTCAAAACTTCGAAACCTACTTTTGCAGTGAATGTGAATACCATTGTTCAACCCAATTCTGTGCAATTAAATTCTTTAAAATTCAACTCCTTCAGTTTGCCATTGTTTCATAAAGCAGTGGTATTCTTGTCTGCCAAGATTTGGGTTCCTTATATGGACATTAAATGTCATTTATTACATTTTCCCCCGTATAATATAGAGAAATATCTCATTGGTAAAGGCATTATTTTTTCACTAGTAAAAATTAACACTTTTGTAGACTTACGCCAGTGAAAAGAGAGAACACAAATCATCTGATAAACTGACCAATCATAAATACCAGAACAAAAAAACACAAAACCAGACATCTGAAGGGGTTGTTTACTAGTGACACGACCTTCGCATCCTTGTTCAGTTCCAGGAAAGTCAGAAACATTTCAATGCAAATTACCTTATCAGAGATCAAATCCAATCCCAAATCAAACGTCTTGAATGTGGAACTAACACATTAGCATTTCAAGGAGATTCGTGTCATCGCAACAACTTTTTTTGCCGCCATATTTTCAGCCGTATAGAAACTTGTTACAGGTAAAATTGTCTTTGAACGTTTGACAGCCAATTCTGTCTTCTCGTACTACGAAGTTAAAATGAGCGAGTAGTGTCCGCGGAAAGCCCAATCAGCTTCCTTGTTTTTTTTTTCATTGATTCTAATCATGCCAGTGTGTCTAATATGGTTTGTATCTTTTGCTAGTGACTGCGCACTTGTGAAAGATACTTAAACATTTGACACACTTGTGAAACATAATTGTTATAACTGAAGACAATATTAGTGTGTCTAATATGGTTTGTATCTTTTGCTAGTGACTGCGCACTTGTGAAAGATACTTAAACATTTGACACACTTGTGAAACATAATTGTTATAACTGAAGACAATATTAGTGTGTCTAATATGGTTTGTATCTTTTGCTAGTGACTGCGCACTTGTAAAAGATACTTAAACATTTGACACACTTGTGAAACATAATTGTTATAACTGAAGACAATATTAGTGTGTCTAATACGGTTTGTATCTTTTGCTAGTGACTGCGCACTTGTAAAAGATACTTAAACATTTGACACACTTGTGAAACATAATTGTTATAACTGAAGACAATATTAGTGTGTCTAATATGGTTTGTATCTTTTGCTAGTGACTGCGCACTTGTAAAAGATACTTAAACATTTGACACACTTGTGAAACATAATTGTTATAACTGAAGACAATATTAGTGTGTCTAATATGGTTTGTATCTTTTGCTAGTGACTGCGCACTTGTGAAAGATACTTAAACATTTGACACACTTGTGAAACATAATTTTTATAACTGAAGACAATATTAGATATCCTCTATATACCTGGCTGAAGAATCCACTAGAGTAATATGTCAAATGCTTTCTTTGACGCCCAATACACAATACCGAGAAAACCGCCTGTTATAGACAACGATTCGTATTAGGTGTATCACAGAAATACCAGAACCGACGCTGATATTTGTCAGGGGGAAACCATTTTTTTAACCACTTAACGAAATTTACGCTTGTTGTCAAGTTTCAAAATATCTCCTTGGTGTTGTTTTGGAACTGAAAAAGAGTGTTTACATATCTTTATACTAGAAGCGACTGTCAATAAAAGCCAATAGTTTGTGACTGATGTTTGATGTTGCCTGCCGGAACTAAATTCCTTCTGTTGGTATCAAAAGAAACCCTCCTTGTTCAATAACTAAATATACTGGTTTAATAGCTAGGATAATAACACACTACAAATGCCGTCATGGACAACAATTGTCAAACAGAATACTTACTTGCTGGTTTCGGAGCTAAACCTATGGTACCACGAAGCGCTACCGAGGAACATCACCGAAAATAGAAACATGAAATATCACTTAATTACACTGCTTAAAATATAAAATTAATTAATCTTAGCATGATTGATAAATTTAAAGTGTATTATAATTTAAATATTTTCAACATAAACGTGATATTTAATCATTGCAACGATGTAATAAAACTATTGTTATGTTACTATAACGCCTTATTTCGTTCCTGTAATATATTTGTTATAAAACATTGTTCTCGTACAATAACACCATAAATACCGTTTTAATAAAATTTATCATTGTCTTATATAAACCCTGAAGAATTGTAAAGATATGATAATCAAAATTCATTACTTTATCTACAACAACACAAAATCATTTTAATGATATGATAATATACTGTAGCTTGGAAATGTGTCAGCGTGATGTATGACTGTACTGTGTTGGTGGTGAATATATTGACTAAGAGAAGTATTATGCGATTAATCTGGTAAATGTTGGTCAAACCAAATGATATATCATCGCCACCATTCTCACGGTCACAAACACGTGACAGAGAAGTACCTCTCACGTTTTGATACAAACAAGAAACAAAATTTGCGTATCTTAATACGCCCCTATAAATATGTATATTGAAACACGTTTTAACAAATATTGAATATACTTACTCTTAATTTACATGTGAAATGTTTTTGTTTGAATCTTGTGATTTCTAATAAGATTACATATTGTTGCGCATATTGAAACATTTCAAATTTCCTAAAAAACAAAAGAAAAATTATAATTAACGTGATATAAATTATTTAATGTATTTGATGTGTTATTGTACAATGGACGTAGTGTTTGTTTGCTTGTTTATATGAATATAAATAAGTTATAAATGTTTCGTATAACGGTGAATATTTCAAATGATTTGATACAATGACCCATTGTACAATTTGTTTAATAATGAACGAAATTTCCCTGTTCTATTAAAATATAGGTTGTCGTTATGTACCATGAACATTTATAATGTAGGTTGTCGTTATGTACTGTGTACTTTTATAATGTAGGTTGTCGTTATGTACTGTGTGCTTTTGTAATGTAGGTTGTCGTCATATACTGTGTACATTTATAATGTAGGTAACCTTTATGTACCGTGTACTTTTATAATGTAGGTAACCTTTATGTACCGTGTACTTTTATAGTGTAGGTAACCTTTATGTACCGTGTACTTTTATAATGTAGGTTGTCTTATGTACCGTGTACTTTTATAATGTAGGTAACCTTCATGTACCGTGTACTTTTATAATGTAGGTTGTCGTTATGTACCATTTACTTTTATAATGTAGGTTGTCGTTATGTACTGTGTACTTTTATAATGTAGGTAACCTTTATGTACCATGTACTTTTATAATGTAGGTTGTCGTTATGTACTGTGTACTTTTATAATGTAGGTAACCTTTATGTACTGTGTACTTGTATAATGTAGGTTATCGATATTTACTGTTACATATGGTCCAGGTAATGGGATATGTACATGGTGTATGTATTTATATGTACCTGATAAATACTTTAAGAAGAAGAAACAATAAGAATGACATCGAGTCGGTATAAAGAATTTTAATTCAGAACGAAAAGCGAAATTAACGCTGACTTGAAAATAAAGTATGGCGGTGTTGAAACTGACGTTTCCTGTACTTTACAGCAACGTAACCATTTTGTTTTACATAAACCAATGAAAATTTAGCAGAACATATATCATAAATTTAGCGGGTCATGTGAATCATTATATTATAGCTTTCCAGTTGAAACCACTCTCTTTTTATGTTCAATTTCTTCTCACATTGATACGATTCCATTATGTCAACAACATAATGTATGTAAATGTGTAGTCCTCAGAAGCGTTTTAATTTTTCCTTGATATAACTTGATAGGAACCACCTGTCAGACTATGGTATCAGATGTTATAGTAATTTCTCTACAGTGTGTCAGTTTAAGGTTTTAATCCTATGCACTTTCATATATATTTCGGAGGAAGGGAAAACCAAATTATACAGGTACAGAATCAACACAAACTTAACCAACAACAATGAACCACTATGTTGTAACACAAGGATAAAATACACGAATCTGTCAACACGATAGGCTACCAGTGTTAACACCTCAGTATCAATACAAAGGCTTAATATTACGGAATAAGTATAATTGCAACTTTAAAACCTTTTTATTTTATGTTTTACACGCATTAATCTGTAAATTATACACTTTAATCTGTGAATTTGCACATTAATATGTAATTTTTACACTTTAATCTGTGAATTTGCACATTAATCTGTAAAATTATACTTTAATCTGAATTTACAGATTCAAGTATAAATTTGTATACATTTTACAGAATGAAGTGAAAAATTTACAGATCAAAATCAACACTACGACAAAATATATGTTAACATATCTGCTAAAACATACCAGTATTAATACAACGGCTAAATATACCACAGTGTCAACACAACGGCTAAATATACCACAGTGTCAACACAACGGTTAAATATACCACAGTGTCAACACAACGGCTAAATATACCAGTGTCAACACAACGGCTAAATATACTACAGTGTCAACACAACGGCTAGACATACCACTGTGTCAACACAACGGCTAAATATACCACAGTGTCAACACAACGGCTAGACATACCACAGTGTCAACACAACGGCTAAACATACCACAGTGTCAACACAACGGCTAAACATACCACAGTGTCAACACAACGGCTAAACATACCACAGTGTCAACACAACGGCTAAATATACCACAGTGTCAACACAACGGCTAAATATACCAGTGTCAACACAAAAACAAAAAACAACAGAAAAGGAACCTATAAAACGTGTAGTAACGGAGGAAACTTGAAATATACAATAACAGAACATCTATATAGAAATAGCAATAGCTATAGAGATGTAAGGTCGAATTTAAAGCAGCAAATTTCGCAATGTTTCACCTTGTTGAACACAAAATGCCTATAAACTATTGTTTTCTGTCAATATGATACATTAAATATGTCAGATCGCCACCGGTAACTAATTTCGATGGGTCACGAATTTGCAAAGAAAATGAATACATAAATAAATAAAGTGAATCAAAGAGACAGCTAAATTGTCCTTTAACATGTATTGGTTATTCCAGGCACGTCAATCAAAGTTTATCGAATTCATACATTCGGTGATCCTTATTACCAAAATATTAGAATATAGACATTTTATTAAGTAATGGACCTCTGTCACCGACAATGGTCTCACCAGTACATGATGAATAAATTATATGAGCTCTGAGTACAAGAGAGTATATAATGATGGTTGTTAGGGGTGAAGATATAGAAGTATGCGCCATCTGTTTAGAGAGGTCATCCATATACCTTAACTAGCATGCATAATAGTTAAACAGACTAAATGGCTTGCAATCACTTCGTGCTCCGCATGCAATCCTTAGATAATATGACTTGAATGCAAGCATATATACAAGGTGTTGTGTATAGGTGTAGGACAGGACAGTTTATTTACATATGTTCCACACAGCATGCCAACTCATTAATAATTATACACTGCTCATAATGTTAATACCATACAGTGAATAATACGGAAATAAGGGAGCGTAATTACTGATGCCTCAGTCTCAGATATTACGTTTTCTGTGACTATAAATGTTGCAATAAGATTTGATATTTTGTTTTCATGTCATTTTGCAATGTTATAATGAAACTTGTTTTCGTTTTTGAAAAACATACAATTTATAACTATGCAGGCATAGTTCGAGTGCTGATTTGAATGTTGCTACCTCTTTTGGTGTATGATGACACCATGGTCGTAATTCATATGTATAATATCGCATTTGTCATCACGTTGGTATGTGATGCCAAGCACTGTTTTTGATGTCGGCTGTCCCTGTGTTCTTTGAAGATTTTGGTTCGTCGTAAGGGTGCAAGACACAAATGAGTCCGCAATTAGGGCGTGTGAATTCACTGTGTTCGTTATTTAGGTGTTTGAAATAATCATTTTGTAGTGCAGGTGAATAGTGACGATTCATAAATTGGTATTGCGTCTTTAATTCAACTGTCACGCGATTTAACAGCGAGCGCAGTGGCCGGGTTTCGACTATCAAATATTCTTATCAATTTATCTAAAAAATGGGAAAAAATCGTCCCGCTTTATGGTTGAACATTGTTAGACATATTACATGTATGTTTGCTGAGAAATAGCAAGGTTTTATCTTTAACTGCTGATAATACAGATAAAACAGACAGGCCAATCAAAAATGTCCAACAACTTTACTTTTCATCTCCGATAGAAACGGTGCGGAAATGTTACAGAATCAATCATTGTTGACAGAAAGCCTCTTCTCGTCAAAACAAAAACTGCGTCACGTTGTTGGGGTGCAGCATGCAACCTTAACATAACGTTTCCTGGTATACCATCAAGTCATCAGTAATACCATGGTCTTTTGATGGAATTAAGGTTGCTTTTACAACAGGTTACATGGAACAATTTAAAGACGTTCAAAAAACCTTGTGTATTTTTTTTTACCGAGGCAAGTCTTAGAGTTGTACAGCTATGTACTCGTTTTACAAATTTGATTCTGAATTACAATTCTATATTACGATGGTATTGCTCTTGTAATTTTCGTTCGGGCACTCGTTTGGATATCAGTTTGCTTGCATTCTAGCCTACATCAACGTATATATACAGATACAGCTCCTAGAATGAATATCAAGAACTTCAATAGAAATGAAAGGATAAGGTCGGCTATACAGCTACGAGCAACAGACAATCACGTTGACCGACATCGAGTGTTCATTCCAATTAAATACAAGGTAATGTACTTTCCTATGTCAAACTCACTTGACTGGTTTGAATAGCTGTCATTTGATAACAATTTATGCTAGAGACGAGATTAAATTTTATACAAATGATGCCAGACCTAAAAAAGTCAAAGCTGCATTAAAAACAGGATTTTACTTGGCGAACTTGATAAAGCCCTAGAATTTGATTGATTAAAATGACAAAGACAAGGCTGTCAATCCTTATCAGTTTAAAGCAAAATTACGAAAACAAGTCAATGACAAAGGCTGATCGCCCTGATGTTGTTTAACGTGTATACTCAGGGGTCAAGGTTATCAAATATACTAAATATGTATCACCCTTATAGTTGTTCGTAGACGTCTAAATGTTAGGGCTATCAAGTATACTGCCAAAGTTATAGTAACCTTACCATTATCACCCTTACGGCAGCATAGATATTATATCGTGTAGCCGTTAAGGAATGGTCTTTCCAAGATGGCGGACGTAGACGGCCATAAAATGTAGGTGCTCACTTTAAGCTAAACAATTACTGGTTTATGGATACCATCTAACCGGGACAAGTACCACGCGACACTAAGAAATACTCGATGGTTGTGTTGCACAATCGGTGTAGTACTGATTTGGTCATACATAATTGTGAGCCCTTCGAGCGAACTGTTAAATTCGGCATCGAGGCGGGATTTGCTCTGAGATTTTGCTAATGTCGAAATACTTTAACAGCCTAAGGTTTATTTTCATTGCCTCAAAGATACTCTGCTTTATGTGATATATTATTTACGCTCATCACATAATATTAACAAAAACGAAGGAAGACAATCCTGTTAAACACAGGTCCACAGAAATATACAGCAACTTTGACTGAAAAAATTACCGACAGATCCATTTCGGTTATGGATTGGTCCAATAAATGACTGTTATGTGTTTAGTACACTTTGGCTTCAAATCGTTTGGTCGGGATTTTTCATCGTCAAACTATGACAACATGATTATCAAGATTTGTTAGGCGAGTTTTTATTTTGTTTAATCTTAGGGAACAAAAATATGTTATTAACAAGAACTAGCCAATTTTAATGAAAGGCAAACGAAATTAAACAAAATTATGCATTTGATTCAATGTTACGAGTTGTTATCAATTAACATACCTGTACATGTATATGAGATAACATGATATAGACGAATATATAAAGCCCCTTTCGACAGAAAGTCATTGCGTTTGATTGCAAACTTGGTTGAAAAAAAATTATGAACACAGACAAGAGCAAAACCATATGAACGCCTGTAAGGTAGGACATTAGCCAGAGTACCAGTTCAATGTTAGTTCCACCATACCGCGCATCGCGAGTCATTTTTCCATTTGACAGCGTCGTGAGATTGGTACAACATTGTACCATTTACAATTAATAGACGAGTTTCATGATGTCGCTTAAGTACCCTGCGACAGAAGGATTCTTCGACAATTATGCGCAGGATGTTAAAACTTTCCTTACGGCTTGAAATGTGGAAGTATGCGATATTGACTAACAGAGTACAGTATACGGAAATTAAGTGTTGTTGCTTTTAAAGACGTATGGCTATAGCACCAAGTCCGAAAGAAAACAGGAGTTTGCTGGTTGTTTAATGCATATACATCTGAAGTCCCGTTTCTTTGATGAACCAAAAAGTCAAAACTTCCATAATCACTAACCGATTTCACAATTCTATCCAGCAATTAACATTACTATTATGATATCCTTCACGCATATGATTCAGCGCATTGATACGATTTCGTATTCTACAACTACATATTAAAATAATTTGTCTCGTTTGTCGGTGGAAACACAAATGCAAGTTTCGACAAGAATACTACATGATGAGACCATGCTTTCGGAAGGGAAGCTGGCCGATGAGTTGCGGAAGCTATGCGAGTATACTGTAAATTTCTTTGATACACAGTTGTTTCATCATCTGTCAATGACAGTTTTTAAATTCCAAAATAAAAAGAGAATGTACACAATTCAAAAAATAGAAATATGGAACCTCTCATAGTGATCTGGAACCTTAATAGGTAAAATAGCAGAAGATTTGGATTTGTGATGTGGGCTGATACTTTATATGATTGTTTTTAATGTGACGTTAGTCGGATATTTTATTTTCACACGCTGAAGCCATAACGAGGCTTTGTTTCTTTATGATAACTGTGTAACAGGGAATAAGGTACTAGTAGCTGACGTACATTTCGTCTAAAGCGGAAACTTTGGAACTCCGGGAAAAGCGCTTAATTTGTACTTTTCAAATGTGAATTTCACTGCCAATGTCGATATCTGACTTCGGGATCAGAGATATTTTTACTTTTATTTTTATGTACATTTTTTTCCAATTATGGCTTAGATCAGAAAAACACGATGCATTTGAGTTAAATGTACACCCCTCCCAAACGATTTGAAACCAATATAAGTGTACCGAAAAAACAACAAGAAAATACCAGCATGTCAACATAATCATAATAATTCAATGAAAGTAGGGCAAAAACAAAATATGAACAAAAGGATGTTTAAATAGAATAAGACCAGGTGTTTCGGAAGAGTAAGCGTCTTATGCTTCATCGACGATACCTGCCATGTAAACTTTGCTCAATTCCAGTATGTAATGTCACCTTTCCAAATAAATACAAAGTATACAGCAACGGAACCAACAGACAAATAGCGAGTGTCACACACGTCGAGCTTCATATCGCACAGAGAAATAGAATATTTATCAATTAGATCACTATAACGACATAAAACTTCACCGTAATTTTCATAAATTGCGTTTTGGAAACCCTATGTGATGAGTTCGTCCATCAGTTGGCGACTTCTTCCATGAAAATCGTTATAATCGGAAAAGGCCCTTGAATAATGAATATCGAACGTGTTAACACATAGGTTGGGGATGTAGTGGTGTTACTATCCAGAAATGGATAATTCACAGTAAGGAAGTTATAACATCTATTTTAATAAGATACTTCTAGTTCACTCTTAATCCCATTACAGTCATGTATTTGACCAATCCGTAACTTTTTTCTGCCAAGCTTGCTATATATTTCTGAGGACCAGTCCGTATCTTAAACAGAATTGTTTTCATTCGTTTTAGTGAGTATTATAGGGCGAAGAACATAAACAAAACATCACTTAACAGCAGATGTTATTGGCTACCTGACGATAAAAATAAACCTTAGACTAATTAGATATTTCGAAATGAGCAAAATCTCACATCAAATCCTACCTCGATGTCAAATTCAACAGATCGCTAGATTTTATTATTTATGACAAAAGCACAGCCATACAAATAGTGAAATATAAATTACGAATATTTATGAGTCTCGCGTTGTACTTGTCCCCGTCAGCTTGTATCCATCAACCAGTGAATTATATTTGGCTTGAAGTGAGCGTCTATATTTTGTTGCTGTCTACGTTCGCAATCTTGAAAAGACCATTCCTTAATGGCTACACGACAGTGTGCATCCCTTATGTCACTTACAGCATCATCCCTACTATCACCCTTACAGCATCATCCGTACTATCACTTTTACTGCATCATCCCTACTATCACCCTTACAGCATCGTCCCTACTATCATCCTTGCAACATCATCCCTACTACCACCCTTACAGCATCATCCCTACTATCAACCTTACAGCAGCATCCCTACTGTCACCCTTACAGCATCATCCCTACTACCACCCCTACAGCATCATCCCTACTATCACCCTTGCAACACCATCCCTACTATCACCCTTACAACATCATCCTCACTACCACCCCTACAGCATCATCCCTACTATCACCCTTACAACATCATCCCTACTATCACCCTTACAGCATCGTCTCTACTATCACCCTTACAGCATCATCCCTACTATCACCCTTACAGCATCATCCCTACTACCACCCCTACAGCATCATCCCTACTATCACCCTTACAGCATCATCCCTACTACCACCCCTATAGCATCATCCCTACTATCACCCATGCAACACCATCCCTTATATCACCCTTACAACCATTTCCTATAAAATATCACATATTCAGTGTAAAACCATTTCCTGTAAAACATCACACATTCAGTGTAAAACCATTTCCTATAAAACATCACACATTCAGTGTAAAACCATTTCCTATAAAACATCACACATTCAGTGTAAAACCATTTCCTGTAAAACATCACACATTCAGTGTAAAACCATTTCCTATAAAACAACACACATTCAGTGTAAAACCATTTCCTATAAAACATCACACATTCAGTGTAAAAGCATTTCCTATAAAACAACACACATTTAGTGTAAAAGCATTTCCTATAAAACAACACACATTTAGTGTAAAAGCATTTCCTATAAAACAACACACATTTAGTGTATAACTATTATTCATTTAATAATACACATTGCAGCTGTTTATGCTGAGCAGAATTTTCTTTTTAAAATTATATCAAATGATATTAATCATGTTTGCTGCTCGCATACAATAAACCGATGTATACTGTTTGTATCGCATGACTGACGGAAATAACAGATTTTATTTTTGATGTTTTAATTGATATGATAAATAATCGCTTGTTTATAGGCATTATACTCCTATTAACGTTATGTAGATAAATTTACTTATAAACAACCACACGAAAGAGTTGGGATTTTTGTTATATTAATTTAAAATGCATACTAATTGATTCAGAAAAAAATATCAATTCAGATTTCTTTCAGTTCTTTTTCACTCAAACTTTAAACGATTTACATAAACTCCGTTTCACGTGTAATTCACCCGCCTGCCCACTTGTTCAATCGCACGGAGGCGGTATGACGCCCATTAGCAATTTAGAATATGGTGTTTTCAACAGCAGAATGATACGAGCCATATTGCAGTGAGCAAGGTCACCAGACTGAGATAAATACGATAGGGGGAGGAGAGACAATCCTACTGTAAGCGACGTACACAACACGGATCTACCACTACTAATGCGTATATTCTGTCACGTTGAGACATTGAAATGCCTCGTGCAGCTTACCTGGCGTCACTGGTTGTGTCACCGAATCCCCTGGCGGCCCCGGTTGAAAATTCTTCATGTTGTCAAAGACAGACCCTTTTATGGGTTATAACACAAAGAGTAATTAACGTTGATAATCTCGTAATGTTCACAAATATTTACTACTTAGGACAGAGTCATACAGAGATTAATGGAGCTGGTGTCACTCTGTCCAAAGGTTAGGATATACACTTGAACATCTCAAGTTTGCCTGTATATGTTGATTATATTAAAGCTATATACTGTCAGGAATGCTTCTTTTTTACGATCTAATCAAGACAATACATTACGTATCACTGAGGGTAACTTACCAGGTGCTGGAGGTGTCGCTGACTCCATCGGTAGATAACTCTTCATAGTAAACACAGACCCTTTATAGACAATAGTAGAATGTACATATCGAATTAAAGAGTGGAATTTTTACTCGTTCTCAACTTAAGCGCAACCGACATTGGAATCCGCTTTTATTTTCGAGAATATGTAATGTTATGTATTCCTCAAACGCGTCTATAACGGTACGCTATACAGGTGGGAATGGAGCAGAAGGGCCGGTTGATATTAATCAATCTCATATCTTATTCCTGATATCATAATTTCACTGTTTATATGTAATACAGGCACTGCCAATTTTGCACGAATGCTAATCCTACAGTTATTATTATATTCGTATTACATATTTAGATATTATAAATGTATTATACCAACTTATTTCTATAATACCAAGTTATCAAGCCTTATAGGTTATATATACATATTCTAACTAACTGGAGTTATAGATATGTGCACCTACTTATAATCTACATGGACATAAAACCATTGGTATCACAGAAATGTAAATCAGTCTACACATGACATTGATAGGACTGACTGGTGTTATACCATGGTACATCAGTCTACACATGACATTGATAGGACTGACTGGTGTTATACCATGGTACATCAGTCTACACATGACATTGATAGGACTGACTGACGTTATACCATGGTACATCAGTCTACACATGACATTGATAGGACTGACTGGTGTTATACCATGGTACATCAGTCTACACATGACATTGATAGGACTGACTGACGTTATACCATGGTACATCAGTCTACACATGACATTGATAGGACTGACTGGTGTTATACCATGGTATATCAGTCTACACATGACATTGATAGGACTGACTGGTGTTATACCATGGTACATCAGTCTACACATGACATAGATAGGTCTGACTGGTGTTATACCATGGTACATCAGTCTACACATGACATTGATAGGACTGACTGACGTTATACCATGGTACATCAGTCTACACATGACATTGATAGGACTGACTGGTGTTATACCATGGTACATCAGTCTACACATGACATTGATAGGACTGACTGACATTATACCATGGTACATCAGTCTACACATGACATTGATAGGACTGACTGGTGTTATACCATGGTACATCAGTCGACACATGACATTGATAGGACTGACTGGTGTTATACCATGGTACATCAGTCTACACATGACATTGATAGGACTGACTGGTGTTGTACCATAGGACATTAGTCTACACATGACATTGATAGGACTGACTGGTGTTGTACCATAGGACATTAGTTTACACATGATATTGATAGGACTGACTGGTGTTATACCATAGGACATTAGTCTACACATGACATTGATAGGTCTGACTGACATTATACCATGGTACATCAGTCTACACATGACATTGATAGGACTGACTGGTGTTATACCATGGTACATCAGTCTACACATGACATTGATAGGACTGACTGACATTATACCATGGTACATCAGTCTACACATGACATTGATAGGACTGACTGGTGTTATACCATGGTACATCAGTCTACACATGACATTGATAGGTCTGACTGGTGTTATACCATGGTACATCAGTCTACACATGACATTGATAGGTCTGACTGACATTATACCATGGTACATCAGTCTACACATGACATTGATAGGTCTGACTGACATTATACCATGGTACATCAGTCTACACATGACATTGATAGGACTGACTGGTGTTGTACCATAGGACATTAGTCTACACATGACATTGATAGGACTGACTGGTGTTGTACCATGGTACATCAGTCTACACATGACATTGATAGGACTGACTGGTGTTGTACCATGGTACATCAGTCTACACATGACATTGATAGGACTGACTGGTGTTGTACCATGGTACATCAGTCTACACATGACATTGATAGGACTGACTGGTGTTGTACCATGGTACATCAGTCTACACATGACATTGATAGGACTGACTGGTGTTGTACCATGGTACATCAGTCTACACATGACATTGATAGGACTGACTGGTGTTGTACCATGGTACATCAGTCTACACATGACATTGATAGGACTGACTGGTGTTGTACCATGGTACATCAGTCTACACATGACATTGATAGGACTGACTGGTGTTGTACCATGCTACATCAGTCTACACATGACATTGATAGGACTGACTGGTGTTGTACCATGGTACATCAGTCTACACATGACATTGATAGGACTGACTGGTGTTGTACCATGGTACATCAGTCTACACATGACATTGATAGGACTGACTGGTGTTGTACCATAGGACATTAGTCTACACATGACATTGATAGGACTGACTGGTGTTATACCATGGTACATCAGTCTACACATGACATTGATAGGACTGACTGGTGTTGTACCATAGGACATTAGTTTACATATGACATTGATAGGACTAACTGGTGTTATACCATGGTACGTCAGTCTACACATGACATTGATAGGACAGACTGGTGTTATACCATGGTACATCAGTCTACACATGACATTGATAGGACTGACTGACGTTATACCATGGTACATCAGTCTACACATGACATTGATAGGACTGACTGGTGTTGTACCATAGGACATTAGTTTACATATGACATTGATAGGACTGACCGTGTTATACCATGGTACATCAGTTTACACATGACATTGATAGGACTGACTGGTGTTGTACCACAGGACATTAGTTTACACATGACGTCGTGTTTGGTTTTATATTGCCTAATGCCTTAGCGAATTTTCAAGGCCACTGGTGAACAGTTTAACTAGGAACTGAGCTGAGGAAGACCGAATTCATGCAATAAATTAGTATGTGATTAGGGCGATAAACGTCCTCACATGGATATTACTGTTAATACTTCGAAACAAGCAAGACGTGGTAAAAAATAACGACATCTATTGTACCAATTACATGCTTATATACAAGATAATAAGTTATTTTTTCAACACATTTAAATGTATTTGTCAATGAGACGATATTGCTTATTCATTGTTATATTCTCTGACGAGGTTTCCGCATACTTGAACAGTTTCCAATAAAGTTACAAATAAACAAGTATTTTCCAATCGGTTTGCTAAAAAAGAAATACATTCAAATAAGTTTACCAAAAATGAGTAAACATTTTCAATGTATTTAACACTTATTTACATGCTACCAAATTGATTTTAGCACGAACATGCGCGTATAATTTACATAAAAGAACGAAACACGAAAAAAAAAATCCAAAAAAATGTGCTTTTTTTTCTTCGATTTCTTATATTTGGTTATAAGTTTAGCAATGCGTTAGTGTAAGATTAAAGTTCTGTACCTTGTTGCTGCCGTTTACCAATGTGATTCTGTATAAACCCTGTCAATAAATCACACAATGGGATACAGAAACACACACCATGTCTAGTATCGTGCAAAAATAAAGGTGCATACGTCAATACAAATACACAACAACACTACGTGTGGTAATAGAAGTTAGTAATTCAGGAAGTTCACGTTAAGTTAGGTCGGAATACAATCAAGATATATCTAATATGCTTTTTAATCTTGCAAAATAGGATATTTAAAAGTAGTACATTCAGTTTTTTTTTTATCACAAAAGAACAATATTTAGCGTGTTTTACAATTCTGTTTTCAAGAATATAATACAAAACGATAAAAAGTGCAATACAACAATTAGAGGTTATTCTATATTAAAAAAAATAAGGTCATGCAATAAAAAAATGTGTAAAAGTTTACCTGGTAAAATGGCTGCTGAAAGAGAAATCCATGAAGACAGTAAAAGGATAAAAGCATTCATGATTGTGAATACCTGGACCACCACGTCACCTGAGCAATCATACACGAAATGCTAGCGAGTATTAAGAAGCAGCATATATATTTATTCAGATTACTAGAATTAACATTACTTCTTTTTAAATTTTCATTAAAAATGTAATGGCCATCCATCACAACGTCATTGTGTCTGCTGGCATTTGACATGATAAGAATAGGATTGTATAATGAATACTTATAAGATCTTTCCTCTGTAAAGTTGATATAGCAAGAATGAAGATTTAGGCGTTCGACACATCGGTATTGTTAAAACGTGACACAAGCTAAAGCGCAAGAATACAAACAGCTATATAATTATAATACTGTGTTTGGTGCATTGACTGTTGATTACTGCGAGATGCAAATGTAGTAGAGTTCAGAATGGATGAAACTCCGCCATGAATAGTTCACCAATACCATGTAGGGGTGTAACCCTTCTGTCCTCTGGCTTTTTTCATATCCTGCACGCCACGTTTTCATTCGTCCGAATAGTGGCACGATTCAGAAAATACACAAGCACTTGACATTGTTCTTAAAGTGTTAGACATATGAAAATTATAGAATAAAGAGGCTAGCGCACCTTTCCTTATAGATTTTGAATTTTTTTTTTTCCAACCATTTTGGATTTTACTGACGATTCCTATAAGGACGAAACAACTGTATGGTGCCATTATGGCCACTGTTTTGCTCTACTGTATGTTCATGTAACTCTTAATTTGTATTAAAAAGAACTATTCACTTGTTTGTCTTTTGCACAATTTCAAGACATTGCTCACAATAATAGATTTGGTGTGTTTAAAACATGAATTTAATGTAACTAATTATTAAGAAACGTTTTTTTTAATTTTGAATTAATTCTAATTATGTCAAAATGTACATACAATTCCTTACCATCTCATTTTAATGTCCAATACTTTACGATTTATATCTACAACCATACACATAATGAGACATCACATGAGGAAATAGATACATATTTATGAGTTTTTATTTATGAGTTAAAATAAATTACATGTACAATATCCAAACGTAAGGTATATATTGAAACACACCAATAAAGACCACTTATGCATAGAACCTCTTGGTTTTCATTTGCGGTTCCAACCATTCGTTCCTGGAGTACTATACTGCCGTCCCATTCATTAGCTGGCTATACTCTTAGCTGTAAATGAAGGTTATTCAGTACGGAAACGTATTCCGGCCACGTTTTGTTTTATTTTATCTCGAAATTTCGCGATAGCAACTCGAAATTTTGAGTTAGTAACTCGAGTTAGCAATCCGAAACTTTTAGTTAGTCGAACCCGAAATTTCGAGATAACAACTCGAAATGTCGACTTACCAACTCAAAATTTCGAGTTGCTATCTCCAAATTTGGGGTTGATGTCTCAAAATTTCGGATTACTAACTCAAAATTTCGAGTTAAAATAAAACACAACGTGGCCGGAATACGCTTCCATAATTCAGTGATCATTCGATGATTTTTTTTTTCTGTATATAGTAAGCTATTCAAAAAGATCACATTCATGGTGGACATGGGAAATTAAGAAGATGAATTGGAGGTGTAAATAATGAAAAAAAAATGGAAAAAAAACATTAACTGAGTTAAAACACGTATTTTCAATCAGTACTACGGTTCTAAGAATGGATTTGAAAACAAAAAAAAATCAAAAAGGTTACACATCAAATAGCGTTGAAATCTCCCTTGTTCCATTCATGAAATAACTGTAATGTTTTTCGCTACTTTATATTAATACAGAATGAAAGGAGAAACCGACAGTTGTCTGCTTGCTATGCAGTTTATTACGATGACACGTACCTAACTATCTAATTTGAATTGCATTCAGTTACCTGGTAAATGGTATCATTGCTTACAATTTCATTTTTAATAAGGTTTTATGTAAACATCAATTTTGCAGGAAAGACACTTTGTCAGAGGTTGGTCATAACGTAGCTACATTTCGTTCATACTAACGAGGGAACAGGTTTAATTAATGGCTTGGAAAGTTAAAACATATTTTATTGTCAGATTGGAATGTTGAAAGCAATGGCCTGTAAAATAATGACACAGTTGACCAATCGGCAAGCTGAATTTTATACGAAATTGGAAAGTTTTTGATCGATTAGGAATTGTGTTGTTCATGTAAAGAGTCCAATATGACAGACATCCTTAGCAACAATTACAGGCGACAATGTTATAATGAACTTATTTTACCATAAACATAGAGAGCGCAAGCTGGTTACATGGTACCAGTCAAGATTGTATGTATTTTATTGTTAGGCAGATTACATTGTACCAATTAACATTGTATACTGGTTTTTTTCTGTACAAGCTGATTATATTGTACCAGTCAAGATTGATAAAGTTTTACTGTACATGCAACTTTTAAATTGTACAAGTCAAAATCGTATATAGTTTTTAATGTACAGTCTGATTTTATTGTACAAGTCCAATTTTCATATATTACATAGTTTTTACTATACAGACTGTTTATATTGAACCAGTCAAACTTTAGATTTAGTTTTTACTATACAGACTGTTTATATTGAACCAGTCAAACTTTAGATTTAGTTTTTACTATACAGACTGTTTATATTGAACCAGTCAAACTTTAGATTTAGTTTTTACTTTACAGACTGTTTATATTGAACCAGTCAAACTTTAGATTTAGTTTTTACTATACAGACTGTTTATATTGAACCAGTCAAACTTTAGATTTAACTTTTACTATACAGACTGTTTATATTGAACCAGTCAAACTTTAGATTTAGTTTTTACTTTACAAGATGATTTTATTTTACCAGTCAAAATCACAGTTTTACGGTACGGGTTGAAAGGTGTATTAACCAAAATCTTATATAGTTTTCATTGCACATACCATATAGGTAGTAAAGTTGGTGACGAGAGATTATTTTGTTGCTTATCCATCAGAGAACCTTACAGTAGACCAGGTATCAGATAATATCTTATTTTTTTACTTATTTATCCGAAAACCTTACAGTAGACCAGGAACAGATGATATCTTATTTTTGTGACTTATTTCTCCGAGAATTTTACAGTAGACCAGGAACAGATGATATCTTATTATCTGTGTTCAAAGAAATTCCATTCCACGAACCAGTAGAAATGTTCATGAATTATTGAATATTAATTTGGAATATGATTCTGTTGATATTTGTTTTTGTTATCTACATTGATATGATATATATGAGACAAGGATTGGACATCAGGCGGGGCCTGTTATAGTCCTCCCAAATACATTTTACGAATAACATATATTTAGTCACAAGACGAAAACAAATACGGTAACACAAGGGAGGAAACTGCTATACAACGGTCTATTTCGAGCAATTTTGAAGTCAAAACCTTGATTTTTTTCTATGATTTATAAAAAAACATGTTATCTTTATATAATATATTTATACACACGACAGACTTGTAAATAATTTGGTGTGGTAGAACTCCTTCATCCCAACAGACCTATTAGAGATAGAAAATTATTAAACTGATGTGTTTGTTATCACTACAGGATTTCAGTCTTTCGTCTTATAAGTAATTCTATAACAGTCCAGTACTGTACTTCAGGATTTCAGTATTTCGAGTTATAAGTAATTCTATAACAGTCCAGTGCTGTACTTCAGGATTTCAGTATTTCGAGTTATAAGTAACTCTATAACAGTCCAGTGCTGTACTTCAGGATTTCAGTATTTCGTGTTATAAGTAATTCTATAACAGTCCAGTGCTGTACTTCAGGATTTCAGTATTTCGTGTTATAAGTAATTCTATAACAGTCCAGTGCTGTACTTCAGGATTTCAGTATTTCGAGTTATAAGTAATTCTATAACAGTCCAGTGCTGTACTTCAGGATTTCAGTATTTCGAGTTATAAGTAATTCTATAACAGTCCAGTGCTGTACTTCAGGATTTCAGTATTTCGAGTTATAAGTAATTCTATAACAGTCCAGTGCTGTACTTCAGGATTTCAGTATTTCGTGTTATAAGTAATTCTATAACAGTCCAGTGCTGTACTTCAGGATTTCAGTATTTCGAGTTATAAGTAAATGTATAACATTCCAGCCTGTATTTCATCATCATCATTATCATTTTATTCCTCTGTATAGAGATACAAAATAAATAGAAAAATCAGAAATGGGAAATAAGATATATGTTCACCAGTCTCTTTCATTTACTTACCGGTACATGTAATAACAAGCGCGTTCGCGTCACGAAGCGTGTTTCTACTTCTGTTTGTCGTCAGCTGCCAGGAAGGCATGGGATGCAATTCGTACGTATCTCGTCGCCATCATCCGGAACGGTTCATATTTACAAAGGGTATCGTTTTCTCGTCCGAATAACGTTTGGACAACAGTTTCATCGTCCATGTTGTCAAGGACCAAAAAAGCATCAGTACGTCGGTAATGAACTTATCATATTATGTTACATCACACTGTGTAAGGTAGTGACGGTCAAATCAGTTCGTTGTCTACCACACTTTGTACAAGTTTGCTAATCTGTCTGGGGAGCGTATATTAATAACTTCGAAACGAATTGTGCACAAGCGAGATCACTGGAAGATCTTGGAGAGGTCCAAATCGCGTGGGGATGTATCCTGGGATGAATTTGTTTGAATCTAGCAAAGTCACCGCTATCATTCATTCTTTCAGTCCAGGATTCAGTTTCCCTCTTTCTAATGGAAGGATCAATTAAAAGTTTCCATGCTATGTTGGTTGCAAATTCCGATCTAGTGTAAATGTAGTGAAGAAATATGTCCATTAGATCGTATTTCCTCAGAAGGTCATACACATCGGGGATAAATGCTTTTTGCTGACGTACCTCATTACTTATATAAGTATACGGACGGGTTAAAAAGATTTTCTTAGCAAGAAGTACATTAGGTAGTTTGATAAGACGAGCTAGAAACTGGAGTTTCCGTTTGTCGATTTCTGCGTTTATACGGAGGAGGCCGAGCATACTCTCTGCAATGTCTGAGCAGAATGAAAATTTTGGATTTTCTTAGCCGTGAGGTGCTGAATACGAGACAGCTTATCCAGGTCACACTGTCTAGGACTGTTCCAAGTTTCGCATCCATAAAGTATAGATGGGAGAACAATTTTTCTGTAGAGACTGACGCACGTTCGTGGATTTACTTTTCTGTCATTGTTGCCGATCCCAAGTATAGAGAAGAGTGATGCGCGTCCTTTTCTACAGCTTTTCTCTATTTTGTGGGAACATAACAACTTGTTTGATATTGGTACTCCAAGGTGCTCATGGGTTTCCTTGGTTTCCAGACCAACTCCATCTAGGCTCCAGTCAAAGTTAATGGAGTCGAAGCGACCACCAAATACCATTATGCAACATTTAGTAGTACTGAATGAGAATTTCCACGTTTTTGAATAGGCTTCACAGATATCGAGCAGGGATTGTAGAGATCTGGGGGAAAGGAACAGTAACGTAATGTCGTCAGCGAGCGTTGGATTACCGCATTGTAATGCGTTGAGCGTTGAGCCGAAGTTGGATCCTGATAGGTCGTTCAGGAGATCATCGATGAAGATGAGGTAGTAAAAGTAGATAATGTTCCTCCCTGCCTCAATCCACGCTTCATTTCAATCCAGCGAGATTTAGTTCCGTTGCATATAATAGTACTTTGGAGGTCCGACAAGTATTCTGGATAATGGTAAGTATTTCATAAAGCTTATACGCTACTGGTAACAGTGTTATAGGCCGGTAGTTATCGGCGTCTGATTTCGGTTTGTTGTTTCCCTTATATATTGGTATTGGTATTCTTCCACATGTCAGGAATATTCGCACTTCTTGTGATAAGGTTGAAGAGCCTTGTTAGGTAAAGCATTAGGGTACGACCTCCATATTTATAATGTTCATTGGTCAGCCCATCTATTCCAGGTGCCTTTCGTAGATTTCCCTTCTGAATAGCAGTTATAGTTTCATCCAGTGCGATTTCTTGGCCGAGTTCTTCACATGATTTCTCATCCGATGTTTTGGTATGGTTTTTCTTTTGATTTGTATATTCCCTGGTATCTGACGAATTATACGATGTTTCGAAAAAGTTTGCAAATTGATTTGCAATTGCTCCTGGATCACGAGCCAAAACAAACGTTTATTATAGTTAGCCGCTTCGTCCAGTTCTCTGTTCATTTTTTCTTCGTAGTCAGTATATGCTTTATCATGGGCTATACAAAAGTTTTCTTTGCAGCTTTATATTCACGGTAAGTATCGTAGTGAGAACCTCTCGGTCTCCCGTCTTGTATCCAAAGTCTCCGTTTAGCTCGCGCTAATTTATAAGCTCTGACTTCTTTAGTTCAGTATGTCTTTAACGTTGGATTTCAGTATTTCATGTCATAAGATATTCTATAACAGCCATCATGTTAAAAATATTTTATAACGACCAACTGCTGTACTACAGGATTTGTTTACTGGACGTTTAAAATATATTTCTTTCTTTATCAGACTTCAGTTGAAGGATGATCATGATCGAAATGTGTAGAGGAGTGGGACGTGTCATTGATTTCCAATTCTTATACATCTACACAAAAGTGAACATGTGAAAATGAAAGACATATCATGGTCTTTATTATATGTTCAGACGAGCCATTTCAACCAAGAGAAGGACACAGTTTGTTTCCATTTAATCATGAAATTCAAAGGAAATGTTATCTCCCCTTTGAAAAAAAAACAGAAAGCCGTGATTACCTTAGAATTAGGGCGTTCCTTCATTTTATAATCGGGTATGAAAGTGAAGTGGTCGGAGTGTAAAAATTAGTATGATCACGTGCTTGCATTGTTATTCCGTGAATATAACCACGAAGTGGTTTGGAGTATTCTACATGTAATATAATCTATTGTAACATCAGTGTATTGGATTTGCGATCTAGATCTGGTAACATTTCTTTATCCCAGCAAGCCATTAGAAATTATCAATACAATTAATTTGTTTCATTATTTACCCAAATTTAATAATTAAAAAAAATGGACATATTTGACCGCTTTGCTCTTTAAAGCAGGCAAATATCGATTTTTTTTTCAAACGGAACAGGTACTTTATTGGTGTCAAACATCTTTACATGCTTCTAGAATGTGATCTTGTTGTTTTTGTTTGTTTGGGTTTTTTTTCCCTTCTTCTTCTTTTTTTGTTCTGTTTTAGTTTTTTCGATTGTTCGGGGCTTTTATTTAAGACTTTTACTTTTAAAACGATTTTCAACATGGCGGTCTTGATAGCCATCTTGAAAGTGGTACAGGTCATAACGAAGCTAAATATTGAAAACCACTTCCATCCAGCAGGTTATGAACCAGTTATAATGACTCGGAGCGTTTTAGCTATAACACATTTGGCATCTGTCCTCTTGAAACTGTATCAAGGTAACGTTTAATAAAGTAAACTTAAAAACAATCAAAACAGGAAAGATATTAATTATACACTGACTTTATTGCTCGTTATGGAGCCCAAATGTAATGGTAGGTCAGATATACCAGTCCCATCAATAACACGGACAGCAACATGTTTTTCCAATTCTCCTTCCGCAACTGTTTCAGCTCACTTTCTGTAAAAAACCAAAAGGTAAACCTAATACCCAAGGTAAAACCTAAAGTCTCAAAGAATCCTACTAGCTGCCAGCACAGCTGATCAATGTCACTCCTCACAAACAACAAAGAACTGACATACTGGATGTCTAATTCGCAGCTGAATAAGAAACTAGCGATGTCACTAAAATTCTTGATACGTAAAGAGTTTCTATTTACATCTCTGATGAAAACACGTTTATTTTAGAGGAATATTATTTTCAATATATTTTCATCTTTTCATTAAAAGGAAATCTTCATAACGTTTGAGTTAGACCTATGCCTATGTTCAGTGTAAGACTGAGTTTGCGTGTGTGAGGGGCGTAGCGGGTATGTGCCAGTGTATTTGCACTGAACGGCAATATATATATATATATATCTACATGCATTTTTATGTGTAATCACACAATAACATACTTGATGTTATAAAAGAGATACAAAATGTATAAAACAGGCACGTTCAGATTCGGTGCCAAAATTTCAACCAAACCTGATTTCTCCTTTTGTGAAAATTAAACAATATCTGATTCCTTACAGTGTCTGTATGAGACGGCGGGCTCAAGAATTGTACCAGATGCTAGTGGCACTACCTTACACTGACATTTTCCAACCCAATATAATCCATTGATCAGTTTATCTTCTTTGTCATTATTGATGACATATCTGTTAACAAGAGATGGTTATGAAAATATTTTTTAAATAATACAGCAATTTTGACTCATTAAAGTTTCTTTTTCTACTGCCTGTGTTTAGTTTCGTCAAGTGTTCCAATATATCCTATGGGGTTGCCAATGAATATTTTCTTGAGTATGGTGAACAAAATTATGCCCAATCTAAGATAACGGCGTTCCCTAATTAATGACAAAGTGTTGATAATGAGTGCAGAAACATATTCATTATACTGGAGTTAAATAAATTCTATACAACAAAGGTTTGTTAACTTGATACTGATATGAAGTTAGATAAATTCTATACATTGTTAACTTGATACTGATATGGAGTTAGATAAATTCTACAGATTGTTAATTTGATACTGATATGGACTTAGACAAATTCTACAGATTGTTAATTTGATACTGATATGGAGTTAGATAAATTCTATACATTGTTAATTTGATACTGATATGGAGTTAGATAAATTCTATACATTGTTAAATTGATACTGATGCTGGAGTAAAACCAAAATGAGAACAGTTTTTAAAGCCAATACACATATATTGTCAGTAACATTATTGTTGGCCAGTGGTTCATCTAAAGGCTTTAAAGTGAAAATATGTTGTGTTACTGGTTCATGAAACAATGTCATACAAAATACATTAAAAAAGATTCATTTTGAAGAATTGTAGGCAGCAGAATCCCTCAGGTGTAGTTCTAACACATGTCTAAACACCTATGTAGTGAGTTTATAACTTGAAATTCAGTAAATTTCTTGTTCTGATATCTAAAGTAAAAGGAATATAGGATAATCACCTGTAGTAATAAGGCGTTGTATGTGGTTATCCTCAGTACTTACTTACTACACCTTTATGACCTTTTATGTGTTGATTGGCCATCAAGACTGCAATGATAATACACTTCTGATTTGTCATTTTCACTTACTATGATTTGTCAGCGTCTTGTTGACTCGCTTGGCTTCTTCTTTCAATTCCTTCCTACAACATCAATATAGTTAATCCTATAATGAATAGAATTCAATAAAGTGATATGCCAAACTTAGATCTAGAAACATGCGATGCCAAAGGTATCTTGACACATTGTATGAACAATATTTTTTATTATGTCTTCAATAGATTGCTTTTTCCGTCCTCGGTCATCCACACTTAACAATAATAAGGGCAATGAGGTACAAAAGAAAGCCTATATATGCCAACAAAGATCTGGTAGGTGTATACTGTGCTTTTCCTGAAATTACACTATCAATCTATAAATACCAAAATCCAAGAAGGCCAATTGTCAGGAATTTATTTTTACTAATTAGTCCAAAAATGGACAAAGCATGGTTAGGGAAAGGGAAATCTGAATATGAAATTTAAGAATAATTCATTCATTACTTCCCCTGAAGAAGAGATAACAGAAAATTTTGAAAAACAGATGGACAGACCACGACTGAAGGACGATTTGAAAAACCCGCCATCTGATAATGATTGTTTCATAGGACTATAGGTAGTCATAATAGTTGCTTAAAGGGACCATTTTATAATTAAGTCTCTTCCCAAGAAATGTAACAATCCAGGAAATTATCTTTCTTCCTATTCACTTCAACATTAAGATTACCAGTGGTGTGCATATATCCGCTGTGCGGCTATGGGTCTTGTTCTAACATATAATTGGTGAGTAATAATAAGCTGATCATTTTTATATTTGGTTTTTTTTTTGTCTTTTGCAATGCTTAAGTATATATAAACATTCATGTTTAAATTAATGAAAAATTGGTCAAAATCGAAATGTTTTTCAGTATAACACAACTTCATGTCAACATGTCGTGAAATCTTTCAATGAGTAGAAAAACAGTAGAAGGCGATGACCTGACAAACAAAAGTTTACATTTAAAAGACAGACAACACCTCAAAATAATATTATCAGGTTACAGTAAGAAATCTACATAAACTTTACATACAAATGTTAGGAAAACATCTGGAACCAAGGCTGTCATGATGTTACACTTGGCTGGGGATCAGAGTCCTGAAACCCTACAACTCCTGGTTGGTTAGGGCTCTGTATTCCATCCCTATAGACATGTTCTTTTGTCTTTGGCAATGGAGAGGCTTCCACTTACCTATCAGAGTCATTCAAGTCATCCCTGAGGCGCAGAGATCGCTCTATCACATCCAGCCTTTCTTCACAGCCCTGAATCTCAGCCTCGACTGCAGCAATCTGTGATGTGTAAATCAGGCCATGAATTATCAAAATATAGATAAATAAATCATATAAGTTAAATGATGACAATAAGATGGATATAGCTGCCATGTAAGGGAGATATATGAGAAAAGAGGACGGTCAATGTGGACGTGGCTGTGAGGAGGAGAGAGTTATATGTGAAATGAGGACAGTCAATGTAAATATAGTTGTGGTGTTAGGAAGACTTATATGTAAAAGGAGAACAGTTTATGTTGATTTAGCTGTGGTGTAACATTCTGATCTCCCAGAGTTACTGCCCTTCACTTTCTCTCTGTAAGCTTGAAAGCCGATGCGGGTGGAGAATGTGGTGTAAGGGAGAGTTACATGTGAAATGAGGACAGTCAATGTGGCTTAGCTGTGGTGTAAGGGAGAGTTATCCAAGCATACAGCTGCTTTCAATTGGTATTCATAGTCAGTGCAAATTCAAAACGGTTCACATTATGTAAGACCATTTCATGTTTATTTGTCAGAAGTAGTTTTTAATCAAATATGTTTTCTGTACTATTTTTCTATTAAGGTATGGGCTGGATAATCACAAAGACCATGATTTACAACTTAGCATGTCTCAGATGAGAGAAAAGGATGGGCAAAAACTGAAAATTTCTGTCTCTAAAATGAAAATGATATGTAACATTTATTATACTGTAATTGATGAGAAATGTGAATATCTACATGATTGACCGGGCGTGAGGGTTAGAAGGGGAGGGGCACCGATGTCCCATAATCCCTTCTGGGATTCCTCCTAGGGACTCACGGAGGGATTAAGATGTCCCTCTGTTACTGAACAGCTGATGTGTAAAATATGTCCAGGATAAGTGGATATAAGTATAACTCACCTGTGTCGCAACAGTGGCCATTATGTTGTAATGCAAAAGTTGGTTCGTTACATGAATAGGCAGCCGATTTGTAAAAACGTTCCTACCGAAACCCAATTTCGACACGTTGTCTTTATTTACACCTTGATCGTAATCATGCTTCTATTCCACCTTTGTATTCAAGCGTTGTCGTGACTTAAAGGATGATAATCACACCCTAGGAACGTAAACTAAATATGTACGGTGTGTATCACAATTTAAAACCGGACTAAAAGATATCACTGACGAGTCCTAGGAAGACGTGTGATGATTAACTTGGTACAAATACGCGTTGTTGCCTCCATTTTTTATTCTCTTTGTGAAAGTTATCGCTTCGAGGGCGTATATACATATTTAACAACACACAAGACGACCTGGAGACGGGCGTGTGTTCCGGAATTTTAATTAGTCAAAGCTAAGTTCATCTTGACGTAATTTCATCGCCAGTTAACAGCCATATCCATCACATACCGACCCCAATTCTAAAATTTGATGAACACACATTTTGTAATTGGACATGCAGAACAGAGGAACATGACAAAAATAAAAATTAATAAATTGCATAAAGAAGCAAAAGGGAGAAAAAATACCTCAAAATCACATTCCATGACGATACAAGTGATGCAGGATATCAAATATGTCTAATATTCATGATTCACGTGATGTGTGATTTCAAATACGTCTAACATCCATGATACACGTGATGTGGGATTTCAAATACGTCTTATATCCATGATATACGTGATGTGTGGTATGAAATACGTCTTATATCCATGATACACGTGATGTGTGATTTCAAATACGTCTTATATCCATGATACACGTGATGTGTGATTTCAAATACGTCTTATATCCATGATACACGTGATGTGTGATATGAAATACGTCTTATATCCATGATACACGTGATGTGTGATTTAAGATAAGTTTAATTTCTATGGTACATGTGATGTGTGATTTCAAATACGTCTTATATCCATGATACACGTGATGTGTGATATGAAATACGTCTTATATCCATGATACACGTGATGTGTGATTTCAAATACGTCTTATATCCATGATACACGTGATGTGTGATATGAAATACGTCTTATATCCATGATACACGTGATGTGTGATTTAAGATAAGTTTAATTTCTATGGTACATGTGATGTGTGATTTCAAATACGTCTTATATCCATGATACACGTGATGTGTGATATGAAATACGTCTTATATCCATGATACACGTGATGTGTGATTTAAGATAAGTTTAATTTCTATGGTACATGTGATGTGTGATTTCAAATACGTCTTATATCCATGATACACGTGATGTGTGATATGAAATACGTCTTGTATCCATGATACACGTGATGTGTGATATGAAATACGTCTTATATCAATGATACACGTGATGTGTGATTTAAGATAAGTTTAATTTCTATGGTACATGTGATGTGTGATTTCGTCTAATATCTACACTACATTTTCTACCAGAATCAAAATATAACATTTAGGGGAAATTTTGAAAGTACTCAAGACTATCGTTTTATTCAAATCATTTACAAAATTACCCGATCTCTATAGGTTTCCATACTCACACACATACACTGCCTGAACAATTTGTCAGCTTTCTCGACATACTTGCAAGTATCTCATGTTATGGCATATTCTTTAATGGTATAAAAACTTCACAGTTCACTTTAGCAAGCCTTGGCTACCTAGGATGGGGAAACTGCATAGCCACGGTAAACATCCTCCTGGCATTTGACAATAGTCCATTCTAGAATTTATACTTTTAACACCACATGCAAGACTTATCAACACTTGTATTTTAGCTGTTATCAAAATCACGAACTAAATATCTAAAAAGTAAAATCTTTCAACAAAAGAGAACACTTCCTAACCTATACAGCAGAGCCCTGTCATAAATTAACCAGCGTAATTTGAAAATGAACAATATATCAACATGATGATATATCTATACAGTCAACAGTTCGTTGTTTTGTGGTAGACGTGAGTCAACAGTTCGTTGTTTTGTGGTTGTTTTGTGGTAGACGTGACAGTCAACAGTCCGTTGTTTTGTGGTAGACGTGACAGTCAACAGTCCGTTGTTTTGTGGTAGACGTGACAGTCAACAGTCCGTTGTTTTGTGGTAGACGTGACAGTCAACAGTTCGTTGTTTTGTGGTAGACGTGACAGTCAACAGTCCGTTGTTTTGTGGTAGACGTGACAGTCAACAGTCCGTTGTTTTGTGGTGGACGTGACAGTCAATATTTCGTTGTTTTGTGGTGGACGTGACAGTCAACAGTTCGTTGTTTTGTGGTGGACGTGACAGTCAACAGTTCGTTGTTTGGTGGTAGACGTGACAGTCAACAGTCCGTTGTTTTGTGGTAGACGTGACAGTCAACAGTCCGTTGTTTGTGGTAGACGTGACAGTCAACAGTCCGTTGTTTTGTGGTAGACGTGACAGTCAACAGTTCGTTGTTTTGTGGTAGACGTGACAGTCAACAGTACGTTGTTTTGTGGTAGACGTGACAGTCAACAGTACGTTGTTTTGTGGTGGACGTGACAGTCAACAGTTCGTTGTTTTGTGGTGGACGTGACAGTCAACAGTTCGTTGTTTTGTGGTGGACGTGACAGTCAACAGTTCGTTGTTTTGTGGTAGAGTTGGCAGTCAACAGTCAACAGTGAACAGTTCGTTGTTTTGTGGTGGACGTGACAGTCAACAGTTCGTTGTTTGGTGGTGGACGTGACAGTCAACAGTTCGTTGTTTTGTGGTGGACGTGACAGTCAACAGTTCGTTGTTTTGTGGTGGACGTGACAGTCAACAGTTCGTTGTTTTGTGGTGGACGTGACAGTCAACAGTTCGTTGTTTTGTGGTGGACGTGACAGTCAACAGTTCGTTGTTTGGTGGTGGACGTGACAGTCAACAGTTCGTGGTGGACGTTTTGTTTGTGGTGGACGTGACAGTCAACAGTTCGTTGTTTTGTGGTGGACGTGACAGTCAACAGTTCGTTGTTTTGTGGTGGACGTGACAGTCAACAGTTCGTTGTTTTGTGGTGGACGTGACAGTCAACAGTTCGTTGTTTTGTGGTGGACGTGACAGTCAACAGTTCGTTGTTTTGTGGTGGACGTGACAGTCAACAGTTCGTTGTTTTGTGGTGGACGTGACAGTCAACAGTTCGTTGTTTTGTGGTGGACGTGACAGTCAACAGTTCGTTGTTTTGTGGTGGACGTGACAGTCAACAGTTCGTTGTTTTGTGGTGGACGTGACAGTCAACAGTTCGTTGTTTTGTGGTGGACGTGACAGTCAACAGTTCGTTGTTTTGTGGTGGACGTGACAGTCAACAGTTCGTTGTTTTGTGGTGGACGTGACAGTCAACAGTTCGTTGTTTTGTGGTAGACGTGACAGTCAACAGTCCGTTGTTTTGTGGTGGACGTGACAGTCAACAGTTCGTTGTTTTGTGGTGGACGTGACAGTCAACAGTTCGTTGTTTTGTGGTGGACGTGACAGTCAACAGTTCGTTGTTTTGTGGTGGACGTGACAGTCAACAGTTCGTTGTTTTGTGGTGGACGTGACAGTCAACAGTTCGTTGTTTTGTGGTGGACGTGACAGTCAACAGTTCGTTGTTTTGTGGTGGACGTGACAGTCAACAGTTCGTTGTTTTGTGGTGGACGTGACAGTCAACAGTTCGTTGTTTTGTGGTGGACGTGACAGTCAACAGTTCGTTGTTTTGTGGTGGACGTGACAGTCAACAGTTCGTTGTTTTGTGGTGGACGTGACAGTCAACAGTTCGTTGTTTGGTGGTGGACGTGACAGTCAACAGTTCGTTGTTTTGTGGTGGACGTGACAGTCAACAGTTCGTTGTTTTGTGGTGGACGTGACAGTCAACAGTTCGTTGTTTTGTGGTGGACGTGACAGTCAACAGTTCGTTGTTTTGTGGTGGACGTGACAGTCAACAGTTCGTTGTTTTGTGGTGGACGTGACAGTCAACAGTTCGTTGTTTTGTGGTGGACGTGACAGTCAACAGTTCGTTGTTTTGTGGTGGACGTGACAGTCAACAGTTCGTTGTTTTGTGGTGGACGTGACAGTCAACAGTTCGTTGTTTTGTGGTGGACGTGACAGTCAACAGTATTTTGTTTGTAGTTAACAGTTTCTTGGTATTTGGGTCGGTAATAATAGACATCAGCTATGTAACATTTCTACGAATGAAGGAAACCGAACATGTTAAAAACGCATGACCGATGATGAAGACTACACTATGTATACACTTGTACACACATATTGATAAATTAATGTAGTTTTGTATCCCGTATGAAACCTTAATGTGTCGGCTGCTTTTGACCACACATAATGTAACTTTTCTATTACAGAAGTACCATCTTAAAAATTGATTCATTACTGAAGGCATAGAATTATGACAATACTTGTACCGATAAGTTTAACGTAAATGGGGGTTATTCCTGTGCCTATCTAATTATATTGCAGTAGTGAAGCTGTTTTGCGTATATTTCTTTCATCTCTTTATTTACATGGATATTATTATGTATTTGACCTGTCAAAGTCTGATGATCATGAAATAATTGCATGTATGTTTGTTTGTAGACTATTGCTAGTGATAATGTGCACGTGATATATAGTAGATCATTAGTTATCATTATCAAAATCTTATATGTAAAACAAATTCTTCTGTGTATCTTCAATTTGAAAGGAAATAAAGAAACTGATTATAGTGATACAGCTGTTACGTCCTTCTACAACTCGTCGGTGATGCTAAGGGCCTAATTGCTAAACCCTGGAGTCGACTGACGAAAATCCCAAGTATTGGAAGGCAATATCATCATCTGAATGGGAGGTGAACTAGCCACAGAACACAGTCGTGATTTTTTATACATATGATCATTTTTGAAATGCCTCAATTACATGTGTATATTTGAATTTGAATTAATCAAAACGTAGCATGTAGGTTAAAGAAAACCTCGGGGATTAATAGCTCACCAGCGGTGGACCAAGACATGTAAATGAAACAGGAAATGTAGAGAGAATAACATCGAAAAACTAACGAGAATGAAAGATCTAAGCTACGAAAACCGACTGGGCATTTAGAAATTATCAGAACATGTAGGATCTATTCATGTTGTAGCAGGAGGATTTTTATCCGAAATAATAACAAAAGAATAAGAGGGCACACTCCGACGAAGAAAATCAAATGTAACTTAAAGAAATATTTTAGTAAACCGATCGTTTATCATTGAAACTCACTTCAAATGACATGGCTACGTCATCAACAGTCACAATATTTGAATCCTGATTGGACAAACACTGGGGCTAGCCAGAATGCGCCTTTACCTCGAGAGAAATGCTGATAAACTTACTTATCGGGATGTCATCAGTTGAACTGAGGTAAGCGTTTGCGATCTGGATATATAGGCATAATGCCTGCGTCCAGTATTATCATTATTACATGTTTATTACTGTATTAGAAATATTGCCGTAACTGCCTTGCTGTTCATTGCAGACTGTTGGCGCAGTGCTAACCTTAGACCACATGGGCTTTCTGCGGGTACTCTGGTTACCTCCCACAAAAAAACTTCATCGGGCCAGTAAGGTTGACTAATATGAGCTAGTACCTTGTTTTGCTTTTTGTGGTAAAATAGATTATGTTTATATTTATATTTAGAAGAACAACATATATGCGTTTAAGTCTTTTTTCAAAATGAAATGTATCAAAGTACGCAATGGATATCACATATTTAGATACAAATGTATTTGCATTATTTCACTATTTATTTAAGTATCATTAAGCAAATTGCTATATATTTAAAGAAATTACTTTATATCCATTTGAATTGATAAATAGTATATTCTGGTAATATTGATTTGGATAAAACTCGACTTACCCTCAATAATTTATTAGTATTGACTGAAACGTTAACTTAACATTTGTTAAAGGGAGGTAATTCCTGACAAATTTGATTGGAATATATAGCGTATATTTACGCGTACAATGTCCCTGTGTGGTCAGATAATATAATCTTGTCAAGAAATACCCACAAAATACAAGGCAACCGGTAGTTAGACTTCATATCTTAATGTGATCTTTTTTTTATGTTTGAAACCAGTGATTTTGATTGAATAAGTAACGTATACTGACAAACACTAATTTAAATGGTAACAACATTCAGATAAATTAGCTTCGTTTTAGTGTTGCAGTAATTGCTTTTGGTTGTAGATTTTATATCTTTCATCGTACCATCATTAGTTAACATTGTTGACAAGATCGAGAGCCAAGGCACGGTTCCTTGGTTAAAAATATATACAGTTACGGCTCCGCCATTTTATTGACTGTTTGCTCCACAGTACACGAGCGGTTATTCTCATGATAAATAATCAGGTATGCAGCTTGATACGTAAGAAAGAAGGTAGCCGACAGCTTTCTAGTGTTATCAATACTTAGAATTGAACCAGAGATTGAAACTGCCTAGTCGTTTAGAAGCTTAGCAATGATGGCGTGGATAAGGTAGTTACAAAAAAATGGCGACTACTAGGGAAGCAAACGACATGATTTAGAATCTGACATAGTATATTTCGCCAACTGAACTTGGTACGATGCCCCCGGCGGTCAGATCATCGAACTTAGTTATGATGTACTCATATTAGTACTTGTATAGTCGCTACGATCATTAACATAAACATTCGAAATATTTAATATTTATTTTTTCGACCTTGATTAGTGTATTCCGTAGCGGCACTTTTTGGTTGCTGTCGTAGACATTTCACAATCTCCCCTTCTTTTCCAACTCCACGAGCGATCGAATTCTGTTATAGATTTTGTTTCCATGTGACCTAGACGTTTCAAAATAACAATATATCTAAACACACCTTGGCAACAATTGCAGGATCGTTGTCCTCTTTACCATCGTTACCTGCCATATGCCTATCATAAGTAACCAAGAAAATATCTGCTGCACAAATTGGTATACAGCAGTTGTCACGACCTATGTGTACACACATTGTGCCATATTCACTGGATGAATGACGGTCGCCGGAGATAGATTTCCGGTAATCCATTATGACTGTACCGGAAGCCGTGTTTGTTGTGTTCTTTACATTCATAGTGTTTTCATGTCTTGTTCACAGAAATGTATATCGACAAAATGGAAAAGTCTTATTCAGCCTGAGTGTTAAGATGACCACATTTATACCACCAGTGTTTGTTGGATCTGCCTTAGTGTGAAGATGACCACATTTATACCTCCAGTGTTTGTTGGATCTGCCTGAGTGTGAAGATGACCACATTGATACCTCCTGTGTTTGTTGGATCTGCCTTAGTGTGAAGATGACCACATTTATACCACCAGTGTTTGCTGGATCTGCCTGAGTATGAAGATGACCACATTGATACCTCCAGTATTTGCCGGATCCGGTAACGACAACAATAGAACTGAGAATTATAATACATACCTGGCTCGTCTACTTATCCCTAACAACGTTGTCCTCGCTCTCTATCTGTTGGTGGGGCTGTTTGGTAACCTTCTGGTCATATATGTCTACTCTTTTAAGCTCAAGACAAAACGTGACAATCGTTTCTTCATACCATTCCTAGCATTCCTGGACGTACTCGCTTGCTCTATTGGAGACAGTTTCGCAATGTCGTTGAATATTCTACCCCTGAAATACTATGGAAATGCGTTGTGCAAAACACTGTGGTTTTTCAGCGAGGCAACCACCATAGCTTCAGGTCTGTTGTTGCTAGTGATTGGTTTGCAGAGATATCTGAAGGTGTGCAAACCTTTTGAAGCTCAGATGACTTCTACATGGAAGAAAATAGCCCTAATAGTAACAGTGACGAGTGCGTGTTTCATATCTGCCCCATCTGTGTTGTTCTACGGTGAGATCCAATCCTATTCTTTGGTCAACATGACTGGAGTCAGGTGCGGCAAGCGTGATGACAATGAGTATCTCGCACAGGGTATCATTATTTATAATGTCATTTTATGTGCTACAGCGATCGTGGGGGTTATAACAATGGCTGTCCTATATGGTCTCATAGCACGAGTGATATATTATCAATTTCTTCGTCACAGAAAAAAATCAATGAATAAGAAAACAAAGCCGCGCATTAAAAAAAAGCATTCAAACAAGTCTAACACATCTACGTCGTGTGATGATTCTGAAGGCAAAGTGACGATGCGAAAAGATTGTTCTACGGCGTCACCTTCGACAGAAGGTCAAAGTTCGAATAGTTACCCAACAACACCGGAAACGGATCTAGAATCCCAACTACCATTTCCGGAACCTGATATGGATGAACAATCAATAGATGACGGTGGGGATATTGATCAAAATAATACAAAAGAAACAAAGATAAGAGACAAGAAAGAAGAAAAAAGCTTCAAAAGGCGATCATTCGATGTTTTACGTGAAAACATCGGTAATATACGTGAAAAACTTCAACGAGAGCGAGTTTACAACCACTTTCGTGTACATCGCTGTACGTACATGTTCATGACAATCACGCTGATCTTCGTCGTGTCTTACATTCCACGTGTGGTGCTTATGTTGCTAGAGTCGTTTGAACCCGATTTTTGGGGTTTATTATCAGAATCACGACTTCAGGTTTGCTATTTCCTGTACCGTATGTACCTCCTCAATCACGTCACAAATCCCTTTATTTACGGACTTTTCGACAGCAGGTTCCGCTCTAAAGCAAAACGACTTCTATGCCCACGTTTGGTCAAACGAAAAAAACGTATTTCAAAACGTTAACGACCTGTAAAACCAGCAATTATTACAGTGACTAGAAAAAGCTGGATTTACTATCCCAATCAGGAATTTATCATCAGAGAGTCAGTCATTACTGGGAATTTATCATCAGAGAGTCAGTCATTACTGGGAATTTATCATCAGAGAGTCGGTCATTACTGGGAATTTATCATCAGAGAGTCGCTCATTACTGGGAATTTATCATCAACGAGTCAGTCATTACTGGGAATTTATCATCAGAGAGTCGCTCATTACTGGAAATTTATAATTAGAGAGTCAGTCGTTACTGGGAATCGTCAGTTTTATTACGTGTAACTGAACCGTTCTCACATTTTCTGATTGGACCGTTCATCTCTTGTAGCTAAGCCTACACAAATCTTCTGACTAGATCATACCGCTCTGAATGGATCTTACACAGATCTCCTCACACATTTAACACATATCTAGTGACTCGCGACTGGATCCTACACATGTCACGTGATTGAATAATACTCTCATTTAGTGACTTCCTACACACATCCTCGTAACTAGATTCTACAAACATCTCGTCATTGGATCCTTAACATATTTATTGACTGGATCCTACACGTATTTCTTGCATAGATCCTACACACGTCTCGTTACGGTATTCTACATATATCTCGTAACTGAATCTTTACATTTCGTAATCGGATTCTTTAAACGTTTGGAATTTCCATTCATGATAAGGACTACTAAGGACAAGGAAAATGTACAAATGCTGGATTCATTTGTTTATTTTTTGTAATAAATTGTACGTTGAATTTGATTTCTTTCCAGTTTGTTTTTCTTAAAAACTTCAAACAATGTATCAGTGGTGCTCTGGATGAAGATAGCCGACGAAATTTGTTTTATTCTGCATCTAGCGCTGCCATTGTCGGAAAACATCTACCACATATATTTTGCTGCATTCAGCAGTGAAGGAAAACAGTTGTATTTCAGCACGTGTGTAAATTCGACAAAATTTATTTCTGAATCTACTTAAATGTGACATTTAACAGTATAAACAACTGTTGAAATAAGATATTTAATATTTTGTAATGAACAAATTTATTTACGAAAATCCATAAAATTACAGTCATATTCGTTGAAAGTTTGGAACTAAATTTCCGCGCGAAGCAATTATTTTGACATACGTCATCCAGCATCCGACGTAACATCGACGTCAGGTAAAAACCATGGCACAACAACACTGTTGACGTTTTGGTGGTCTGATTGTCAAACAATGTTGCAGGAAAATGGAATACATGGTCAGTATCTTAAAATATAAGCTTCATTTGACTCTGGAGAGAAAGAAAAAAAGTGGCGAGTCACTTTTGTCTTTCTTCACTCTCGTCAAAAACAGACACTGAACATGTATTCTCTATATAATGACTGTTATCAGCAGATAGGAGATCATGATTGTTGACAATACCTTGCCTTCTTGAAAACCAAGAGGTGGTTTTTTTTTTCAAAAACACAAATTTCCCCAGATGAGTAGCTTCTGGCGCGTTATATATTTCAACAGGGACAAGGTTGTGAAATTTAGAGAAAAAAACTTGATTAATAAAACTTTGTATTATACAAATCAATAACTATCTACTTTTTTTCTAATTTGCGTTTTAAATAGAAACTGTCATCAAATTGATGAAAGACACACCTACACTGCCATCCTCCATTAAAATCAATAAATCGTGGTCAGTATCATGATACATTGCCACAAATATTAAAACACAGTAGGTTTAAACCGCCATCAGTTTAATCAAATGAAGTGATATACATGTATAAGATGAATATAAAAAAAACATTTCATGTGAATCCTTAGTAACTTGCTTAAAGTTAATTTGAACTGCAGTCAGATCAAGTGCTTGTGAGTGATGTTATTAGACTTTAAAATCAAAGTTCAACAATGCAGTGTACATTTTGTTATAGGACACTTAAAGTACTTGTAATCAATTCTGCCCACGATGTCTCAACATCCCAAAACGGAAATTGTTCACACATGGATGATGATACCCTCCCGGGTCAATTGGAAACACGCTCTAATTCCTTTTTCACCTATAATACATCTTCAGGCCAATTCATAGTCCCTTGAGGTGATGATGGCTTCCGAACAATTCCGGCTTCCAACATCGGAACCAAATTATGTTTGTGTAAGAAATCTACTATGAATTGTCCACTGTTTCTGCCACGATGATATTTGAATTCCATTAAGAGATAATCAATCTGTACCTAAGAGAAGAATTGTTCTTCTCCTCGAAAGACATTGGCTTCGAATACTTCCACGTCTATCTTTATCATGACCTTCTTGAACGGATTTATACCTAACAAATTATCTAACAGAATGGACATCATCACATCCTGGTGTACTGTACTGGAGTTATCTACCTTTTTTTACATACGTGGCCCCAATGTTACCTCTATATCCACCAAACGTCACATTTTCCCGCTTGTTTGACATGGCGTTGTGTATAATTGTTACTTGTTTTAACAAATTACCAGCTAAAACAGAGTAACACAGTCTCTGAGCATTTCCGGTGAGACAGTCGATAGAGAAAACTGCCCGTCCCAAATTGCTGCCATCAGAGAGAAGGTCCCAACATTATCTTAAAGGACTAAATCGGGGTCCCTACTCAGGTAGCCACGTAACATCTCCACCAGTTCTTTCTCCCATATACCTACATCCAATATGGACCCGGACACGACCTCGTCAATGCTCTTGTTTTACACATATATAGGCGTATCAATCGGACTTTTTAAATGTCCCAACACGAATTCTTTACCAACATCACAATGGTCGACCGATTTAGTCCATCCGACCGTCCCTGGAGACCACGTGATAATACCACCACTGTGAATTAGATTCTGCTTCTTCGATACACTGACAATGCCATTTACGATCCCACGTGATAAACCACAGGCTACATCACCACGTGACACAACATTGGCCGCAACACCACGTGATACAACACCTGTCTCAAACCGAACAGAAACGTTAGAATATTTTATCGTCTCCCGGTATACCGAAATGTCGTTGTGGTTTCCGGAAGTCCCATTATCCATTTTAATTCTCTCAAAGCGTCGTACTTCTAGAACGTAAACGAGAACAGCTGCTGAACAACCAAGCAGTACGAAGAATCTTGGAACCCTCATGGTCAGTGTATACTTCACTGAAATAAAAGAAGTAAAAAAACACACACAATAATTCTTTTTAAAGAGACACTTACTAAGGACAAGTGGAAGCCTAAAGGAAATTCGAGAAAAGCCCAATCAGTGCTTCAAGATATATTGATAACAAATTTCTATATTTACTTTTCCCGATTAGTCTTTAAACTGAATGAGCATAATAAGGCACAGTGGAGACTGTATACATCAAGTTTGAGAAATATCCTTTAAGAAGTACTTCCCAAGAAATGGTGATAAACTCCAACCGCCAAAAGCCAAGATGGCATCCTATCTGCCGTTTATTTTCATGATCAGTCTCAAAATTATATGGAGACAACTAGTGATAGAATCCTAAACATTAAGTTTCAGAAATATGCTTCAGTTACTCCTCATAAATAGTTATAACAAGAACTGTTTACTAATGGACCAGACCAGGTACGAGGAACGATTTAAACAACCTACCATCTGATGGTGGGTCAAAACACGCACTGATTATTTGTAGATAATAATACTGTTCGAGTATATCTGATAACAAGAATGCTGTCGTAGTTGGTGAGAAGAGCACCGCAAAAGGGTGTATAATTATGTCCGTCGACCATATTAATAAACCAGTTTGTTTTGACGTGTAAAATACCAGTGTCATGTATGAATTGATAAATTATTTTCCCGAATTGTAGACCCCAGAGGAACATTCATGTTAAACTTCTGAACATGTATCATATGACTGGAGTGTAGATCACTGAAGAAACTCACACCAAAACTTTACCAAAAAAAGTCCCAAACATGCAAAACCTTGATTTTCTTTTTACAATTTGAATTTATAACACTATTATTATACCCAATAGGAACATTCATGGTAAAAATTAGGACATTATCACGTCATATTGAACCGTAAACACCGAAAAAATCTGCACCAAAACTTTTACCAAAAGAGTGTGTACCAGAATACATTAAGGATACTGGAAATACTTATTTAGATACTTATTTCTAAAAATAGCCAAGAAACAATTTAAGTGCTCCAAACTACGTCATATGTTAACAAATAAATTACCAGACACCGGGACTGAACGGCACTGTCACAACGTGACAACGAGATAACAGTATAGATATTACGGTTACACCCGGGAACTAAATAACACTTTCCTTATAAAGACAATGAGTTCCGGTATATAATATTATGACTACACACGAGAACTAAATAACACTTTCCTTATAAAGGCAATGAGTTCCGGTATGTAATATTATGACTACACAGGATAACTGAATGACACTTTCCTTATAAAGGCAATGAGGTGACGGTATAAATATTATGACTACACACGAGAACTAAATGACACTTTCCTTATAAAGGCAATGAGGTGACGGTATGTAATATTATGACTACACACGAGAACTAACTGACACTTTCCTTATAAAGGCAATGAGGTGACGGTATGTAATATTACGACTACACACGAGAACTGAATGACACTTTTCATATAAAGAAAATGAGGTGACGGTATGTAATATTAGGACTACACACCGTATACAAAAGATAACGACACACCACGTGACAACAGGTAACGAATTTGAAACACGTGCACGACATTCACAAAGCACAACATTTGGTTACCGGAATCAGTATATACTTGGTGACCATTAGATAAAATCTTAATATCTTGGTCACTTGGTGACCATAAGATACATCTTTATGTCTGGAGTACTTGTTGACCATAACATACATCTTAATATCTGGAGCCGGTGTAGTTGGTGACCGTAAGATACGTCACAATGCCCGGTATAGTTGGTGACCGTTAGATACGTCACCATGTCCGGTGTAGTTGGTGACCGTTAGATACGTCACCATGTCCGGTGTAGTTGGTGACCATTAGATACGTCACAATGCCCGGTATAGTTGGTGACCATTAAATACGTCACAATGCCCGGTGTTGTTGGTGACAGTTAGATACGTCACAATGTCCGGTATAGTTGGTGACCATTAGATATATCTAAGTGACTAGTGTAGTTTGGAACCATTAGGTTCGCCTCAATATCAGGCCTATTTGGTGACCGTCAGATACATCTCGATATGTTGTGTAGTTGGTGACATTGACCAGAAGATTGGTGATACATTTCAATCTCTTCACGTATCACTGCAAACCATTCATTTTGGTATCGAGTCAAATACGACGATGATAAACACAAAAGGTATAAAAACAATTAGATTAAAAATATGCGAAGTCTTTCTGAATTGTCATCAGATTTACATCAACAGTAAAGTAGAAGTATCACTTGTAAAGAAATAATTTGTAGCTGATCCCCGAGGTTTGTCACTTAATTGTGATGTCATGTCAGCAATGATACGCCCCGTTTACACCAACTCTGAATTGATTTGTTTATTTTGTCGTGTGTAATAGGATTCGTCCATAATATTCATATCTTGTCTTAATATGATATATGTTAATATGTTGTGTTCACATATTTGCTTTCCTAGTGATTAATAATTAACACAGTTTCGTTACTGAATGACCTCGGGCAATGGGTATACGTACAGCCCTGACAGTTTTCAGGGGGGCTTCCTTTCAGACGGACACGTGGTCATGAGATGGTGATGTAAACCTAGTGGTGTCGTGACACGCTGATCATCCGGGAGTTAATATATGAATGTAATTACATAGTGGTCTTCAGTGTATTTTGACACCGGCAGTAACCAATCCTTCACGAAGTTCTCCTACTCCCTCCCTGCCCCCCGCTCCTGATTGCGTTCATATTTCATATTACGCAATAAGGCAAGCATAACATAAACTTTGAATCAGGATATTGTCATTGTCATATTATTAACCGTTGTCCATGACCTGTCCCAGTCCATGAAGAAACGAATAAAACTTAACAATCATTGTTAGTTTTCATTCATGGTGCATTACTCATAACAGCTTAAAGTCATTGGTCGTGACAGATTTCTATTGCAGTTTTGCACCTATATCTCTACAAATTGAAATCATTAAAAATCGAACTTTGTAAATACATCGAAATATTTGTACAGTGTTGTGTGACTTCCGATATGCCAGTTTCGTTTCGTTATTTATGACACTTTACTAACTATACATACACCCACCGGAAGTCTCGTTTTGAAAGGATGGCGGGAACATGGCCGCGATATTAGAACTCCTCTTAAATAGAGAACTTACCCCTGGCGCTGTAGTTTTCTGGTTGAAGAACCGAACGAACCTTGTAAGGAATTCTTTGCTTTAATAGCATACCGTCTTGATATGACTTCGTATTCCTATCGCGGTGAAAATCATGTTTACTTTCAGTAATGTTTACATGCAGAACCAGCTGGGACTCCCATGTTATGGGCCAAAGTTTTAAGAGGTTCCGACGGTTTCCATTCATATTCCCATTGTGATATGCGAAAACATGGACAGTATGACTATGATTATCAGATTGGGCACAAACTAGAATATCTATGAGTAAATTCAGGATCATTTGAAGTGGAAACAACAGTTCTTTTAAATATTTCCAACAAAAAGGGCATCAGATTTCACAACACCAGTCAATAGCCAATGTGACTGTATATATTTGTATAGAAATATTTATTTCTATTGTTGTGTTAAAATGACGATTTATATAACAAACAAATGTTGTACATTGACTACAGTGTAAAACCATTGGGAGTATTTCTTGTAATTGTCTGTGAGCATGGATCTACCTATGTTCTAATTTTAGCCACACTATAAGCGATGGGGGTGATAAAGTTTGTGATTTTATTGGGGGGAAAGTCAGGCAACTGAATTTTTTTTCTGTAAAAATGTACACTGTTGCATTGATTGGGCCATGTCAAAAATATGTTGCTTTTTGTTACCACTTGGTATTTAAAATGATACTTTATTTGAGTAATGAATTGATTACTGAAAGTAGTAAATGAAACAAGGATGAAGGGGTAAAGAAGTGATGGTCATGTGCATAACTACATTTTTTCAGCATAATTTTCCAGATAAAAGATGGCTGTAAAGCATGTACGCAAATAAATAAACCGTTTTATATTGGTAATTATATCAGGGCTCTCGATCTGCCAGATTTGGGGCCGATATTTGGCCCCATTCCCAATGCACAATAGTATCTTTTTTCCCAATTTAGACCCCAAGTTTTCCCAATTCTAAGGAAAACGCCGCTATTTTCCCCAATTCTAAGGGCCCCAGTCCCAAAATGGGGTGTGAAAGCCCTGTATATACAGTGTTTTATTCATTTCATTAATTATACCTCTTCATAATTCTAGACGCTGCAATTGTCAGGCAGCTTGGGACGCTAGTAATAATGTCATATACAGAAAAGAGATTTGAGATAACATCACATGTGATAAGTCATGGCTGCCGTTCACTTTATTTGGTTTCATAATTAAATGCTAATCTTGCATGAAAATTTGTTATATCGTGATAGTTATGAGAATGCATTATTTCACTAATCAATTACTCTTTCTATAGCATGATACCCATATTGGGTGTAATTTATATACAATTATTTAGATTTAACATTTTTTCATTTTCACCAACAGAAATGTGATGTTTTGTGGATCTACGTACATAACACAATATAACAAAATTGTAATGTCATAGCGACAACTTTGAGCTTAACACATACTCTATGTAAATCATCATACAGCTTATCACTAATGAAGGCATATGCATCTGCTACATATATAATATGGATCAAGGTGGCATCAATACAAAAGAGTTGAAATAATTTGACTTCATTTATTTTACCATTTATTTCATAATTACAACGGTGAACCAATAAAACATCAAAATTTTGGATTTCCTCCATTTATTGAAATTCGAACATCAGTTATAATACATCCATGTTCAAAATGATTTTAAAACTTTAACCATTTTATGACCAAGGGCATACATCTTTGCCCTTGTCCATAAAATGCATTCTACAGCTGTCTTAATTTCATTTCTGCTCATTTACGCTTTTAACAGATACAAGTATAGGACTGTATTTGAAATGTAGTTCTATACTAATATGCTGTGACACATCTAGTTCTATTTTACATATTTCACAGCTGTTATAGTGTCCCAGATAGTAATATTTTTCCAGAAGGAATAGAAGCTGGGAAATAAGTTGAGAGCTGAGGATGTCTAAACTGTTTGTGGTAGATTTCAGCATAATGCTATTTTATGCAATTTTAAAAAACCTTAAGTTACGTTTTATTTATTATATACTTTAAAAAAAAAACTGTTATGATTTCTTTTTCAGAAAAATGTTCCAGACCAGTTGAAGGATTATTCAAAGCTTGACCAAGAATTTGTGCCATTTTTCTTGAATTATCTTCGTGATCAAACTCTCCACCTCCTTCAATCAAACCGCTCTGCTAATCCATCACCAGCCAAAACTCCCTCAGCTCAAAAACTGAAAAAGGCTGTCCACTTACGAAAGGAAGATGGAGGTAAAAGAGTGCAATTGTTTGGATCAAGCCCTGGTGATGGTTTAGAGGATATTCGTGATACTTCAGTATCTGTCTTTTCTCCTAATGTTTCTGTTGACTCACCTGGAGTTTGGAAAAATTCCAACACGCCATCATCAGCTGAGAGATCTGGGCGTGGCAGAGGAAATAGAACCCCTGGTAATAGAGACCAGCGACATTCACCACATCGTGGCAGCAGGCAGCTAAATGCAACACCAGATAGTCATGGACAACGAGCCAAACAACGATTCAGTCTGGGAGAATTTATTGTCTCACCAGATGTTGACGTCAATCAAAATTCTAGGAAGAACTCTCCTTACTCCGCTGGACGGAAGGACCACTCTATTGACAACTCACCTTCTCCTTTGTTGATCAACAGCGGGAAGCGATCCAGTGGAAAAAAACGTCACTCTGCTAATAGAACAGACTTGACAAAACTATCTCCAGCACCAGTGTTCAGTCTAAACAGTATAAATGACTTCCCACCAATGGGAGGGGACTTTGAAGGTTCCACCAGGTGAATTCATCCATAAATGTTCCAGAAACCTTATTTAAGAAATGCTCAAAAAAAAAATGTTACTTTAATTTCAGTGCAGTGTGTGTGATAGCCACTGAGCAAATATTGTATTTTCCTGGTCATAAACCACATCGGTATGTAAGCTGCAGAGCAAAACCTTCTAGTGTCAAACTCCAAGAAAATTGGTGGTTGGTACATTTTGGTCCCACTCTTAATAAGGAATTGGTGATTAAAAATCATTAATTTCATTATAAAGCGTTTAATAAATATATGTAGAAAAAATTTTACTCTGTGATCACATTTATGAGATTAGTGGCTATTGCACACACTGCACTAAAATTTATCTCCGAATTAATATTTAATTCACCATTTTCCTAAAACCACATTAAGATTGTATTTTGCTTATTATAGCTTTAGCATCCATCAGCCAAAGGAATTGTCGAGACACTTTTTATTATTGTTTGCAATTATAGCTAGTAATTTTGTCTTTGTTTTATCTTCAATGTATGTGATGTAACTTAAAACAAGTAGGTCATTTTTTAAATATAACTTAAAAATTGACTTCATCATTAACCCACATTATGAGAAAAATGCAAGCTCTGAATAATAGGGTTTTGAAGCTTAAGGGAAACTATACACAGGTATTTAGTATGATAAAGTGGAGTCACAAACCTGCTATTTAGTCTTCATCGTTGAATTATGATAGGAAATATTTACTTTTTAAATTGAATCTGGTGTGTACATTAAAATAAAAAGAGCTTAAAATTTGGATAAAAATCTGGAAACATGTTTATATCAAAGGAAATATATTTATTGAAAGGAAAGGGTAAATGCATAATCTAAGTTTCACAGTGAGACAAATGAAATCTTATACACTGCCATAAGTTTATATAATAGACATGTATTTAATGATTCTTACCAGAAAACAAGACCAGAGGGAAGATTCAGTACTGTGTACACCCTATATGAAAAATTCACCCAACTTTGATGCAACACCAAGAGGTAACACAAAGCCAACTGTGATAACAAAATCTCGTAGAATAAATTTTACCACTTTATCTGAAGAGAGCACTGACTCAACCCAGGTGCCCTCTCGTCGCATCAAACCCACCCCAATACAGGGAAGCAAGGCATGGCACCAGAACAAGATTTTCCTGGACTCTTCACAAAACACATCTGTGACCCACACTCTTGCTGATGAATCTAAAGGAGGGACAGACAGCAGAGGGTCCCTGACAGAGGAACGTGAACTGTTAAGGTATCATCTCTAAAACTATATTTTAATTACTTTTCCCAAATTGTCATTCCTGAGAAGCTGGAAGTTGTCTGTCCTTGGCCTGAAATGGCTCTGCACAGGCCAACTATTGCCTGTCTATATCAACCTTTTAATCATGATTGTTTTACATACCAAGGTCATGTTAGTATCTAAATGTAGGTTGTCATTATAATTAAAAAAATCAAACAAAAGATAATCTTGTAGTTGGGGCATGTCTTAGGACATATAGTATGTAACATGTTTGTTCACAATGCTAAATTTGTCTATATCTTACTGCAGGATGGTACTAATAGGACTATGCTATATACAATCTTGATATCTTCTCAAACATCCTATTCAACTTAATACTTGGCCTTCATAAATTTTCCATTTGAATAATTATGGTCAGTAAGCATTGAAATAAGTCAAGTTTAATTATTTGTGTGTAAAGTGATCAAATGTTTGTTTTACAGACAAGAAAAAGCCAAGAGACTCCAGCAAGGCGAGCTAACTAGACTGTCGGGATCCACAGGTGGTCCAATGACACCTTCCAAGTTTTTGGAGCGATCAAATTCTGTCCTGGAGATTACTGTTGCTGACCCTTCGTCTGTAACTTACCAAGACAAACTGGATGTCCTGGCAGAGCTGTATTCCTGCTGTCTAAAAGGTTTTAATGACTATTGAAATGTCGATATTTCTTCAGTGCACTTTAGATTTTAGAAAGATATAGTTAATTCCATTCAATAAAAAGGCCAGGTGTAACCTTGCCACACTTTCTAGAAATATATATAAATATGCACACAGGGGAAATAGCTGCACTGTTTGATTATATTTGTAGAAGTTTCATCTAATCACATTCAAATGTATATTGGGAAAACCCATCATCTCTTAGCACTTTTTTGAATAAGTCATGAAATTATGCATAGATACTGGTTTCTTTGAATATGCATTTTTTGATTGGGTAAAACTTTGGCCATGACTTAAGTAAAAAATGTATCCTTTGTAAGACTCCAGGTTTTGTTTAAGGGTACCACCCATACAATTTAATGGATAATATGCTTAGAAGTAATAGAAAAGAAACATAACCATAGATGTAACTTAATTATTTTGGAGTTTGGAGGTGAAGTAGGTGTTATACTGGAAAAGCACTAAGGAAGTGTATTCCGGATTGCTTTGGATTGAGCGAATAAATATTACAGTTTGGTTAGAACTAGTGGTTTCAATATACAGCTGTCTTCATAGGAGAGTATTTGTTGTTTTGAAACGGTTTATGCCTCGTAAAAAATTCAAAGGAATAGATAAAGGAAATAGTCCATTCTTAACAAATATGACTCTAAACATACTTGTTCAATATATGTGGTTGTGTGTTTCCTGTTGCAGAAAACCTGCTGCCTAACCTTTCTGTGGAGATTTACTTTCTTGTGCAGTTGATGACATCCCGCAGTGCTGACCTGGAGCTGGTCTCCAGTATAAGTGGGCTTGGTAAGACACTTTTAGTCTGTTATTTCCATGTCCTGTGGAGGTGCTTCTTGGAGAAGAGTATGGATTGAAAATTATTGCTATATTTGTGTAATATTGATATTTATTCATTTGGACATGCATTGTTTGGTCCTGGAATATTTTTGTTAAAAGTACATATTGTGATACTGCAGATATCAAATTTTAAAGAAGTATTTTCCAAATACCTACTTCATCTGATGATTTTGCACCAAAGACATTCTGTTTTGAATGAATTTTGATAAATGTGTACAACATAAACTAAGGTATGAAATGTCCATCAAACAAATATCCAATTAATGAATTGGCATTATAACACCACCAATTATTCATCATTTTCTTTCAGATGTAATTGACACCAATTTTTTCTGCTCTGTTCACAATGCTGTCTACTTTGCGGTCAGAGTATTGGAGTCACAAGTGAGGTAGGTGCCATTGTATCAGTTTTCATATCTTTCATGATTTACTTATGTTCCTTCCCAAACCACTTCTTTCTTCATAACGTAACATTTCATGTAAAGTGTGTTGTCTTTACACTAAAGCTAATCATCTATGTTTGTGCGGATTTTGCAAAAAAAAAACAATACAAAGTGCTAGTAAACGAGGGATCTTCCACTACATTGTATCACCTGAGATCAGTGTGCCCACATTCTTCACAGAATGCTATTGAACATACTTGCTTTGGTTCTGTATTTTTGAGAATTTTCTTTTTCCAGTTTTCTGAAATGTTTAGATCGTTGTACTCTGCGACTCTTGTCAGAAAACCAGCGAATAGCGAGCTTCTCTGCAACGCTAGTGGACTGGCTGGTCCTGGAACATGATCTAGGCCCAAAGGTAACATTCAATTACTAAGACGGATTTAGGTAGTAGAGGCAACACTGTTAGTTATTTTGGGGGGATATAAGATTCCTTTACTCTCCAGCTGGATACCTGAAAGTATGTAGGGTGATTGAGCATTAGAGAGGTAAGAGTATGAATCACAACTGCATCAGAGAAAGGTTTAGAAACCTACTCTAATGCTGCTGTAATTGTGATACTTTTATCTAATTACTCATGTGTATTAGATTTAAGGGATCAATGTTTTCTGAAGATATGCAATACATTGATTAGTAAAGACATAATTGATATGCAATTGAAGCTTATCACAGTGATTTTTATGGGTTATACATTTGAGATTAATGAAAGGCTCCAATCCTCAGGGAAATTTTGTGTTCATATTTTCCTGTTAAGAAATTGTCACCTGTTTTACCTGTACTGAATGTAAGGCTAATGAGAAAGAAATGTCATATGTTTTATCTGTACTGAATGTAAGGCTAATGTGACAGAATTGTCATCTGTTTTACCTAAAGATACAGCTATTAAATAATCTGTGTCATACATTTTTAGGTTTTTGCACATATTAAAGCTCATCATTTTCTAGACATTGCCATTTTTCTTGAATCAAAAGGAAAAAAGGACCATTGACCCTTTTATGGCTTTTGTTCTTCCTGATCACAGAATTTTTCAAAATAAGAACTTAAGGCAAATTAATGTTAAATATCATTTTATATCCATGACTTGTTTATCTACAGGCTCTTCCTGCATTTCCCAAGTCTCCAATAGGAGGTGTATCATTCCAAGCAGAAACGGACAACCGTAAAAACTTCCCTAATGATGGAAGCTTTCACCTCTTTAAGAAACAACGGTAAGTGTTCTTAGGACACCAAAACATGAAAAAAAAGTCAAGGGGTGTTTAGCACATACCATGTTTATTCAATATATTTTTATAGGTGAGCCAGTTAGTTTCCTCTCCCGTTCTTATAAAGAAATTACAAAATAAATATAGTTTTACAATCCATAGATAATTAAGATGCATGTAAATTGGTGCCATTCTCATTGTTAATCATCCGGAGCCTGCAGCTAAGATTTCTTTTTAATTCATTTTAATAAAGAGTAAAATTGTCTTAAATTTAAACTTGATTTCATTGTATGTCAAACATAACTCTGTTGTGTTATGAATAAAGTTGAAAAAACAGAATTTTTAGAAAATTTAGAAATGTTTGCCAGCCGTTATGCATTGGCAAGCCAGTTCATTTGTTATAGAAATAATCTGACTATCAACAGGGACACATTTTATGAGCTATTGAGAGAATGGGAAGCTAATCACATGAGTTCTGGATGGTCTGTAGCTGCCTTCCTTGGGGACAAGATACGAGCCCTCGTAAACTACAAAACTGAGCTTGCTAACCATGTCCACTTTGCACGACTGTTCCAGTCACAGCTTATTACGGTATAGAACTTGGCATAGTGTGGTAATCTAGTTTTACCATATCAGTTTTATCATTGATCGATTATTGAGTTAGCAGAGGAAATCTTTTATTAATTATTCTGAGCTTTTGATTCCTTTTGTTCAGCCAAATTGATGACAAATATCTATGCAAATGTTAACATAAATTGTGTTATAGATGATGTATATATGTTATGATGAAACAATTGACTTTGACATGTGTAAGGGATGAAATGAGTTATATTTTGACAGATGTGTAAGGGAGATGGAAGTTTGAAGCCTGATGGGGAAGATGAGGATGATGCTCTCCTTAATCAACTGAAAAGGACAAATCCAGAGAAATTTAAAAGGTTTAAGTTTTTTTGAAAACTCAGTGGTTCTGTTTTTAGACTGACTGATAATCATTGTGTTTCATCCATCACTATGTGCCGTCCATTGTCAACTTTTTGTATATGACACTGCTTCTTCAGTTCCACCACTGGAAATCAGTAAAAACATACAAGGAATGATCTTGAAGTGGTCCTGACCAAGGGCTTCTCAAGTTCCACTGTTGTGATTGATCAGAAAATTGGTGGGAATGTTAAGGAAGGGAAGCAGACAAAGTGTTCCTACAGCCAAAATGGCCATTTTGTAACATGACTGTGCAATCATAGTTTTCTCAACCAGCACATATTACAAACTTCTCATTTTCCCCAAGTTTGATTGATCTGAAAGTTGCTACAAATGATCATGAGATAGTGCTGACTAGGTTTTCTTGTTTTTTTGGTTTTTTTTTTGTTTTTTTTTGGTGCAGGTCCGAAATCGAATATGGTCACCATGTTGAAAACACTTTTAATTTAAAATTTCTCAAGGTCCACTGGTACCATTGAGCTGAAAATTGTTTTGGATTTTATGAAAAGGAAGACAGAGTGCTCTTTATTTTTTTTCCTTGTCAAAAGCTCAATATGATAGCCATGGTAGCCATTTTGTAACATGACATAATAATATTAGATAATGGTAATTGTTTATCAATAATCAACCAATATACTTTAGGACAGCTGTAACCGTTATACAAATTCAATGATATATATAATTTTTTTTAACATGGATATATTTACATCAGACAATGACAATATAAGTTCTATACCTTATCAGAATGTTTGAGTCAATGGCCAAATTTTATTACTTGTATATGAAACATTTAACAAATGCCACAACAGAATTTCTATGTATACACATGTAATTACATTAGACTGTTCTAAGTGCAATTAGATTAGAGTGACTAGGAATCAAGGTGAATGAGTCAGAGGTCAGGTTTGGACCACTTTCAGATAGAAGTATATTTGAGATTCTCAGTCTTGATGATTTGACATAGCAGGTTTTTACAAAAAGAATTAAGCTGAGAGATACTTGAACATAGTGGTCCTCGAAAAAGTTCTTTGTGCACGAAGTCAAATTGAGTTATTCTTTTGTCACGTTATGTTTTACTCTGTCAGCTATATATACATCGCTAAATGCTTAAGTGTTTATAAACTTAGTTAAATTTTTTCTGCTCTCAGTGGGGTAACTTTGTATGCTTTTTGTCTTTCAGCCATTTATCACCTTTCTGTCATTACAGGAGATGAAAGTAGATTTGATGTGTTTTGCTTTGAAAACATTTGATTTTGAATCATCGTTGTAAGGAAATGTAGGATGAAGTCCATCACAGTCCTGTTTTAGTTGATTGTTTTCTAATTCAATAGAATGTCGTTGATTTAGGATTAGAAATTGTAGATACAGTCTGACTTGAGATGTGTAACAAAGTTGATTTGTTTCCTCCAGGTTACAGGAGCGGTTCATCATGCCCTTGAGTGTTGGGGGACCCTGTCCTGCTCCATCCTTCCCAGGCTGTCAAGAGTTCTTCCGTGATTTCATTATGGCTGCCAGTAGTCCAGTTTTCAATCAACACCTCACAGATACATTCTCAGCCAAAGTCCTAGAGGTCAGATATACACTAAACCCCACACAGACAAATTGTTTGTCAATGTCACAGAGGTCCGACATTCATAAATCATCTCACAGACACATTCTTTGTCAATTTCATAGAAGTCTGATCTACAAAAACCTCACAGACCAGTTTTTTGGTGAGGTTATAGAGGCCAGTTATTCTTTGTTGAGGTTGTAGAAGCCATTTATACAAAAATCTTCTCTTAGGCTGATTCTTTGTCAAGGACATAGAGGTCAGTTTAACAGAAATCTTCCTGCAAACACTTTGTCTGTCAAGGTTATGAAAAAAAAAGATGTTAAAAAAATATTCTCAAAGACACATTTTTTGTCAAGGTCATTGAGGTCCAAGTCATCATATCAATTGTGTTCTGGTAAGAATTGAATCTTGTTAAGTTTTAAATCCCTGCAAATTAATAATACTTTTTACTTTTTTACATTTTTGCCTTGTACTTAATTAATTTCAGTGAAGTCATTTATTGCTTTATGGTATACATTATTGCTTTTTATTGCTTCCAGTTAAACAGTGTATCTATTGCATCTCAAGAGGAGACTCAGACTGATCAGGAGGGTTCTGAGGATGTAAGTAATATAGCAGTGTAAAGTATGAGACAGTTGTCTAACAGAATGATCACAAGGTCTCTTGTTTAACAGGCTGATCAGGAGGGCTCTGAGGATGTAAGTAATCTAGCAGTGTAAAGTATGTAACAGTTGTCTAACAGACTGATCAGGAGGGCTCTAAAGATGTATAGGTAATCTAACACATATCTTGAGGACAAATCTTAATTATCAGAGAAAGAAGTGGAGGAGAGCCGGGAAGCAGGGGGGTTCGAAAGGAAACCTAGAAATGTTAAAAAATTATAAACAAATGATAAGTATCTTCCATATGCAATATAAAGTTGTTGTATCAGTAACTCATTCCAAGATAGTGAAAGTCACAGTTGATATTTATTTTTGACCAATGTTGCTTTTAGGAAGAGAAGGACCAATTTGTGTCGTGTTTGATGACAGTCCGACTAGTGGCCAAATTCCTGGGATTTGTATATTTTCTACCATATCAGACTGGATCAAGAATCTCTGACGAGCTAAGTGCAATGTACATCTCTCTTCGAAGACATGTAAGTTGTAACATGCACCTGTTCAATGTTTTATACTGGAAACAAATTGTCGTACATGCAGTTGTAATGAGGTAAATTTCATTGATTGGTACATTCATTGATATACCTGTATTTATTCCTATACTAGAAAGAAATATTTGGTTTGCTTTCCTTGGAATACAATTAAATTCGAGGTTTGAACTAAATATGACTCTTCCATACCTAAGGAAAAAGACACTGCATACCCACAAACTTCAATTATTCAACTGTAGTGAATTCATGTCCTCCCGTCTTTACAGGACTGATAGTATTCCTTGTACATCAACCCAAAAGTCAAGTTTTCTTACATTCCATGCGCTCTTGCTAAAAACGAAGTCATAGATTTTTTTTAAAGAAGGAGTCCAATTTTTTGAAGTTACAAAGATGTTAAGACTCTATCTATGCACCAACAGTGTTGAACTGATATTAATCATTATGTTCTATCATTCAAAAGTCAATGCAAATTGACCTTACCAGGTGTCTGAAGACAGCATTTCTTCTTGGACGACTGACCTTGACTGTTCCATGGGTGGTGGAATTTTTGAGTATGATGGATCAGATAGCACCCAACCTGGAACCAATACAGTTAGCACTGTTTGTCTTACTCTACCTACACCAGTAAGTGTTATATCCAACCAGGAACTATACAGTTCACAATGTTAGTGTGATATCCTACCAGGAACTATATAGTTAGCAGTGTTTGTCTTACTCTACCTACACCAGTAAGTGTAAAATCCTACCAGAAACTATACAATTTACACTGTTAGTCATACTCTGTATATGCCAAAATAAATGCTGTGCGAGACCTGGAATCTATATAGTTAGCAGTGTTTGACCTGCTCTGTCTAAACCAATAAATGTTGTGACCCACCTAGAACATATACAGCTTCCACTGTTTGTCCTGCTCTGTCTGCATCAGTAAGTGTTGCACCCAACCTAAAACCTATAAAGTTAGCACTGTTTGTACTATTCTATCTACACCAATAAGTGTTGTACCAGACCTAGAACCTATATAGTTAGCACTTTTTGTCCTACTCTATCTACACCAGTGAATGTTGTACCAGACCTAGAATCTATATAGTTAGCACTGTTTGTACTATTCTATCTACACCAATAAGTGTTGTACCAGACCTAGAACCTATATTGTTAGCAATGTCTGTACTATTCTATCTACACCAATGAGTGTTGTACTAGACCTGGAACCTATATAGTTAGCACTGTTTGTACTGTTCTATCTACACCAATGAGTGTTGTACTAGACCTGGAACCTATATAGTTAGCACTGTTTGTACTGTTCTATCTACACCAATGAGTGTTGTACTAGACCTGGAACCTATATAGTTAGCACTGTTTGTACTATTCTATCTACTCTGATCAGTTCCCACCCCGCAACTTTGAGTCAGATATTGTGTGTTGGCCCTGTGGATTTACTACAGTATTTCATTCATTTCTTTCACAGGCAGACCTGGGATTATAAAGACTTTTCCAATTCCTGTTATGCAAATCTGTTAGTGGTAACCACTATCAGCTGGCTGTTTGAGGTTTGTAATGTTTAGTCCCATTGCGGTAATGTTATGAAAGGCAGGCCAAGACGGGCTTAAAAGGGATAACATATCCATGTGGCTAAGCTGGTCTTTATCCACTTCCTGCATTCAAATTGACATCAACTATCATTACATGGATATAATTCTTGAAATTTTTTTTAAATGTGTTCATAGCGATAGGCTACCATCCATTAAGACATGTGCTAGGGTACCACGATCTGGCCCTGCCACATGGTTTATCACTTGGAATGAGGTAGATATATAAGTATCGGTTCTTTTAGTATATATAGGGTCCTGTATGTCTCCTTTTATACAGGATGTATGAAACAAAGTTGGTTTTTTCATCATTTTAACAGAAACCATTCACTATTTGAAATCATCAATGGAATGATTGATGATATCATTAGTGAATATTTTGCTGATATAACTCAAGATATTGTTTGTATAGGCTGTTGATTTCATTTACAGAATGCTGTGATACCAGAAGGATTTTATTTCTCTGAGATCCCTGATGACATTGCCTGTATGAGTTCCTTACCAGATCAACAGAAAGGCGTTTCCTTGGTAACTATTAGTAAAATTTTGTATAATTCTATTAATCACTGGGCAATATTTACTTCTATTCCAATTATCCATTGAGTAATGTGTTTCATTTTATGTGGAATTGTTGGCGAATTATCAGGATTAAGATGTCAATTTTCATTTCAGGATAAAATGGGATTTGTGGACCAGAAGTTATATTACACCTGTTGCCCATATATGGGTATGTATTATTACAGCCTGAATTTTATTACACCATACAAGTATGTATTATGACAGTCTAAACTCTGTTACACTTTATGGGTTTATATTGTGACAGTCTAAACTATATCACACCTTATGGGTATGTATTTTGACTGTCTTAACTTTATCACACTTTATGGGTATGTATTTTGACAGTCTTAACTCTATCACACCTTATGGGTATGTATTGTGACAGTCTTAACCTTATGGGTACGTATTTTAACAGTCTTAACTCTATCACACCTTATGGGTATGTATTGTGACAGTCTTAACCTTATGGGTACATATTTTAACAGTGACAGTCTTAACTCTGTTCCACTTAATGGGTTTGTATTTGGAAAGTTTTAATTCTGGCGAATTTTGAAAAAGTTTTCTGTGTTGCAGGAAAGATTTGAATCCTATCACTTTTGTACTACAGGAGAGATTCAGACCTTGACTGTTCTTTATTACAGGAGAGATACGAACCCTACTTGTCGAGTTTTCTGTGGGTAGCAGCAGTAAAAATTCAACGATTAGAAAGATCACACCCATATCTGCCGATGACCGCTCTCAGCCATCCCTAACAGAGAGACAAACACAGGTATGTATAGACACATATTGATAAACATTGAAAGTAATTTGTGTAGGTAGATTGTCATCACTTTGTGCATCCATGTGGGAGTATGTACATCCATGATAACCTTGTGTATAAGATATACCATGATTCTCTGAACAGTTTTAGGTGATATTTACATCATAAAATGACACCACCAATGTCTAAAGCTGATCAAATTTTGTTGGTCATAGTTAAAGGTCAAAGGTCACCCTTGACCATTTTGCAAATAAGACCTGTGTGTAAAAATTTGGGGTGCGAGAGGTATATCTTTGTGTCTGCTCACTTTGTTTTCTTTTTGTTGGCTTTGAAGGCTAGTAATGAAATGTGTAATAAATCCCAGGTGATCGTTAGATTTGATCAGTGTTTCAATTTCTGATTTGAATTGTCTGTACTTTCAAAGTATATAAGAAATGTAACTTGTTATTCTCGTTTCATTTGAAATTTTGTGGATTTTCACTTTGCAAAATGAACAAAAGGTTAGATATTTTTTGTTTATTTATTCAATAAAAATCTTGTACAATATGATAGGCTAAGTGACTATATACAGTTTCCTGTCTATAAACTGTCATCGAGATTCTAGTTTTCCTCTCTGTATGTCAGTATATATATATATACAGGTAACACCAAAGTTTGTTAGCACTTTAGTGGCTTCATTCCTTATAGGATTTTGATCAAACCTCTAACTTTTTCCAGAAATGACAGTTATGTCACAGACAAGTTAAAATCTCAGGGTTGTTGGGTCAAGGTTACTTATTATTTTTAGAGAAAACAATGTTCAAGAACCAACACATTATTGCAGCTAGGTTCCTGAATGGATACTAGAGGTATTCTGTAGAGCTCCTTACAATGTGTTCAACAAAAAAAAAGTTCGTGGATGTTGAGAATCCTTTATTTTCGCTTTATTATTTGTAGAAAATCATTGTCAGTGGTCAAGCAGCTCCATTCCTTGCAGGGTTTTCATCAAACTTTTCTGTCTACACAATTAGAACACAATTATACAGCACCAATATATCTATAAAAAGTTCGGGCTTCAGGGCTGTTAGGTCAAGGTCACCATTACTACTTTAAGGAAATGGTTGGAATTCTAATGGCTTCATTCCTTAAAGATTTAAATCAATCCTCACACTTCAGAACAATCATATCTTGTATAAGTTAAAGTTTCGTGGTTGTTGGGTCAAGGTCACTTACTATTAGAAAATTATTGTCAGGGCTGTAGGGGCTTCATTCTTTGAAGAATTTTCATCCAACATAAACCTTAGTAAAATTTAGTATTTTATAAGGGCCAGAATGGGACATGTATTGCTTTATCCTTGGTTTTAGTCAAAAGTCATTCATCTTGTCAGGTTGGAAAAGCTACTAAGGAGTCAGATATATGTATCGTATCAGAGCTTCTGTTTGTTAACTCTTATTGTCATGGTTATTATTAATTGTAACAGCTCCACCTTGAGGAGAACTTTTTCCACAACCATCCAGCATCATTGAGAAGGACAGTGGACTTTGTGGCTGACAGAACAGCCTCTAACTACATAAAAAGGTTTCGGTCAACTCTACTGTCCACCTCCATCAAAAGGGGTAAAACTCGGCTGTCTGATCACATTGAAACCCAGGCAAACTCGTCTCCAACTGCCAAGGCCAAAGTAAGTAATTCACTGAAACTATATACCTGGAAATATACTACTTCCACACGGAAACAATCATCCGATATCAAAGTGGTGAAGAACTAGATGTAAATTGATTGTAAATGTTTTTGTTAATATGAAGGTAAAAGTTGCATTAATTAGTCTGTATTATATGATTATGTAAATAACGATTTTGGCTTTGTTATTGATGAATGAAAATTCTTAAATAACTGTTAGAAGCTTGCTTTAAGAGTGCAAGTTTACAAGAAACTGCCCCCTACCCATGTAGATGTGAAATAGTCCCTAGGGGTTTCAGAGATGTTGAAACATTTATCACTTTCTTTTCAGGACAAATTACAATCCATATTACTGAAGATTTCCCAAGATTGTGTGCAGCAAGTGAAGGCCATATCTGCCATAGAAGTTGAAAGGTTTGTTATAAGAATATTGGACTGAAAAACATGACATCTGAGATAATGATTGTAAATATTGTATAAAAACATTGTGTTAAGTTTAACAGTTTTTACCCTACCATCATCAGATGGTGGGCTATTTAAATCACTCTGCACCATGGACTGTGGTCTGTCCATCCATTAACAAGTTTTGTTATTGCTATTTCATGAGAAGTACTAGATGGATCTTTCTAAAACTGTATATGTAGGTTCCCTTTGGTCCCTGGTTGTGCCCATGTAATTTTAGGACTATTCAGAAAAAACACTGGCTGAAAGTGGCCATCTTTGATTTTGACTTTGAAAGATTGTTACTGATATTTCTTGAAAACTACTGTAAATATCTTTCTCAAATTTCATGTATAGGTTCCTTTAGGTCCCTGGTTGTGCCTGTTTGAATTTGGGACTGATCAGAAAAACAAAAGGACCAACAGGCAGCCATCTTTGATTTTGCTTAGAAAAGATTGTTATTGCTATTTCTTAAGAAGTACTGAACAGATCTCTCAAATTTCATATATATGTTCCCTTTGATCTTTCCTCGTGCTCATTTGATTTTTGGACTGATCAGATGAAACAAAATGGCTTCTAGACAGGTAAGATTATCATAGCTATTTCTGCAAAGGAATGTTAAAATGTCTTATCATTAAGAGCAAAAACAGAGAGGAGAAAAGAAGGGAAAAGGTCCAAATTTCAAAGAGCATATAAGATCAAACAATGGTGGATGCCAAGATCCCTCTGGGATCTCTTGTAATGAAAAGTTTATTTAATTGCCATTTTAACAGCAACTTTATATAGGAATACTAATTCTTGGAAAATAACTATTTTTACCAAGATTTTTTTATAGTTGGTATAAGATAAAAGGTATTTGTCAGTATATAAACTGTATGTAGGTATCATTAAAAGACAATATTGACTAGGACTACTTAGACAATTCCTGTTTTTCCTTCAGTTATTGTGAGAAAAAGATAGATGCTGCCCTCACGTTACTTCTACCAGATGATCAGTCCCGTGCTGTCGTCAACACTGCCACAAAGATCTGTCTCCGTATCACCATGGAAAAGGTCCAGCTGTGGATGACAAAACACATCACCACAGGTGAACATTCCCTCTGTTTTTGATTTTCACTAAATGGTTGGAAAATTTCAAAACAGAATTTTTACAATTATTGTATTAAATTTATGACAGTAAGATTTCTGCTCCTGTGTAAATTATGATGTAAGGTTGAATATTTTACAACTGTGTACCTAAGTAAACTGTATTGTATTAAGTATTCCACAGCTGTGTATCAGAATGAACTTTCCTGTATTAAGTATTTCACAGCTGTGTATATTCCACAGCTATGTACCAAAGTGAGCTACAGACAGAATTGGAGCGGATCCTCAAAGTCTGCCTGTTGACACAACAGAAGCAGAACGAGGTTACGGAGACTGGTCACCCTGGCAATACTGTAGTCCTAGAAACAGAGGGATGTATGGATGTTTTGGCTAAGGAACATGATGAGAGTGTCCCAAGTCCTTCTGATGTTCTTATAGAAATAAAGGTGAGATATACAGCTACAATATGGGGGTTACCGTCATAATAAAGACGTTATGTGATAATTCTTGTATTACTTACACTGTTGATTGCTTTATTGCCTATTAACAACCAGGGTGATTTTGTGGCAAGGTTTTCTGCCATATCAGTTTCCTTCATTACTGAACATCATATATAAGGCCTACACCATGCTAGACAGAGCAGTAGGGATATTAAGTGTCCCAAGGACACAACTAAGGGAAAAAATCCCTGTCATGATCAGAGAAGTGAAAATTGCCCTGGTCAACTGACATACCTGAGATCTTGACTGATTTTCCATAAGTCTGACAGATAAAGATACATCTCTACTCTACATACACCCACTGAGTACTTTTCAGTATTTATCCTGAATGATAACCATTTCATTTAAGGGAATGAAACTTCCAAAAATGTTAGGACATCTTACAGTGAAAGAGCCTTTCAAGAGTTCAGGCCTCTGAGAATTTTATGTTGAGATTAATTTTTTACAAAGAATACCAGCTACCTGAAAACAACATTGTCAATCTGCTCATGTTGTTGGATAAACAAGATTTGTTGATGATTCAAAAAATCTTATAATTCAAATTTGAATTTTAAAAAAAAGATGTAAGAGCGCTGTTTTGATAAATAAACAAATAGTTCCTATTGAGTGTTAGTTATTCCATTCATAGCACATTGCAGTAATGTTACTGTAAATCACTTCGATTTTGTGAGAGATCATTCCTCTAATTCACCTATTCCCAAAATAAGTGGATTCTAGAGGCTGATTTCATCCTGCAATAAGTCAGTTTTGGGGAATAAACCCACCCAGGTCTTTTTGCTTTTCAATAGAATTGTTAACAGGTACTTTGGTTGAAATAAGATATTACGATTCACTGTAGGATGAATATAGTAACAAACAATATATATCAACAGTTACAATAAGGAATGGAGGATATTGGTGTTTATCTAATTGCCTTTATATTAATGATCTCTGTAAGTCACTTAGATTTCATGAGCTTACATCTTCAGACATATTTGCAAATACATAATGTACGTGATTTCAGGAATGGTGGTCCAGAAATTACTAAAATTTGTGAATGATGGCCTATTTGATGTAACGACTCCGATGTTTGTAACCGAATCAGCATGGATGTCCTCAAGAATTATTTTCGTACAAACAATCGCAAGGGATTTGATTTCACTGACCTCATTGCATATTAACACGAAAATAAATCCCATGCGAAATTAAGTTATTTACAGATTTTCAGATTTCCAGATGTTAACTTGAGTAAGGGATGACCACTATACGTGAAATTTATTGTAATTAGGATTAAAATTGATACAATGCTATTTTACTAGGAGACCTTGTGAGGGATCGTGTTTGGGGTCAAATGGTTAACCACAAAATTGCTTCAAAAATGCCAATTATTGCAAGGCAGGGTATATGTGTTGCTTTCAACACTGACTATAAGCTTGTTAGATTATTCATTTCAACAGTTTGTTTCTCTCACAGCAAGTAGTAAGAGACGTTGCCTTTGGACATGTGATGCCTGGGGAGGAAAAAATAAATTCTGTGATATCCCAAGTACAAGCTGTGATGAAGAAGAGACAGGTGAGTAGACACAGCATACCAACACTGGGTCTGTTATGTACTATAGGAGATGCTGTTGTAGGTCCAATCCTATGTTTATCTTATGTCACAGCCAGTTGTCTGTCCATTTGTCTGTACACAGTTTGGCATTATCACTACTACTAATCCTAAGTGGAGGATGATAGACAGAATTTTCACCTGTGAGTAATGTTGATAGACAGGGCATCCACATGTGAGTAGGGTTTATAGAGACACAGGACATCCACATTGAGTAAGGTTGAAAGAGAGACAGGACCTCCACATTGAGTAAGGTTGATAGACTGATAGGACATCCACATGTGAGTAAGGTTGATAGAGAGACAAGACATCCACATTGAGTAAGGTTGATAGAGAGACAGGACATCCACATTGAGTAAGGTTGATAGAGAGACAGGATCTCCACATTGAGTAAGGTTGATAGAGTGATAGAATCTCCAAATTGAGTAAGGTTGATAGAGAGATAGGACATCCACATTGAGTAAGGTTGATAGAGAGATAGGACATCCACATTGAGTAAGGTTGATAGAGAGATGGGACATCCACATTGAGTAAGGTTGATAGAGAGATAGGACATCCACATTGAGTAAGGTTGATAGAGAGATAGAATCTCCAAATTGAGTAAGGTTGATAGAGAGACAGGACATCCACATTGAGTAAGGTTGATAGAGAGATAGGACATCCACATTGAGTAAGGTTGATAGAGAGATAGGACATCCACATGTGAGTAAGGTTGATAGAGAGACAGGATCTCCAAATTGAGTAAGGTTGATAGAGAGACAGGATCTCCACATTGAGTAAGGTTGATAGAGAGACAGGACATCCACATGTGAGTAAGGTTGATAGAGAGACAGGACATCCACATTGAGTAAGGTTGATAGAGAGACAGGACATCCACATTGAGTAAGGTAGATAGAGAGACGGGACATCCATATTGAGTAAGGTTGATAGAGAGACAGGACATCCACATTGAGTAAGGATGATAGAGAGATAGGACATCCACATTGAGTAAGGTTGATAGAGAGACAGGATCTCCACATGTGAGTAAGGTTGATAGAGTGATAGAATCTCCAAATTGAGTAAGGTTGATAGAGAGACGGGACATCCACATTGAGTAAGGTTGATAGAGAGACAGGACATCCACATGTGAGTAAGGTTGATAGAGAGACAGGATCTCCACATGTGAGTAAGGTTGATAGAGAGACAGGATCTCCACGTTGAGTAAGGATGATAGAGAGATAGGACATCCACATTGAGTAAGGTTGATAAAGAGACAGGACATCCACATATGAGTAAGGTTGATAGAGAGACAGGATCTCCACATGTGAGTAAGGTTGATAGAGAGATAGGACATCCACATTGAGTAAGGTTTGTAGAGAGACAGGATCTCCACATGTGAGTAAGGTTGATAGAGAGACAGGATCTCCACATTGAGTAAGGTTGATAGAGAGACGGGACATCCACATTGAGTAAGGTTGATAGAGAGACAGGACATCCACATGTGAGTAAGGTTGATAGAGAGACAGGATCTCCACATGTGAGTAAGGTTGATAGAGAGACAGGATCTCCACGTTGAGTAAGGTTGATAGAGAAACAGTATCTCCACATTGAGTAAGGTTGATAAAGAGACAGGACATCCACATATGAGTAAGGTTGATAGAGAGACAGGATCTCCACATTGAGTAAGGTTGATAGAGAGACAGGACATCCACATTGAGTAAGGTTGATAAAAGAGACAGGACATCCACATGTGAGTAAGGTTGATAGAGAGACAGGACCTCCATATGTGAGTAAGGTTGATAAAGAGACAGGATCTCCACATGTGAGTAAGGTTGATAGAGAGATAGGACATCCACATTGAGTAAGGTTGATACAGAGACAGGATCTCCACATTGAGTAAGGTTGATAGAGAGATAGGACATCCAGATTGAGTAAGGTTGATAGAGAGACAGGACCTCCATATGTGAGTAAGGTTGATAAAGAGACAGGATCTCCACATGTGAGTAAGGTTGATAGAGAGACAGGACATCCACATTGAGTAAGGTTGATACAGAGACAGGACATCCACATTGAGTAAGGTTGATAGAGAGATAGGATTTCCAGACCACCTGTGAGTAAGGTTGATAGAGAGACAGGACATCCACATTGAGTAAGGTTGATAGAGAGACAGGACATCCACATTGAGTAAGGTTGATAGAGAGATGGGATTTCCAGGATGATTTGACTAGCAGTAATATAAATGAAGCATTGTTTTACAGTTCGTGATACAGATAAAGAATTTTGTCATGGATGAGATGTAAAAGATCTCAGTAGACTACTTTTTGTTACAGGATGTTCTTCATGGCGTGTATGTTGCTTATGGACAACTGGTCATGGACCTGTGTCAGGCCTTAGGTAAGACTTATATATGAAGTTAGGGGTGATGACAGCTCTGGAGAGATGAGACCTGTGTCAGGCCTTAGGTAAGAGTTTGGAGTGATGACAGGTTCTGGAGAGATGAGACCTGTATCAGGCCTTAGGTTAGATCTTGGATATTAAGTTAGGGGTGATGACAGGTTCTGGAAAGATGAGACCCATGTCAGGCCTTAGGTAAGAGTTATTCTGGAGAAATGAAACAACTATAGATATTCTATTTATGTTTAATGGAAATTAAGAATCATGATCTTAACATAAAAAAGCCATCAGTTTAAATGTACCAGACTGTTGATCTTTTTACCATGTCTGATTAATGGTTCTATTAGTTGGTTGATATGACATTTCAGTGCAGCGTTGTCCAGACCAGTGGTCAAACAACAAGCTGGAAGTGTTCCATATCCTGTGGAGAACAGATCTAGAGAAGTACACACCACTGCAAGGTTTTCTCTGTCCGCGAGTCGTTTTCCAGATGAACAGATGCAATAATCCACAGGTATGGAAGGACTATGTCATCAGTTCTCTCACTAGATAAATACAACCACTTAATTGGATTGTGATATATAGAAATTCAATGTTTTATCTTGAATATTTAAAGAATAGCACAGAGTTTATATATTGTTTTCGCCTTGATAAGGCTAAGAAATTGTGACAAAGGGAGTTTAACAAAATGTAAATTATGGATGCAGAATTTTGTTTATAAAGTCAGTAAGTGAAAAACATCCCTATCCTTTGCTGGTCATTTGTTAAATTTTTGCAATGCTTACCTGTGACTTTTACAAAATTTTACATAATGATATGCTATGATGTGCAGGAGAATTAAAAAAAGCCTCCATTAAACACTGTTACTAAAAAGAGAAGTTGTAACTCTGTTTCCTTGTCTGTTGCAGTTGACATGGACAGTATACAGCCATGTGTTGATTCATTTATTACATCAGGGCCTGCTGTCTTGTGAACAGCTTTGTAAGATGTGTCGGAATACTTTGCAGGCCATACAGGTAAATTTTGGTTAGAAGTCCTTTCATAGACACTTTTTATCTAAATAGTCGGGTACAGAAGGGTATTATTCTAGGTTCAACATCATCTCCTTGATCTAGATAAATAGCCATCAATCTATCTGTATAGAGCATGTTGGCACAATTTCGCAAAAACCATGTAGTGGAATTTTTGAAGATTTGACCACATCTCATAGGTGGAGGAAATATAGAGGCATTTAGAGTCAAAGGTTGAGGAAAAACCATTTTGTAACATTTACACTTTATTCTGTGCAATATATTACATATGTGTATTGCACAAAAATACAAAGTTTGTAGTTCACTGGAGACAAAATCTCAGGGTAACCTATTCCACGGCTTAAGGCGCACCAAAATTGTAAATTATATGGTCCACAACCCCCAGAGACCTGAGGGGCAGAGCCAAAATGTTCAATTGATTGAAACTTCAAAAATCTTCTTCTGAAATCCCAGGTATGGTAGAATCAGGTACTCTTCATGGATGGAAAGACCTTCAGATGCTTTACCAAAATTGTAAATTTCATGACCCCAGGGTCTCACATTTCCTACTGAGGAGGGTTAAAATCTACTATAGCTTATATAGGAAAATCACATTTTTTAACATATTTGTTTATTTTCTATTGGAAATAGTTTCATCCTGGATGGAATTATTAGTTTAAGATGACAGTTTAATGAGATGCACAAATTGATTTGGCTGACCCCCAGAGGCTGTGTGGCGGGCCAAAATTAAGTCAAATTGACCGAAATTTCAAATATCTTCTTCTCAAATCCCAGGTATGGTAGAATCAAGTATTCTTCATGGTTGGAAAGGCTTTTAGATGCTTTACTAAAAGTGTAAATTTCATGACCCCAGGGTCTCGCATTTCCCCAGGGGAGGGGGTACAGTTTAATATATTTTTATATGGGAAAATTACATTTTTGAGCATAATTTGTTTACATTCTTTCAGAAATAGTTCAAACTTGGTTAAAATTTATTTTTTATTAGTATAAGCTGACAGTTTGATAAGATGCACATATTGACCTTGACTGATCTCAGTGGCTGATAGGCAGGGTCAAAAGTGGGTCAAATTGACAGAAATTTCAAAGATGTTCTACTGTTCCTGGATAGAAGATTTTATAAAGAAAAAGTCAAATCTTGAGTGAATTTTCTTTTAATTCAAACTTGGTTAGAAGCCTTAGCTTGGGACACCAGTAAACGCATAAACAATTTACGTTTGTATTATGTATACAAGAAAGTTGAAGTTATATCACTTTTTTTAACAAAATCATTTCTATGTCATGTTACAAGAACGATTGTGACTCAGGTGACAGTTAAAGCCCCTTGGCCTCTTGTCTAAATATTTGATGCTAAATATTTGCGATTTAAATGCTATCATGTCCAATTAGTTGAGTTATATCCATGTATTACTACCTGATATGGCAAAAAACATACCAAATAACAACCTTAAGCTCAACCTTTTCATGGGAAACAAATTTGTGGTGAATCTGGTGTAAAGTATATCATTATGTTGTGTTGCAGGATGATGTGTCACATCTTGGCTGGTGTATATGTGAGGTGGTAGATCACATCCGTCTCCAAGGACTCTGTGTGTCCCATTTTATAGATATATTGGATTGGTTGTTCCAGCTAGCCAGCATCAATTCTTCACTAGCCAAGCGCATCACAAGAACAATAAACCAGGCACGTCCAGAGGAAGTTGTATACCAAAAACTTCCTGATATACCACTGGAGTGTCTAGGACGATCTGTAGCCTCTTGCACAGATTTAGATTTGCCCATAGAGTGTCAGAAACAGCTTATAGTCCAGTCAACACCAAGTGTACCTTCAAATTTTTCAGGCCAGCCAATAACTCGCAGTGATTTCAGTATACCTTCAGAGAGACCAGATTGTCCAGACCAGACAATAGCTCACAGAGATTTAAGTGTACCTTCAGAAAGACCAGATTGTCTGGGTAAGCCAATAGCCCACAGAGATTTAAGTGTACCTTCAGAGAGACCAGATTGTCTGGGTCAGCCAATAGCCCACAGAGATTTAATTGTAACTTCAGAGTGTCAAGAATTGCTTGTTGTCCACCTAGATCCATTTATAGCAGAGCCTATATCCCACACAGATACAAAAATTCTTTGCACATTGTATGGAGAAACTTTTCAACAGCCTGCTGCCAACATTGTTCAGAAAAATGATATAAATCAAAACGATGCAAATGAGCTAAACATTACTAATAGGACAGAAGAAATCAACCTAGCTGATCATTACAGCTGCACAGATAGCTCAGTAAGTTGAGAGTTGACAAGGGATAATTAGGACAGTTCATTCTCTCAACTAGCTGCCTTAAAACTTTTTACGCACTTGAAAGATCAGATGTTCAGAATAATCTGTAAGCAGTATGGTTTGATTAGTTTTACCTCTACTTGAAACCAGCATAGATAACACCAACAATCTAATGCCATGCTTCAATCTCCAGCACCCATGTTAACTTCCTGTCACATGAGCAGAAGCAGAAAAAATTGATCTCCCAACACTTCGGATTTACAAAAAATATTACACCTAAGTATTGTGTATATATTAGAATAAAAATTAAGCCTGATTAATCTTTGACCTGTTCACTTTTGAATTGGCAAAAATTGTTTTGAGATTATATAACAAAATCATACCTGGGAGTAAACTTCTACAGTGTCCGATGTACTGTAGAGTATACATTCAGGAATATATCATATTATTGTAAAATAAGAATGTTGGGATTGTGTAATATATTACATTAAACCAGCTCTAAATTGGTTCTTTGTTATTGTGACTATGTATTAAATGCACAAATAAGACATCATTTGAAATAATTACTTGTACAGTCCTGTGATATCCACTAAAGCTTTTATACATGAGATTATTTCATTGGTTTTATCCAAAAAAAACCTAGAAACATTTCATGTAATATGGTAAATACAGTGCTTTATTCAGGCAGAATCAACTGCTAATTTGTTTTGATTTAAACAATAATTATCAAAGATGCAAATCAGTTGGAGGCTATAACTCAAGCCCTTACAGGTGGAAAGTTTGTAAAGAAAAGTGTGATGTGAAATTTTTGTGATTGTTCCTGTGTATAGAAAATCTTTTTTTTTTTTTTTTGATAATGAGTGATTATTAAGGCACTACAAACACTTGTTTAAGTATCTTAGAGGTCAGGGCAGAATAGTAACTAAAGTCTGATATCACTGTGTCAGACAAAAGTATAATACAAAGTCAGTGATCATGTGTATCAAGGCAGTCATACAAACTCCAGTGTTATCTGTGTGACAGAGAAAAGTATATACAAAATCAGGGATCATATGTATCAAGGCAGTCATACAAACTCCAGTGTTATCTGTGTGACAGAAAAGTATATACAAAGTCAGGGATCTTAATGTTGTGGAATTGTGAGGGTTTGTGATAAGACTGATCAAATATATGTGTATTATAGAGACTCTACAGAAAATTCATTACCAGGTAATACTGTCTTCTGATATTAAATATGGCTGTGGTGTTACGTATTATTGTTGTCATCAATTGTTTAATCAATGAAACCTTGAATAAACACATTCATTATATACATTGCACTGTCATTTATATATATATATACATTAGGGATATAAAGAAAGGGAAAGAGGTACATTTTGAAAAGACATGAAAATCAAAAATGAATAGACAGTTATAAACATAAACAAAGTTATCTTCCATTGCCATGAAGTTATGAAAGTCAACCCATTATTATATTATCCTTCATCTGGCATCATGTGTTGTGCATCTGTAAACAATTTAACACTTTTCGACTTTTCTCAAAAACCCCTGATCCAATTTCAATAAAATTTTGCAGAAACCTTCCCCAGCCAAAATTTTGAATTATACAGTCCCCACCCCCGAGGATCCTGAGGGGCGGGGCCAAATTGTGAATTTCATGGCCCCAGGGTCTCGCATATCCCTGTGGGGAGGGGTAAAATTTACTGTAGTTTATATAGGAAAACTAGATTTTTGAGCATAATTTGTTTAATTTCCATTGGAAATATTCAAACTTGTTAGAATTATGATTGAAGGATGACAGCTTGATGGTATGTCCATTTTGATCCTGGCTGACCCCTCCCAGGGACTGAAGGGCAGTGCCAAAAGGGGTCAAATTGACTTAAATTTCAAAAATCTTCTTCTCAAGACCTAGATATGGTAGAAACAAATACTCTTTTTGTGAATGGATGCATCTTGAGGTGCTTTGCCAAAATTGTGAATTTCATTACCCCAGAGTCTCGCATTTCCCTGTGGGGAGGAATATATTTTTAGACTGATTTTCATAGAAAAATTGTATTTTTGTGCATAACATTGGTTATTTCCCACAGGAAATAACTTCATAAGAAATATCAGTATAGGATGACAGTTTTGATGGAATGCATGTATTGACACTGTCTATATTCAGTGTCACAATTTCTGTTTCATGACATTTTATGACTATCCTTTAACCTTTATATTCAATATTGCTTATCACAGGTGACTGTCAAGGCTGCTAGGCCTCTTGTTTTTTCAATTCTAATTGGGGTTACATATTTAGACAATATCTAGTATACAATATGGCCTTGAATCAAATATATATACAAGTATGACACAAGTTGAGATAACAGTATAACAATGAAGTAACTATAGTATCTGTTGCACTACAATTGCATTCAGATCAGTTTCTCAGAAATTGTACTTACAACAACCAAACATGGTATAGGAAAGAGTGCTGCTGCTGCAGTAGTAGAATGATGGTAAGGCAACAGGATCTATACTAGTGAGTAGAGCATGATCCCTAAATGGCTGTAATGAAATTCTAAACCATGACATTCAACATCGCAGCCATCTCAAGATCTTGTTACTGCTGCATTTCCTGGATGGAAAACCATACTGGGACAGGAATCCACTTGTGTTTTGAGTCTGGTATGAACTAAATAAAATTAGGGCCCATGCTACATTCAAAATGGCCACCATTCCGAATGGAAAATCACGAGACCATACTTCCATTAATGGGTATAGATCCACAGATGGTCCGCAATAAAATTTAGACCTTTGTTTTGAAGGCAAGAAGGGTTGTCATCTTAAAAATCAAGTTATCACTACTGCTAAAGTGGGATAACTGAAACAAAATGACTGACAGGTGGCCATCTTGGATTTTTACAGTGGGTTATCACTATTTTTTGAGAAGTACTGGAGGAATATTTCTCAAACTATGTCTATGTTCCCCATAGTCCCTAGTTGTATCCATTGAATATGACTGATTAGTGAAACATAGGTTGTTGTTTTTTAGGTCATCTGACCTGCAGGGCCCAGAGTACTGGCATTTGTGTATTGCGTGTATAAATAATATGATTTCAAGTTTGCAGAAAATGTCTGTACCAACCAATGTCTCCCTGTAAGCTGTAGTGTAGCTGATCAATTTATTTTAGGCATATTTTGCTTCTTTCATACATAGGACTTTATAGGCAGATGACACTTAGCCTGTGGGCCTCTTGTTCTTGGCAACTTCTTGCTAAGTACTTGGAGGATATTTTTCAAACTTGTTTTAAAGGTTCCCCTTTGTTCCTAGTTGTGCCCTTTTGATATTGGGACTGATCAGAAAAATGTAATCAGTACTGAATGGATCATTATTGGATTTCATACTAGGTTCCTCTTGGTCCATTGTCCCAACATAATTTTGTCGAGAGCATAACACAATAACTATAAGGGGTATGCACATCAGAATTCATAGGTAGATAGATTTTAACGAGGAGAAGTATTGTGCAGAAAAATCATCTCTCTCTTTGGTATCAGTAGGAGTTATTGCCCTTTGCTATTTTTCATACTTAAATTTTGTCAGGGCATTACACTAAAATTATAAGACGTATCGACATGAAAATTCACAGGTAGATAGATCTCAACGAGAAGGACAGTGCACAAAAACCAGAAGTCTCTAGCATAAATTAGGAGTTCAGTGCATTGTTATTTTTATGCTTTCGGAAAGGGCGTTTCGTCGCCGCTTTGTCCATCCGTCTGTCTGTCCGCATAATTTGGAACTAGCGTGTTTATTCGGTTCTACCGATTCTCTTTTTAATTTTAGGACTATTGACTGACATGCGTCCTACTTTGAATTTCACTATGATAGTTTGTTATTGTTATTTCTCGAGGAGTACGGGATGTGTCCTTCCCTAATGTTATCCTTGGTCCCTACTTTTACTGTTCTTAATTTTGGACTGATCAGAAAAACAAAATGACCATTATAGATTTGACAGTGAATTTTAAAAGTTCATATGATTAAGAGTAAAAACAGAAGGGAAGATAAAAGACGTCAACGATCAAATAATGGTGGGTGCCATGATTTCCATGGGCCTTGATCAGGATTGACAAGATCTTCAAATGTGTTCTAATTGAGATGAAATAATTTTGCTATTTGAAAATTTTTAGGGAAAATATTGAGATTTTTTCCCCTAATTTTTGGTCATTTTCATTGACGTAAAGAAATATTGGGTTGTCCTTTCTCTTCAAAAATGTTAGTGTTAATTATTTTGACCAAATCTTACTTCAAATATCCTTAAGCGAATGGGAAACAATTTTATGTAAATCAAGGGTTTGCAGAGGGTCAGGACCCAATATCGGAAATAGAGGTTTCAAATCATTTTGTCGAAATCTAGCTTGGAGATTTAAAACTACTGAACTTTTGGGTGGAAGTGCAACAAAATAATTGTGATAAAAATGCTTTAAGTGACAGTTGAACCATCAAGATGAGCAATACAAGCCCTATTGGCCTCGTGTGTAATCGACAATCTTTCTTATTTTTGGCGATCTTTTTTCATTAATGTTTCCCTTTTCATCATAATGTAATAAAACTACTTTTGGATACTGTTAACAAAAATGCTGTATTTTCACTTGATTTTAACATATTTTAAACTGCATAACAACAAAATAAATGGGTAAAGTGGGGGGTAAAATTCATAAACAGCTCCATTATGACAAACCTACATTATATTTTTGGATTTTTTCTTCTTAATTTTCATGTAATAATCCATATCAAAACATTCATTAGTAAAATTGATTGAAAAAAATATTCCATTGTTGAAAAGTAGGTCATGGTAATTAAGCTCATTAATTGCGAATTATATTAAAGATGAACTTAATTTTCTGCCTTAATGCACATAAAAACAATACCTTTATCATGTGTCATGCTTTAGTAAGATTTATTTTTGAATACTTTATAGAAAATGGAGAATTAATTAATGGGAGGGGGCGGGTTCACACTTTTGACAACTTTTGGTTGATATCAGAGTTGTCTTATGTAATTATATTAGATAATAAATATCTAATAAATAAATGTTAAATTGTACTGCATTAAGAACTGTTTAAAATAAATTGCTTGATAAATGTAGAGATATTTAAACCAGTTTGGTACGGCTGGTTGAGCTTTAAGCTAAAATGGCGGGATATAATGCCATCCCCTGACATATACCTTGTTAAGGATCTTTGTGTCTACCGGTGAGTATACATGTGCACCTTGTCTCAGACAGTTCATATACCCTTATATATACAATTAATACGTGGCAACTACACTTCACAACCTCAGCGATTTTAGTATACTTTCTTGGTTTGACTGTCACTGATATTGTACATATAATTTAGACATATAATTGTAATTCAACTGTTGTTCATAATTTTGTTCATCCAAATTAAGGTTTTAATAAGGAGTGTTTTCTAAGTTTATGCCCTGTTTTCTTTTCTTTTATCAATATGCCAGTGCACAGGCAGTGCCCTTGTTGTAAAGCACAATATAAAGTAAGGC